TATCAATCAATCATCAGATGTTCAGTTTGCAATGGTGTTGTTGAAGGACTTGACCTTCCTGATGATTACGCGTCATACGTCAACCTCCAGTAAAGTTAACTCAAACAGGTTTCACAACCGTTCTCATAGTGAGCAACTGAGTGTACACCAGATGCCAACGGGTCACAGAAAAGGCCATGAGAAAACGACACAATGTTTTCTCTCATCACTGCTCGCGTAGAGAGCACAAACGGAAACTCACTGATGCCTCTCACCCTGTCACCTAAAGCAGCGCCTGGCAGTGAGATTAAAGGGTAACTGTGCCGTGATTGACAGTGAATATAAAGTCCCAACGGTGAGGCCCTCAGTTTCTTCCCTGCAGAAAAAAATGACTGTCACTATAATGTGAGATGGGTTTTCTAAAGGAAACAATTGATAAGAAAGCCACCTCCTTGTAACAGAGACATCTTCATCGAAAGATAAGGAATCTGCTAGGCGAAATCATTAGAGATGAGATTCATTTTGAGATCTTGTTATTTTGGCAATGTAAAGCATTTTGATTTACCTTGCATGTTCCAATTAATGTATTTGAAATAACTTAGTTTTCAGTGACTTGATATGTTGTAATACCTTAGATTTCAGTGACTTGAAAAATGACATTACTAGCAAGCATTAAACTGTGAGGTTCATTGTCCATTTCAACAGGCCACCATCTTTCTGAATAAGTGGAACAGAAGGTCAGGTCATGGCTTTTCACACTAAAAGGTCTAAAAAGGAACTAGTTGGCTGAAGTACAGTTGTGCCATAGGTTCCCACAGACTGGCATCTAACCCAGGTTTCTCAAGCCCTTTTGTAACTGGATGATTCATAGTGCAAAGGCAATTGAAAAACATGTGGGCATGAATGAACATTTGAACTTTCAAGTCATGTAATCAGCCAACAAACTGATACTCCAACTTGCAGATAGCATTTTGCTACGGTTTTGAGGGAAAGTCATTGTTGAGCTTCTGGATCTATTTTGATTGGTAAGTCTGTTTTTATTAAGTTACAGTCACATGAGAAATAAACTGAGAAGTGTTTTTACTTCTCAATATGTAACTAAGTAGCGTGAACATTTTATGCCTATAAAAGCTATGAATGATGAAGTTATGTTAGAAAATAACAATTTCAATACTATAATTATTGAAACTACTTATGAGCAAATGTTATACATTACTTACTTATTATGCTTTATTTCAATATGCCAAAAAAAATCTTTCAACTTTATTCTCATTATTGTGTTCCTTTATTGTAAAAAGTACACACTCTTTGTGAAACTAATCATTCCAAAATGTAACGATTACAATTCTTGATATTATCCTTATTTGGAATGATTTCAGTTAAATGCCCATTGTTAAACTGCAAAAAGACTTAGTAAACTATGACATTGTTTGGAAGAAAGTATCTGCAATAATTGGCAATTATATAAACACCCAATTTATTACAAAAAACAGTTTATTATAAATGTTTTAGAATTCATTAAATGTAATCTTACTAATGCCATGAACATGGACAACCATTTTGAATATTGTTGTAATGAATTTCATACAGCAGAAAGGAACCATTAACAAATTAACGTTACTGTTAACAAATTGCAATTTAATATTACTATGCATTTAAGAATGTCAACAATCAAAATAACCAGGCTACTCATAAATTATCCATATAAAAAATATTTAGACATAAACAGACCATCCTATTTCATCTGATCATTCCCCCAAAAAGCTAAATAAATCAACCTCACCTGCACACTGTTTTTACCCGTTTTTTTATCTGTACTGTTTTGTCTTTCACTTCTTTTCTTTGGTGCGAATAAATAAAACCTAAAACCTAAATTCAAACTATCAATGATAATCAAATTTACAATTATGAATATATAAAATATAACTTCATTTGAGAAACTATAATATACACCAAATATATTTCAGAGAATGCTTTCACTGAGCATGTGAATTACATAACACGTAAAATCATAATACAAAATGATTCACCTCAACCTTTAGCGTTTCGGACCACAAAGAGGCTGTATAAGGTACATGTAGTCCCCTGTAGCTCAGTTGGTAGAGCATGGTGCTTGCAACGCCAGGGTTGTGGGTTCGTTTCCCACGGGGGGCCAGTATGAAAATGTATGCACTCACTAACTAAGTTGCTCTGGGTAAGAGCGTCTTCTAAATGACTAAAATGTAAATGTAAATAACCCTGCTATCAGATGTTTTGGTCGAACGGCTGGAGACGAGTTCTGGAGGCTGTTGTGCCACAGCTCTCTGAGGTACCGTTGTAGAAGTCGGTGGACGAGGCATAGCCTTGGTGCAGCCCAAGCTTTCCCATGCAGCTCAGGAACAGGTTCTCCGCCTGCCCTCTGAAGTGGTGGTCCAGGAACAGGTAGATGGCTGGGTTAATGCAGCTGTTGAGGAAGGCCAAGCAGCTGCAGACGGTGAGGCCCTGACTCAGGACAGACTGGGTCTCAATGCTCAGATCGGCCCTAGACAGCCTGAAACCAATGAGGATGGTCTTGAAGATGTTGAAGGGGAGCCAAGACACCACAAAGGCCACGATGATGGTGAAGACCATCTTGAGAGAGTGGCGGCGTCGGGCTTCCGCGCGAGGGTTGCCAGCAGCAACACAGTGTTGGCGCAGATGGGCCAGGATAGAGCCGTAGCAGAGGATGATGATGAGCACCGGAAGGGCGAAGGTCACGAAGACCATGGTCAGGCTCAGACCCTGGAAGAAGGACGACTCTTCATCCTCCAGACAGAAGAGTTTGCCATTGGGAGTATGAATGCTACGGTACACCAGGGAGGGGGTACCTAGAGCTAGGGATAGCAGCCAGACCACGGCGCAGGTGAGACGCACACACTGGCTGCTGCGGAGGACGCGGGAGTCCATGAGGCTCACCACGGCCAGGTAGCGGTCCACACTCATGCAGGTCAGGAAGAAGATGTTGGAGAAGCGGTTGACGGCGACGATGTAGCTGCTCAGCTTGCAGAGAAGGTTGCCAAAAGGCCAGTGTCCCTCCTGACTGGACGAGATGGCCCACAGAGGGAGGGTGAGGACAAACACCAGGTCCGCAAGTGCCAGGTTAACCACAAACGTATCCACCAGACGGCCGCCCATCTTCCCCCTGCTGCCCATGACCGTGATCACAAAGAGGTTGCCCAGGAAGCCTGTGAAAAACATGAGGAAATAAAACAGTGGCAGGTAGATGTGAGAATAGGGAAGAGCAGAGCCGGAGCGCTCCCCAAGGTAGGTTAGATCGTAGCTGACATTGTCATCGCTGTAGAAGTACTCGTCTGTGTCATACGTCTCCATTTTGTGATCAAAGAGAAGTGTCTCTCAGCTGCTTGCTCTCTGTGAGTCTGGCGGGCAAACTCAATACTTCTAGAGATACTATCCTGCGTCACGTTCTTAAAAACCACAAACAAACTGCCAGGTCCTATTTTCTTCTGTTATCTCTAGCACCATTGGTATATTTTCTACCTCTTTATCTGGCATATTCTGACACAAATTACTACAACTATTTCTAATGATGATTTTTACAATATACTATATTTGCATATCAGTTCAAATAGAAACACTTTAGACATGCAGGCAAAAAGTACAGCAAGAAGAAACATAAAAACATATCAAAAGAAAAAGTACATATACAATCTGGGTAATGCCAATCAACAAAAATATTCAAAAACAGCTAAAGACTGACTTATAGTAGCAGATCAAACGATAAAAACATTTGACAGGGAAAGGATGTGGTTATTGTATTAAAGGGGCTGATGTAGGCCTGGTGGAATTATAATCTTGTACATAATACAAAACAAATCCACTGAGTGAATTTGCAATTTCAATCATTAACTTGAACCGAGACATGACATTGAACATCAACTTTAGACTATTCATACAGTCTCTCGTATGTCAGGTGTGAAAACAGCAAACACTAAACTGTTGTACTTGCATTATGAGAAAATGCTTGCATAAGGAAATGAAAATGGGACTTGCCAGACCCTATGACCTTGCACATGAATAAATCAGACTTCTCATCAGATGAGTCATAATATGCTTGAAGATAAAACTTACTCTAATGTGAACTTGATGGGAACTTAATGTGCTCATAGGCTGTGAAAACCATAACTGGAAAGACGGTTTCATTTAACAACCACTTTTCCTTTTGACTGACAATAGTCTGTGAACAATTATGAACAATTGTCTCTTTGTCCGAAATGCAAATCATCATATGAACAGTTATAGAACATAGTGAAACTAATTATATAATACTATGTTAAAGGAAAGGGGGAAAAATGACAAAATGTTAAGCCTGACCTGAGCTAGTTGAATGTTGGTTATGTAAGAGAAGATTAGTGTTCCAATAAAAACATGAGGGGAGAAAGGATCTTCTATTTGACAGAAAGGTTTTCCTCCATTCTCAGCATTGCATCAGCATTTGCGTCCCATCAATCCTGAAGAGTTTAATTTGAAACACTTAACCTAAATAAAATACTAATAGGAGTGAAAAACGACAATATTTTATTCTAATCAAGAGTGACAGCTGTGCAAACATTATTTTTGCCTTAACTTGTCTTCTAAACATTGCATTTTAGTGTGATACGAGTCATGAGCATACGTTTCAATGTATTTCAATCTCTACAAAACATTGAAAATGAACAAAAACAAAAAGACAAAGTGCCTCCCAAACATAGAAAACGAACAAAAACAAAAGACAAAGTGCCTCCCAACCTAAAATGACAAATAAACATCACTAATGTGGTATTTAGCAATCACTGGACAACACTATGTTGGGAAAGAGAAAAAAGTAAATGGCGAGAGAGTCTGTGTGTGTTTCCAGCAGTACCAGATGTTCAAAACTCCTCCCTCCCTCAGCGTTTATTAAAACATTCCAGTCAAGTTAGGAACACCGTAAGTTGGCCCCTCCTCGCACACTCTCCTCCCGTCGACACACACACGAGGAAAAGGGTGACCTGTCCTCCCACAAAATGAGGGCTTTTCTCATCCTTGTCACCTTGACCTGCCTGGCTGACGCCCAGCATCAAGCCCTGATGGACTACCTGGAGCGGCGTCTGCTAGCCATCGAGGTAAGAGACTGTTCTTCTGCTCCCAGTCAGACCCTGGCCTCCAGAATAAGTCTGAAAGGAAACTCTCTGGGGATCTGGGGAACCTTCAATGGAATGCAGATGTGGGGATTCTGAGGGGAAAATATTGACTGACTGTTACTGCTGCTGCACCCAGAAAGTCTAAATGTAATGCTTTTTAATACATTTGTTTCCACTCAAATAGAAGCATAGGGGAATAGAAGTTTGAAGATCTTATATGCAGGAAACTTCTGTAGTGTTCTGATTAATATTTGAAAAAGTATGTATTAGCCTTATACCTGGAGTTATTGGAAAGTTTTTCTCTGCAAAAGACTGACCAGTTGGCTCACTTCAAGGTGTTGTTGTGCAATAAAACAGCTCCACACTGCTATGAGTACCCATATCATATTCTCCCTCTTGCTTTCTCATATTCTTATTCATATGGAAAGTAGTTGGCTTCTCTCTCTCTATGTGTTCTGACTCTGCATAAATAATACCTCCCAAACAAGTTACTTCCAGCCAGTGAGTCATTCTGAGAAAGAGCATCCAATACCTGCCAATTCAGGTTTATGAGACTCCTTTTTTTTATACATTCATTTTTATTCAAGAGCACATAAAGAACATGTACAATACATACTCAACATATCTTTGCAGTCTTTACAAAGGAGCGTAATGAGATTCACATGTTAAGGGTACATTTTGGCTGTATAGAGCAAACATTTCAAGAGTCTGAATAAGAATACAATTTGGATAAAGCCACATCAGAAAAATAACAAACAAGCAAACACCCCAGAAATTACAGAATAAGATATGTCAGGAACTTGTTGCAAGATTGATTTAATTCTCTCCATGTCAGCAAGTTCCCTGCATAGACCTAACCACGTCTTTTGAGGATGTTGCATTTTGTTACACATTTCCTTGCTGCTGCTAAAAGATAATCTATCAATTTAAGTGGAGAGGAGTGGAGTGTATCCACAGGAACAATACCTATGTAGCGGGTGATTTGGACGGAGTCAGGTGCAGGAGGTGTAAATCACAGAATAATGGTTTATTCGGCCAAAACAGTGGTTCGCAGCAATGCGTAAAACAACTACAGTGCGACTTAACGGCGCACTGAGGAAAAGAAAACACACAGGTGAATATCCCGGCGATAAAGTATATAATGCTCCACCGAGCTATCGACACCTCCACATGGAATCAATCACACACAAAGACATGGGGGACAGAGGGAATACTTATACAGGGACTGATGAGGGGATATGAACCAGGTGTGTGTGAAAAACACAGGACAAATCAAATGGAATGATGATAAGAGGAGCGGCAGTGGCTAGAAGGCCGGTGACGACGAACGCCGAAGCCTGCTCGAACAAGGAGAGGAGGCAGCTTCGGAGGAAGTCGTGACAGTACCCCCCCCCCCCCTGCCTTGATGCGCAGCTCCAGCAGCGCGCCGACACCGGCCGCGGGAACGGCCAGGAGGACACGGAGTAGGGCGATCTGACGGTGAAAATCCCGCAACAGGGAGGGATCGAGGATATCCTTCACTGGGACCTAGCACCGCTCCTCCGGACCGTACCCCTCCCACTCCACGAGGTACTGAAGGCCCCCCACCCGACGCCTCGAATCCAGGATGGAACGGACAGAGTACGGGGGGGCGGAGGGACTTCCCGCACCTCAGACTCCTGGAGCAGACCAGCCACCACCGGCCTGAGGAGAGATACATGAAACTAGGGGTTAATACGTAATCAGGAGGGAGCAGCAACCTATACGTAACCTTGTTTACTCTCCTCAGGACTTTGAACGGCCCCACAAACCACGGGCTCAGCTTCCGGCAGGGCAGGCGGAGGGGCAGGTTCCGGGTCGAGAGCCAGACCCGATCACCCGGTACGAAGACCGGGGCCTCACTGCGGTGGCAGTCAGTGTTGGCTTTCTGGCGATGCGCGGCACGCTGGAGGTGAACGTGGGCGGCGTTCCACGTCTCCTCCGCGTGCCGAAACCAGTCGTCCACTGCAGGAGCTTTGGTCTGGCTCTGATGCCACGGTGCCAGGACCGGCTGATACCCTAAAACACATTGAAATGGTGACAGGTTAGTGGAGGAGTGGCGGAGAGAGTTCTGGGCATATTCGGCCCATGGCAAGAACACCGACCACTCCCCCTGCCAGGCCTGGCAGTAGGACCGCAGGAACCTACCCACATCCTGATTCACCCGTTCCACCTGTCCATTAGATTCGGGGTGAAACCCAGAGCTCAGGCTGATCGAGATCCCCAGAAGTTCCATGAACGCCTTCCAGACCCTGGATGTAAACTGGGGACCCCGGTCAGACACTATGTCCTCTGGCACCCCGTAGTGCCGTAAGACGTGAGTAAACAGGGCTTCAGCAGTTTGCAGGGCCGTGGGGAGACCGGGCAGAGGAAGGAGGCGGCAGGCTTTAGAGAAGGATAGGACAGCGCCTACCCCTACCTCGGACGTGTCCACCTCCACTACGAATGGTAATGATGGATCTGGATGAGCCAGTACCGTGCCTGAGGTGAACAGAGCCCTCAGGTTACTGAAAGCCCTGTCAGCCTCAGCAGACCAGCGGAGCCAGGATGGCCCACCCTTCAACAGAGAGGTGATGGGGGCTGTGACCTTGCCAAAGCCCCGGATAAACCTCTGATAGTAATTGGTAAAGCCAATGAAGCACTGCAGCTCCTTTACCGTGGTTGGAGTCGGCCAATTACGCATGGCTGAAATGCGGTCTCCCTCCATTTCCACACCTGAGGTGGTGATGTGGTATCTGAGGAAGGAGATGGATTGTTGGAAGAACACACATTTTTCAGCCTTGGCATACAGGTCATGCTCCAACAGTCGGCCAAGCACTCTGCGAACCAGGGACACATGCTCGGTGCGCGTAGCGGAATACACCAGGATGTCATCGATGTAGACCACCACACCGCGACCAAGCATGTCCCGAAACTTGAGGAGGCGGGTGAAGTGGAGGGACGTATGAACCCTTGACTCAGGGACTCGGAGACGTATGTCTCCATAGCCTCCATTTCAGCCTGCGACAGGGGATATACATGACTCCTGGGAGGTACAGCGTCTAACCTGAGGTTTATCACGCAATCCCCCGCCCAATGGGGTGGTAATTTGGTCGCCTGCGTTTTGGAAAATGCGTGCGCCAAATCGAGGTATTCGGGGGGAATGCGCACGGTGGAGGTAGTGTCTGGACTTTCCACCGTGGTTGCACCAACGGAAACAGCTAGACACCTACCCTGACACTCTCGCGACCACCCTGTGAGAAACCTCTGCAGCCATGAAAAGGTGGGATCGTGTAGTGAAGCCAGGGAAGGCCCAACACAACAGGGAAATCAGGGGACTCAATAATATGAAAGGTGATTTGCTCACTATGAGTCTCCTACGTAATCATAGTGACTGGTGCTGTAACGTCCCTAACAAAACCTGACCCTAATAGTCGACTGTCAAGTGCTTTGATGGGCAATGGAATGGACAGGGGAACCAATGTAATATGTAGACTATGAGCTAAAGACCTGTCCATAAACTCCCGAGTGGCGCAGTGGTCTAAGGCACTGCGTCGCAGTGCTAGCTGTGCCACTAGAGATCCTGGTTCGAATCCAGGCTCTGTCGTAGCTGGCCTTGACCGGGAGACCCATGGGGCGGCGCACATCCCACCAGGGTTGTGGGTTCGATTCCCACGGGGGGCCAGTATGAAAAAAAAAATATATATATATGCACTCACTAACTGTAAGTCGCTCTGGATAAGAGCGTCTGCTAAATGACGTAAATGTAAATAAAGTTCCCAGCTGCGCCTGAATCTACCAACACCTTACACTGGGGAACTACCGTGTAATCAAGGAAGTTGATGTGGATGGTGAAATGCGCAGCAGAGGGCTTTGAACGAGGGTGGGTTTATGCTACCTGGGGTGACGTGAGAGTGCCCTGCCTGCCGCCTCCAGAACCAGAAGAACACTGACGACATCGTGCAGCAGAATGTCCTCTCTTGCCACAAGAGTGACACTGGATCTGTCGTCCTCCATTCTCCCGGAACGCTGCTTCACCCAGCTCCATCGGAACGTGATCCGGGTTGAAGGGGGGTGAAACGGGCAGACCCCTTCCAGGACGTCTTCTCGAAGCCAGCAGGTTGTCCAACTGGATGGCCATGTCAACCAGTTTGTTGAAGGTCAACGTGGTATCCCGTCAGGCTAGTTCCCTTCGGACGTCCTCACGCAGTCTGCATCGGAAGTGGTCGATTAGGGCCCACTCGTTCCACCCGGACCCAGCGGCTAGAGTTCTAAACTCCAGGGCAAAGTCTTGCGCGGTCCTCGTCCCCTGCCTCAGATGGACCAGACGCTCGCCCGCCTCTCTACCTTCGGGGGGCAGATTGAAGACTGCCCGGAAGAGGCGAGCGAACTCTCTGTAGTTGTCCAACAAGTCTCCTCCTTCACTCCAGAGCTTTCCCCGAGAGGCAGGAGACGAGGGCGGACACCTTCTCCCGATCCGATGGAGCAGGGCTGGTGGTGGTGAAATAGAGGTCCAGTTGCAGGAGGAAACCCTGGCAGCGGGCTGCTGTCCCGTCGTATTCCCTCGGTCGAGAATACCTCTGGGTGCTGGTGTGTGGATGGCTGGATCCGGTCACTCAGCTGGTTCCGCATGGTCGGGTCCTCTCCTCTCCAGGCGCTGGATAGTCTGGAGAACCTGATCCATCGCTTTGCCCAAGCTGGCTAACATGTTGGAATGCTCCCGGATCCGCTCTACGACTCCAGGCATATTCCCCGCTCCTGCTGACTCCATGCTGTTGGGTGTGTGATTCTGTAGCGGGTGATTTGGACGTAGTCAGGCGCGGGAGGTGTAAATCACAGAATAATGGTTTATTAGGCCAATACAGCGTTTCGCAGCAATGCGTAAAACAACAACAGTGCGACTTAACGGCACACTAGGGAAAACAAAACCCACGGGTGAATATCCCGGCGATAAAGTACATAATGCTCCACCGAGCTATCGACACCTCCACATGGAAACAATCACACACAAAGACATGGGGGTCAGAGGGAATACAGTGAGGGAAAAAGTATTTGATCCCCTGCTGATTTTGTACGTTTGCCCACTGACAAAAACATGATCAGTCTATAATTTGAATGGAGGTTTTTTTGAACAGTGAGAGACAGAATAACAACAACAAAATCCAGAAAAACGCATGTCAAATATGTTATAAATTGATTTGCATTTTAATGAGGGAAATAAGTATTTGACTCCTCTGCAAAACATGACTTAGTACTTGGTGGCAAAACCCTTGTTGGCAATCACAGAGGTCAGACGTTTCTTGTAGTTGGCCACCAGGTTTGCACACATCTCAGGAGGGATTTTGTTCCACTCCTCTTTGCAGATCTTCTCCAAGTCATTAAGGTTTTGAGGCTGACGTTTGGCAACTCGAACCTTCAGCTCCCTCCACAGATTTTCTATGGGATTAAGGTCTGGAGACTGGCTAGGCCACTCCAGGACCTTAATGTGCTTCTTCTTGAGCCACTCCTTTGTTGCCTTGGCCGTGTGTTTTGGGTCATTGTCATGCTGGAATACCCATCCATGACCCATTTTCAATGCCCTGGCTGAGGGAAGGAGGTTCCCAGCCAAGATTTGACGGTACATGGCCCCGTCCATCGTCCCTTTGATGCGGTGAAGTTGTCCTGTCCCCTTAGCAGAAAAACACCCCCAAACCATAATGTTTCCACCTCCATGTTTGATGGTGGGGATGGTGTTCTTGGGGTCATAGGCAGTATTCCTCCTCCTCCAAACACGGCGAGTTGAGTTGATGCCAAAGAGCTCGATTTTGGTCTCATCTGACCACAACACTTTCACCCAGTTCTCCTCTGAATCATTCAGATTGAGATTCAGATTCAGATTCATTGGCAAACTTCAGACGACCCTGTATATGTGCTTTCTTGAGCAGGGGGACCTTGCGGGCGCTGCAGGATTTCAGTCCTTCACGGCGTAGTGTGTTACCAATTGTTTTCTTGGTGACTATGGTCCCAGCTGCCTTGAGATCATTTACAAGATCCTCCTGTGTAGTTATGGGCTGATTCCTCACTGTTCTCATGATCATTGTAACTCCACGAGGTGAGATCTTGCATGGAGCCCCAGGCCGAGGGAGATTGACAGTTCTTTTGTGTTTCTTCCTTTTGCGAATAATCGCACCAACTCTTGTCACCTTCTCACCAAGCTGCTTGGCGATGGTCTTGTAGCCCATTCCAGCCTTGTGTAGGTCTACAATCTTGTCCTTGACATCCTTGGAGAGCTCTTTGGTCTTGGCCATGGTGGAGAGTTTGGAATCTGATTGATTGATTGCTTCTGTGGACAGGTGTCTTTTATACAGGTAACAAAATGAGATTAGGAGCACTCCCTTTAAGAGTGTGCTCCTAATCTCAGCTCGTTACCTGTATAAAAGACACCTGGGAGCCAGAAATCTTTCTGATTGAGAGGGGTTCAAATACTTATTTCCCTCATTAAATGCAAATCAATTTATAACATTTTTGACATGCGTTTTTCTCGATTTTTTTGTTGTTATTCCGTCTCTCACTGTTCAAATAAACCTACCATTAAAATTATAGACTGATCATTTCTTTGTCAGTGGGCAAACGTACAAAATCAGCAGGGGATCAAATACTTTTTTCCCTCACTGTACTTATACAGGGACTGATGAGGGGATATGAACCAGGTGTGTGTAAAAAACAAGACAAAATAAATGGAATGATGAGAAGAGGAGCGGCAGTGGCTAGAAGGCCGGTGACTATGAACGCCAAAGCCTGCCCGAACAAGGAGAGGAGGCAGCTTCGGAGGAAGTCGGGACAACCTAGTAGGAGATGACATGGGTCTGGTTGAATAATAATCTCTATGATGTCCTGTATAACGTGGAGAATTTCAGACCAAAAAGACTGGATTTTCCAAAATATATGTGATGAAGTACCTATTTGTCCACACTGTCTCCAACACGTAGCAGATATTCCTTTGTTCAATTTATTACGTTTATCAGGGATCATAAAAAAACGATGTAGTACTTTGAATTGAAACTCCCTTGTTCGGTTACATGTAGTTGCTTTATATAGTGTTTTCCATATATTGCCCCTACTCTCCTCTGATATCTGCACCTGTAATTCCCCCTGCCATGAGTTCCTTAGATGATCTAAAGATACTCTTTGCATGTTAAGGATATTGTGATAAAAGTTTGAAATGGTCCCAATGTTTTCCCCTTGATAAAGTAATTCAATCATCTCGTCAATAGGAGTAACCGGCTCAGTAATTTTTTGTAACAATACTTTTTTTACACAATGAATGTCTTACTTGAAGGTACCTATAACAATTTGTTTGGGATATAATGAATTCCTCCTGGATTTCTTGAAATTATCGAAGAATTGAGCCTTTGAAAAGTTGAGAGACTCTACAAAGCCCTCTTTCTTCCCATTCCCTAAATCATTGGAACATAGTAGCAGGAAGGAAGGCTGGGTTGTGAAATATACACTCTTAGAAAAAAAGGCGCTATCTAGAACCTAACATTTTTCTTCGGCTGTCCCCACAGGATAACCCTTTGAAGAACCATTTTTGGTTCCATGTAGAACCCTTTTGGTTCCAGGTGGAACCCTTTTGGGTTACATAAATAACCCTTTGCACAGAGGGTTCTACTTGGAACCCAAAAGGGTTCTACCTGAAACCAAAAAGGGTTCTACCTGGAACCAAAAAGGGTTCTCCTATGGGGACAGCCGAAGAACCCTTTTGGAACCTTTTTTTCTAAGAGTGTAGGCGAGTGTCTAGAAACGTCATTAATCAGGGAAAACCACATTGAGACCTAGGTCTCATTTGCAAATGTGCCCTGTGAACAATACAGAAAGAAAATTATACACAATTTAAAACACAACATTTAATAAATAGCAAATATTACAGTTGAAGTCGGAAGTTTACATACACCTTAGCCAAATACATTTTAACTCAGTTTTTCACAATTCCTGACATTTAATCCTAGTAAAAATTCCCTGTCTTAGGTCAGTTAGATCACCATTTTCTTTTAAGAATGTGAAATGTCAGAATAATAGTAGAGAGAATGATTTATTTCAGCTTTTATTTATTTCATCACATTCTCAGTGGGTCAGAAGTTTACATACACTCAATTAGTATTTGGTAGCATTGCCTTTAAATTGTTTAACTTATGTCAAACGTTTCGGGTAGCCTTCCACAAGCTTCCCACAATAAGTTGGGTGAATCTTGGCCCATTCCTCCTGACAGAGCTGGTGTAACTGAGTCAGGTTTGTAGGCCTCCTTGCTCGCACACGCTTTTTCAGTTCTGCCCACACATTTTCTATAGGATTGAGGTCAGGGCTTTGTGATGGCCACTCCAATACCTTGACTTTGTTGTCCTTAAGCCATTTTGCCACAACTTTGGAAGTATGCTTGGGGTCATTGTCCATTTGGAAGACCCATTTGCGACCAAGCTCTAACTTCCTGACTGATGTCTTGAGATTTTGCTTCAATATATACACATAATTTTCCTTCCTCATGATGCCATCTATTTTGTGAAGTGCACCAGTCCCTCCTGCAGCAAAGCACCCCCACAGCATGATGCTGCCACCCCCGTGCTTCACGGTTGGGATGGTGTTCTTCGGCTTGCAAGCTACCCCCTTTTCCTCCAAACATAACAATGGTCATTATGGCCAAACAGTTCTATTTTTGTTTCATCAGACCAGAGGACATTTCTCCAAAAAGTACGATCTTTGTCCCCATGTGCAGTTGGAAACCATAGTCTGGCTTTTTTATGATGGTTTTGGAGCAGTGGCTTATTCCTTGCTGAGCGGCCTTTCAGGTTATGTCGATATAGGACTCGTTTTACTGTGGATATAGATACCTTTGTACCTGTTTCCTCCAGCGTCTTCACAAGGTCCTTTGCTGTTGTTCTGCGATTGATTTGCACTTTTCGCACCAAAGTATGTTCATCTCTAGGAGACAGAACGCGTCTCCTTCCTGAGCGGTATGACGGCTGCGTGGTCCCATGGTGTTCATACTTGCGTACTATTGTTTGTACAGGCATTTGGAAATTGCTCCCAAGGATGAACCAGACTTGTGGAGGTCTACCATTTTTTTCTGAGGTCTTGGCTGATTTCTTTAGATTTTCCCATGATGTCAAGCAAAGAGGCACTGAGTTTGAAGGTAGGCCTTGAAATACATCCACAGGTACACCTCCAATTGACTCAAATTATGTCAATTAGCCTATCAGAAGCTTCTAAAGCCATGACATCATTTTCTGGAATTTTCCAAGCTGTTTAAAGGCACAGTCAACTTAGTGTATGTAAACTTCTGACCCACTGGAATTGTGATACAGTGAATTATAAGTGAAATAATCTGTCTGTAAACAATTGTTGGAAAAATTACTTATGTCATGCACAAAGTCGATGTCCTAACCGACTTGCCAAAACTATAGTTTGTTAACAAGAAATTTGTGGAGTGGTTGAAAAACAAGTTTGAATGACTCCAACCTAAGTGTATGTAAACTTCCAACTTCAACTGTATATATACACAATAAACAAAACAAACAAAATTGGCGTTGGATCTCCCTTAGTGAGACTCCTTAATCAGTCCTGCATCTGTCTGCTTGAAATAATTTATCAGGTGATAATTCAGTCTACTTCAAACCTGTCACATAGTGTGTTATATCCACCGGTCATCCCTCTCTGTGGCGTTGGTAGCTGTCTTTTCCTAGTTCCTAGCCTCACCAGTGGCTCTTGAATACAACTCTAATCCTGACCTTTCTGCAGTCTCAATCCCTCCTAGCTGAGATTACCCCCTGACTGCTGATACATCCCTTGCAATTACTGGAGTGCACACTGAGTCAAATCTAGTCAAGTCACTCAGAAAAGCTGATCCTAAACCTGCACTTAATGTGTCTGTCTTCCTTTAATGCGATGGCCAAAGGTTCCAGGCTTAGAAGGAACAGTAAGGGAGAGAGGAGACATCCCTGTGTAGCCTGAAGCCACACTGGTGATGACTGTGGCAGTGGCCCCAGAGAACAGGGTTTTAATTCATCATGTGAAATAGAGACAGAACCCATATGCCTCCAGGACTACTTCTACACTACCTGCTCTAACTGTCTTCTTCTCACCTCTCACCTCTCCCACCAGGACCGTATCTCGGTATGGCACGAGCAGACGAACCGCTATGCCACAGAGCTGCGGGAGTTCAAGCAGCAGATGGTTGCCCAGATTGAGACCCTTGACAAGGACAAGGAGACGCTGAGGACGGACCTAGACAGCGTGGGGACGCGTGTGGACCGCGTGGAGCGTGAGATGGACTACCTGGAGACACAGAACGGGGCGCAGCCCTGCGTGGACGTGGACGACAAGCTGGTGGAGCAGCAGGTGACTGTGGTGAAGGAGAAGAACAAGGCCAAGTATGCCAAGGCCACAGGTGAGACGTGGCAGACATGTTGGCAGACGTGGTGACATACTGGGGGGGATAAAGGCACAAGTAGCACACGTGGTGGTTACTTCCTGAGAGGACCATAGTAAAAGCCTACTGAGAAGAGGAAAAAACTGAACAGTGGTTACATAGCCCTTCTGTGACATGTACTGTAGACATGATGACATATTGGGAGGACAGACACACATGATTACTTACTAAGATGATCATAGCATAGGCCAACGGAGAGGACAAATCCATGAAGTAAACTCAGCCGTAGGGGTAATATGAGGCCTTGGTTCCTTAACAGGTCTTCTACATGATGGGCGGAGAGAGGGCCACAGGCATGAGATGTTAAGAAAATGTGTATACAGGGCCAGGTGTCTCAGTCATTGTACGGTTATGTAAGTAGGTTAGACAATCTATCTCCCCTCATAGCATTATTCTTCTCTCAGAGGCCATTATTAAAGAGTTTAAGTGGATTTCATTCAATGTTGTGCTTAACACTTTTTGTTCTGCTCTAACACAGTATGGTTAGGGTTAATTGCATAGCGAAAGCAATCTGAATGCAGTAAATTCAGGAAACAGTTTGCTTACAGTTGATTGTTGAGGTTTAAGAAGATGTGAGATTATGCTGATGAAGTACGTAGATGAAGGACTAACTGAAAATGCAATGCTTATTAAAATATCATACTCTAAATTATGCACCACTTTAATTGTAATATGCTCTTAGTTGCACTCCAGCCCGATGAATAGCCAGTGACTCATCAAGTTTAATTGCCTGTGATCCTTATACATGTTGCCACAGACAGCTGAGCGCTGTTGCCTACTTGGGGTGCATGTTCTTCTGACTAAAATCTGAACATCTGAAATACACTTCAGATCATGTAAAAGCTAAAACGTCACAAAAAATAAACTATAAAAATGGATCTATCCTTTAAACGTTCCCTAGTCCCTCAGTATCACTTTTGGTTGAGCTTTATCAATATGGTATGGTGTAGTATGTTTTATGACATTGGTATTACAGGTTTCACAGTTGTAAGGAGAGTAACAATTTGTACATTGTAATTACACTGAACCTGCTGTGTAATGTTGACTACCATGTAAAAAACATGGTTTTAGCCCAAACATGAATCTATCATCTCCTCTCCCAGACTGCAGGGACATGATCTCTAGCATCAAAGCCATGAAGATTTTGAAGCGAGTCGGAGGCCCAAAGGGCATGTGGACCAAAGACGTGGGCAGCAGCTCGGGCAAAGTCTACGTCTTCAACGGCACAGACGAGGACACCATCTATGAGTTTGGCTCCGTCCGGGACTTCACCATCTCCCAGGGCACCTCCATGGCCAAGACTGTGAAGCTGCCGTCCCCTTGGCGAGGCAGTGGCCACACTGTCTACAACAACCACGCCTACTATGTGAAGGAAGGCAAGGAGCTTCGGCTGATGAAGTACAACCTGCGGAACGGCTCGGTGGCGGACAGCGCTGTGTTCCCCGTCCAGGACCACGTCCCCGTGTACAGCCTGACTCCGGAGACGGTCATTGACCTGGCCGCAGATGAGGAGGGCCTCTGGGCCATCTACGCCACCAAGGAGACTGAGAGGCACATCTCTCTGGCCAAGATGGATGCCAACACGTTGGACATCGAGCAGATGTGGGACACGCCGTGCCCGCGGGAGAATGCAGAGGCTGCCTTCATCATCTGCGGCACGGTGTACGTGGTCTACAACACCGCACTGCCCAGCCGCTCACGCGTCCAGTGCGTCTTTGACGTCAGTGATATGGTAACCAATGACGATGCACCGCTAGTGTACTTTCCCAAGCGCTACGGCTCTCACTCCAGCCTCAAGTACAACCCGCTGGAGCAGCTGATCTACGCCTGGGACGACGGCTACCAGATCCTCTACAAACTGGCCATGAAGAAGAAACTGGAGGTATGAGCTCAGCAGTGCCGTCTAGTGTTGAGGTGGGTTTGAGATTTCGCTCATCTATACCGAGTAAAAGGCCAGAAATGTCTGTGTAGACGAAAATAAAACATATTTTCAGACTGTCATATTCAGTGGAATGTTTTAATATTATATCTTGCCTGGAGCAAAGATCAATAACAGATATGACCAAAGGTATGAACATTACTTACATGGTTTGTTCAACTTTGGCACAAGGCCTTGCAGCTGCAGTTATGATTTTGAACACTGTTCTAATGGTAATCAGGTCATTGTCATATTGTATTTCCAGCAAAACAGTTCAGTGATATAAAAGCATCCATTTACTGTAGGTATTGCTTGTTATTAAATATTTGTATGATAATCAAGAAAGATCTAGGAGGGAGTGGAATGGAGAATCTAAAGTAAATACAATGCAGCTGTATGATATGTATGTTTTCTGAATATCTCTCAGTTTAGCACTTCTGAAAAACACATATTGTTACCTTTTTTCCTGGCTATGCCTTTCTGTTGAATAAAAAACATACTTGCATTAAAATGTGTAGCTTATTTTTGTTCTATATTGTTACAGCAAAAGAGGAACATACAGTATATAGGCACTCGATTTGGAATGTTAGAACCAGAATCAACAGCTTTATTGTCACTTCTTTAAAATACAAGGGACGCCTGGAAACAGTTATGTTACAAATACACATTTTCAATACAAAAGTGGAAAGATACTCTAAATTTATTGGAAAAAACAGAGGAGAGTCATTGTTTCAAACACTTATCACAAGGCTAATGAGGCAAAGGGGTCAACGCTCAAGCCAACTCCCTCAACAAAGTACATGACATTGCCTGAACAGGAGACTATTGGCAAACACTTCACAGGTAACAATTGAAACAGAAAAGTAAATTCAGGGGGATAGTCATGTTGATAATATCATAAATATGTGATTGTAAATACAGTGCTATTATTGATGTCAGTATCAAAGGGCATTATATACATATTACTGTACATTTTAAGTCCCTACCCACAGTGTAATTGTAACAGTACTGTACCACCACAAACCAAATCACATTGTTTGTAATGACGCTATCTACGTATTTAGTGTGCAATGCAGCTACACTTCAGACATCAAAAATATATGATGGCCATGTGGGTGTATGTTGTGTACATAAAACAAATACAGATAAAGTAGTGGGATGAAAAATGTGTCCTCCTCGATCAAATCAATGTTGTGTGACTGTGATTGAATTCAACATTTTAACTTCCACTGTAGTAAACCAACTATGATTTTAATAACATTACAAATGTATATAAAAATGGTTCACTTCATAATACCCTGTTGATTGTTTTGGACTTGCTGTAGGGTTGGGTACTTTAAGTCGTAGGGTGCTTCCAAGAACATCTTGTGCTCAACAGCAGCAACCATAACATTTTACCTATTTAATATAATGTTGTATGTTCACAAAACTGCCATAATGCAACTCCTTGACTAAACCTCAGACATATACAAAGATGTTAACCTCAGATATATAACCACACCAGGCTGAGCTGCAATAACAATGATCCCACCAGACCCAGTATACACTATAGGCTATACGTACCATGACAAAGTGGCTGTCCAAGAGGGCACAAGATAAATGTATATGTGTGTGTTTGTGTGTGTGTGTGTGTGTGTGTGTGTGTGTGTGTGATGGCAGGATAATATCATTCTAGAGCAATTTACTGCACTTGACTTACTCTGAGGCACACCATATGTGGGTCTGGGTCTGGGACACATATTTCAGGCCTTGCTACAGTGCAGGCTTTGTAGAGTCATGGAGTATAAACTCTAGCTCCTCCCTCATGGACTAGACAGGAGTCTTGGAGAAGGGCAAGAGCCTTGACTGTCAAAGCTTGCAGTGCGGGTTTTCCACTGTAGGAGACATTTCACATGGAAAGATTAGTCATTCCAAAGTGCACCAGCATGAACATTGCTGTCACTGTTAGGAGTGTACCTACCATCAGAAATCCTACATAGATAAATAGGTGTACATACATTTCTATTTTGGTCATTTAGCATATGCTCTTATCCAGAGTGATTTGCATTCACCCATATCCAAGTCATTGCAAGTAAAACTTTCCTCAATAAAGCAGCTATCAGCGAAACATACATTATTGAATGTCAGCAGGGTGTTTTTCTTTGTGTCTTTGTGAGTAATAATACCTCTTTCTGAGACTTGCTTGCCTCCAGTAGAGAGTGCCAGTGAGCGATGGGCTTGCGTGGATAGGCCAACATCTCGTTCCAGTGGTCTCTGCCCAGTCCCTCTGCATGACTGCCCACTCTGTTCACACCTATGATCTCATTGTGTCCCACCCTAAGGGGAAAAAAATGAAAAATGCACCCATTAACTCTTCAGCCACATCTGGTATAATGTAACTTTACATTTTCGCTTCTACTATTAGCAGAACTGACAGTATTAGTAGGACTCTCAGAGTTAATGGATGGTTGTAGCATAAACAAACATATCAATAACAAGAACTTAGAAATTATTCTTGATAATATTGCCATGCATTGCATAACAAATTATATTGAGTATGGCATACAAGTCATAGTCCATCACGGATATGTGCAGGCTGACTTGGTCCATGTTCTCAGGGGGGATGTCGAAGATGATAGCTTCGTTATAGGTGGGGTTCAAAGTGTTCCTCTTGATGGTGGTTTTCTTCTTTTTCAAGCGCCGTCCATCACAGTCTAGGGAGACCTTGACATATGGGTCTGCCAATAAACAAGATAAAATATGATTTGATTTATTTAAAAACGACAAGTGCTTAGCTACTTAATGAATCAAGCTGATTTGACTGTACATTATGTCATATGTTATTTAACTAAGTATGGCTCTTGCGAGATGCGATAATAAACCAGATGATGTTTTTTTTCTTGTAACTCTTTTACCAGAGGGATAACCTGGTCAATGGTTAGAAGAGTATGCAACAGTGTTTAAGGTAAAACAAGCACAAAACCTTTTAACGTGAACCATTTGACTGAACTGTACCTGAGTATCCTGTGATGTCCATGGCCTTGAGGTTCCTGCACTTGATGACTGTCAAGGTGAGTCGTCCTGCGGTTGGCAGGTAACAGAGAGAGAACATGATCTCTCCCAGGTCTACAGTCTCCTGTGTTCAGGGCCACAGACAAAACACATCAGAACAGAAGGAAACAGAGTGGGCGTTTTCAGTTATCACACATTACAAAGCCACTAATATTGTTAAAGGGATAGTTGAATGATTTGACATATTTAGATATTTGTTTCATTACCTTGAAAGCAGTCTATGGACAAAACCAAAGTGTTGATTGCAGTCACTCCTTGTCCATAGACTGCATTCAAGGTAAGGAAACAAATATCTAAATATGTTAAATTGCTGAACTATCCCTTTGTATTACTATACTGTAGCAAATGTACAACCTAATTACCATTTAGTCTACAATGTGAATGAGGATGGAAGCTAGGGGGCATTGACCCCACATCCCCTGTCTGGTCTCCTATTATTGAACGCTTGAGACTCACACATGGGATCAAAGCATTACATTAGCTCATCAGAGCACCATTGAGGTGATTCCTTGCTACAGCTTATTAGGACCATCTCTTTTAAATACTTTAGAGCTTGCCTGGCACAATGGAACCAATGGAATAGTCCCAAAAATGCAAATCACCCAATATAGCACTTAAAACAGGCAAGCTCATTCAAACTTTTAAAGAATCCAAATACTATTTGAACCCATGTATGACAACTCTAAAAGGCTATCTGGACTTACACTGTGCTTTCGCTTCTGCTTTGCTAGCTCTTTGGGGTCTAGGCCAGATCTTCATAAAATACATTTATTTGATTGGTTGATTGACTTACAGAGGTGGCGTACTGAATATCCTTCCAGATGGCCATCTCACGGGAGAGGTCCGACACCTCAAACAGATTCTCCAGAATGACCTCGCCGATCATGTCGTGGCGGGAGAAGCGGTCAAAGTCAAAGACGCTCAGGTGCAGCTTTCTGCTTCCCAGCTCCTCGTAGGGCACGGCGAACTGGAAGGACTCATCAAACATGGGGTTGAGCGTCTTGCGATGGACACGGGTCTGGAACTTGCGCTTGCGGTCAGGCAGAAGGTAGATTTTGACGTAGGGGTCGGAGCTGCCGCATAAGTCTTTGGCGGGCAGGTCGAAGGCCTTGAGGATGTTGACGAGGAGAGCCTCGGACTCGTAGTCGTACTTGAGGGAGAAGTTGATCTTACCGCAGGTCTTGGCGGCAGCGCAGTTCTTGGAGGACTCGTCGGCATCTAGGGAGCTCTGTTTGTAGAGCTCTGGCTGGATGCGGCCCAAACTGGCCAGGCTGGTGGATTGGTCCTCTGCATAGGGGAAGTCGCTGCCTCGGTCAAGGCTGGTTACATGATGCATTTGTCGGGGTAGGTGCTTCTTGAAGGAGCTGTGCCTGGAGACATGGAGACATGTTTGCCAGTTGAATCATTTTATTGGACAATTTACACACTGTAGAACAATTTCAAGCAGTGGAATAATTCCAGTACCATATGGCATGCCTGGGAAATCTGTGCCCCCTGCTGAATAATGTTGTCAGCTTCCAATTTAGAGTAAAGGGAATTGCATTTTCTCTCTGATATTAGATGATTTAGATGTTTCTTAATTTAGCTCAATAGGAGCTCCATGGCAATAGGGGCATTCAACTGACAATCTCATTTATTTTCTATGTATCTCATCTTAAAGGTCACAAATGGATATGTTACAGGTGTAGATATGATGCATAATGATTTATATATCTGTACCACTATGACACACTATAAATAGCCCCTTCCTGATAATATCACATACTATTACCTCAATACTAATACATGTCCTGGACATAAACACTGAGACTCAGAGGAGCCTTTACATTGAATTAGGAGGCCCTTACACACTGATCTGAGGTCAGTTTTGAGGAAGCACTGATAAGCTGATACTAGGGATGCCTTTCAAATGGCACCTTATTCCCTATAGTGCACTACTTTTGACCAGGACCAATAGGGCTCTGGTCAAAAGTAGTGCACTATGTCAGGAATAGGGTGCCATTTAGGACGTAGCCCAAGTCTGTGTCTAAAGGCAACTTCCTCCCGTAGCCTGACCTAGTGGAGGAGGTGGGCTCGGTGGTCTGCCTGGACATGCGCGTGCGGCGCAGGAAATGGTCCTTCATGGACAGCTGCACCTCGGCAGGGATGTCAGGCGACGTGTGGCTGATCTTCACCGCTGCCTCTAGGAAACTTGCCGGGTCCGAAAGATTCAGCTTGTCCGACGCCATGGCATGTGTGTGCGTGTGTGCATGTACGAGCGTAGGCCTGTGGCCGTGTGCGGGCAAGGCTCTGTCGTAGGGTCTGTCAGAGGCGGAGGAGGGGGGGGCGGAGGCGAGGACAGTGGCACTGGAGGAGAGGTCCTTGGTGCGCCAGTGCACCCAGCACAGCTTCCAGGAGGCAAAGACAATGACGCCCAGCAGGCCCAGGCCACAGGCCACGAACACCAGGAGCAGGAGGCTGAAGGAGAGATCTGGAGGAGGGGGAGGGATGGGTGGGTGGGTGGTGGAGGGGAGAGGAAGAAGAAGAAGATAGAAGAAGATTACTTTATTGTCCAACTGTACACAAGATCCAACGAACATTCGACTTACGCTTTATCCCAACCCCTCCGAAAGACACACATACGTACACACAAAGGTTGGAGAGGTTGGAGCAGGGGGCAGTCATTCTGCAATGCCCATGGAGAAGGGGGAGGGATGGAGGGATGGGTGGAGGAGTACAGGAGAGGAAGGTCGGTGGATTGGAATGGAACAGCAGATATATACAGTATGCATGAGTGAGATGTGATAAAGGCATGGGCGGTGTGTTCAATAGGGCGATATGGGCGACGCACTGCCAAACGGGAAAAGGAAGGGATTTTTTTTCTAATCAATTATATCATGGCAACAGTAGTTCAGTGTTCACGTCTGATCTGCCAGCCACTAAATGTCCAATCAGGCTAAAGTCGTGCTTCAAATGTCCCCGCCCGTTTTGGGGCGATTTCAGTCAGGTTGAAAATCGCCCAGAAGTCTCTCATAGCCTCTAATGTAAAATATTTTTTTTTCAAATTTCTGAGCTTTCAATACATTCTCTATGGGTGTCTGAGGGCTTGCACTTACGCGCTTTCGTCATACGTAACGTAACGTAACCATGAACGGCAGACAGCAACGCTTGGACAGCGACTGGTGTAACCGACATGCACCATCTTTCAGAAAAGATTACGAAAAATGAGCTGTCAAAGACCCACATTGATAGCTGTTTGAGATTGTCTGCTTTGGTGAGAGTGAATATTGCCACTCAACTGGATGAGGGATACAGGCTAGCTGTCCGCCGCCACAACGATGAGGTTAGCAACAGCAGAGTCGTGAACACTGTCTACGAGAATCGAGACGACCTCATAGAATGTTTTGAAGCCATCCGGACGGGTTCATTGGGTTCATTTGACCAGCCCACCGTACCAGAAGCTACAGAATAAGGACATCGATGCTGTCTTTATCAAACGTGCCCTCGACAGCTTCGCAAGCAGTGTGCAGGCCATAAGGTAAGATAAAGATTAAACAATATCATTCGATCTTTCTCAAAGCAGAGCTTTATTTGAAAATGTATGCATGAAAGGAGACTGCATTTGTGTTTGAAATTACATTATTGTCATTATATATGGCCAGTGGTGTAATCTATCTTATTTTATATACTATGTGTACTGTACAGTGGTGCTCATAAGTGTATGAACACATTCTAAAGCTGATTAAAAAGAGGAATAAAAAAATAAAAAAATCATCTTTTGGAAATTGATCTTAATGACTTAATTAAAAAAGTTGGAAAATCCAACCTTTAAGGACACCAATTTTCTTTTCTTTTTTATTCCTCTTTTTAGTCAACTTTAGCATGGGATCATAAGCTTATGAGCACCACTGTATACTGTGCTGAACATCCAGGCTATGTGAGACACAAAGGCTAACTTAAACACTAAAGACTTTATGCATCCCTGCCCATTTTAAGTGGAACTGAAGTATTTGTACTATACATGGATACATTGCATATACCTGTGCATCACATAGACAACAATACTGTACAAAGCCAACAAACACATTGGTCTGTTTGCCTTCAGGGACTCCTCTCAACAGCAGCTGCAAGAAGCAACAGGAGCCAAAAGACCCAGAACAGCTTTGAGAGAAGAGGAGAAGCAGAGGCTGTCTGAAGAGGTCTGCAACACCATCCTGGATCACACCAAAGAAAGGTTCTCTTTCTCTGGCCACCTTGTGAGTGCTACCTTACTGCAAGCAGACATGTTTGAAAGGTACTGCCATTCAAAAAAATAAAAAATCTGTTCATGTTCATTTTTACAAATCTATACAATTGGCCAGAATATGGTTGTTCATATTTACAAATCTATACAATTGGCCAGAATATGGTTGTTCATTTTTACAAAGCCATACATATTGTTTATGCAGTGTTGAGGAATGTGAAAGAACACCCTTGATTATTTTTACTGTGATAACTTATTTTGCTTTTGTAAGCCAACACTTTTGAGATCAGTCAATAAATGCTTCTGGTATTGACTTATATGCTGCCCCTGTCTTCATGTTGTTGCTGGACATATCTTTTTAAAAATGTGTGTAGGTCACCTAAATCATCAGAAAAATTGCCCCTCCTGAGAATTTTTTCAGGAGCCGCCACTGGATAAAGGCAAGGCAAAGGTTTTATTTACAGACATCGCACTGCTAAGCAATGTATTTTGAAACCCTCAAAATCGAAAGCAACTGTGCTGCCACCACCAGCTAAGGCGTGTGAAAGCATTAATTTCAATGGTTTATTGAGAAATACAATCATGTTGGGGGTCGGTAAGCATGGTACATGATGTATGAGTGTAGTCATCAATCGTCTCTCATACACAGTCTGTCAGCCTGCCTCCTGGTGATTTAACAGAGAACGTCACCAGGACCTTATATTCACAAATTGGTTGATCTCTTTTTAAAACATACTGCACTGTAAATGGGTGCTGTAAGCAATGTGTCTCTAGATCAAATGACCAAACGTATCTTAATGATCAAATGCTTATTCTGTGGGTCAATGCCTATTCTAAGGAGCTATTTGTGTAGCCAAGTAATGAGAAATAAGCCTTCAGCCAGCTCTCTCTCTCTCTCCTCAGTCTCTCTCTCTCTCTGACACACACACACACACAAAAATACATATGCGCAAGCAAGCAGAGTGCAAGTGTTCACTGTTTGACTTGCAAATGCACAAAATGTAATTACAGTCTTATTCCAGATAGAGAAAACAGCCCCACAAACCATTTTACCAAGGATGAGAGCCACACAGGTAGAATAACTGTTCCCCTGTCCGTCTGTGGCCCTAGTCTGGGATGATTATATCTCATTGGAATAAAAGGCTGATCTCTCTGTTTTCTATGATTATTACAAATGTGTTTGCAAAGGACTTGCGCTGGTTGTGGGCCACACATATTGGAGGGGCCAGGATGGAAAATTATCAAGAACTGTTTCAGTCTTTATCTGCATTTCCCATAGGGATAATGATTGGAGCATCACAAACAATTGTACATATATTAATGACAGGGGCATTGCTATTGGACAGCTTGGGGGGGTGGGGGGTGTGACCTTCTAACCCCTTCCAACACCAGAAAGCCATAAATTGAGCGTAGAGATGCAAAGCATTAGAATGTAGGTTACTATCTCCCTAAAACAGCTGTCCAGTCTAATTAATTAAATCTGATGAAAACACATGAATTATACATAAGGTTTCTAGTAAAGCTGGGAAATTCACAAGCTGTAGCTACAGTTTCCTAAATAAAAAATGGAAGCCTGTAGAAAATATCTACTCTGGAGCAACAGAGACTGGTTTGAAAATAAAACAGTAGGCCAAAGTTTTTGTTTCCTAATGGAATAAATAATATATTACAGTGCCTTCGGAAAGTATTCAGACCCCCTGACTTTTTCCACATTTTGTTAGGTTACAGCCTTATTCTAAAATGTATTAAATTGTTTTTTCCCCTCATCAATCTACACACAATACCCCATAATGACAAAGCAAAAACTGACTTTTAGACCTTTCAAATAATATATATATATAAAAATAAACTGAAATATGACATTTACATAAGTATTCAGACCCTTTACGCAGTACTTTGTTGAAGCACCTTTGGCAGCGATTATAGCCTCAAGTCTTCTTGCGTATGACGCTACAAGCTTGGCACACCTGTATTTGGGGAGTTTCTCCCATTCTTCTCTGCAGATCCTCTCAAGCTCTGTCAGGTTGGTTAGGCAGCGTTGCTGCACAACTATTTTCAGGTCTCTCCAGAGATGTTCGATCGGGTTCAAGTCCGGGCTCTGGCTGGGCCACTCAAGGACATTCAGAGACTTGTCCCGAAGCCACTCCTGCGTTGTCTTAGGGTCGTTGTCCTGTTGGAAGGTGAACCTTCGCCCCAGTCTGAGGTCCTGAGCGCTCTGGAGCAAGTTTTCATCAAGGATCTCTCTGTACTTTGCTCCTTTCATCTTTGCCTCGATCCTGACTAGTCTCCCAGTCCCTGCTGCTGAAAAACATCCCCACAGCATGATGCTGCCACCACCATGCTTCACCGTAGGGATGGTGCCAGGTTTCCTCCAGACATCACTCTTGGCATTCAGGCCAAAGAGTTCAATCTTGGTTTCATCAGATCAGAGAATCTTGTTTCTCACAGTCTGAGAGTCTTTAGGTGCCTTTTGGCAAACTCCAAGCGGGCTGTCATGTGCCTTTTACTGAGGAGTGGCTTCCGTCTGGCCACTCTACCATAAAGGCCTGATTGGTGGAGTGCTGCAGAGATGGTTGTCCTTCTGGAAGGTTCTCCCATCTCCACAGAGGAACTCTAGAGCTCTGTTAGAGTGACCATTGGGTTCATGGTCACCTCACTGACCAAGGTCCTTCTCCCCCGATTGCTCAGTTTGGCCAGACGGCCAGCTCTAGGAAGAGTCTCGGTGGTTCCAAACTTCTTCCATTTAAGAATGATGGAGGCCACTGTGTTCTTGGGGACCTTCAATGCTGCAGAAATGTTTTGGTACCCTTCCCCAGATCTGTGCCTTGACACAATCCTGTCTCGGAGCTCTACGGACAATTCCTTCGACCTCATTGCTTGGTTTTTGCTCTGACATGCACTGTCAACTGTGGGACCTTTAAATAGACAGGAGTGTGCCTTTCCAAATCATGTCCAATCAATTTAATTTACCACAGGTGGATTCGAATCAAGTTGTAGAAACATCTCAAGGATGATCAATGGAAACAGGTGCATCTGATCTCAATTTCGAGTCTCATAGCAAAGGGTCTTAATACTTATGTAAATAAGATATTTCTGTTTTTTGTTTTTAATACATTTGCAAACCTGTTTTCGCTTTGGCATTATGGGGTATTGTGTGTAGATTGCTGAGGAAATTGTTTTATTTAATCCATTTTAGAAAAAGGCTGTAACGTAACAAAATGTGGAAAAAGTCAAGGGGTCTGAATACTTTCCAAAGGCACTGTATATCTTTAAAGGTAGACTCAGCGAGATGAGTTGTCATGAGCAGCACCGCAGATATTGAGACAAGCGAGATGCAAGACTTTGCTCTCACACAGTCACACACAGCATCTGCGCATGTGCTTGGGTTCGCAACACGCTGTTTACAGAGCGTGGTAGCCAGGGCACCAAAACAGCAGAGACGTTGAGCCTCTCGCTTCAACGCTCTTAGTTTTTGCAAAAATGTACGCACTATGCTGTTTACTTTATGCATCTACATCATATCGCTGAGTCTACCTTTCATTGCACATTTCCAGGGTAGCCCTTTACACTCATAAATGGGTTGAAAATCCGGGTAGCCATTTGATTAGCTGTTCAGGAGTCTTATGTCTTGGGGGTAGAAGCTGTTAAGAAGTCTTTTGGACCTAGACTTGGCGCTCCGGTACCGCTTGCCGTGTGGTAGCAGAGAGAACAGTCTATGACTAGGGTGGCTGGAGTCTTTGACAATTTTTAGGGCCTTCCTCTGACACCGCCTGGTATAGAGTTCCTGGATGGCAGGAAGCTTGGCCCCAGTGATGTACTGGGCTGTACGCATTACCCTCTGTAGTGCCTTGCAGTCGGAGGCCGAGCAGTTGCCATACCAGGCGGTGATGCAACCAGTCAGGATACTCTTGATGGTGCAGCTGTAGAACCTTTTGAGGATCTGAGGACCCATGCCAAATCTTTTCAGTCTCCTGAGGGGGAATAGGCTTTGTCGTGCCATCTTCACGACTGTCTTGGTGTGTTTGGACCATGATAGTTTGTTGGTGATGTGGACACCAAGGAACTTGAAGCTCTCAACCTGCTCCACTACAGCCCCGTCAATGAGAATGGGGGCGTGCTCGGTCCTCCTTTTCCTGTAATCTACAATCATCTCCTTTGTCTTGATCACGTTAAGGGAGAGGTTGTTATCCTGGCACCACACGGCCAGGTCTCTGACCTCCTCCCTATAGACTGTCTCATTGTTGTCGGTGATCAGGCCTACCACTGTTGTGTCGTCTGCAAACTTAATGATGGTGTTGGAGTCGTGCCTGGCCATGCAGTCATGGGTGAACAGGGAGTACAGGAGGGGACTGAGCACGCACCCCTGAGGGGCCCCCGTGTTGAGGATCAGCGTGGCAGATGTGTTGTTACCTACCCTTACCACCTGGGGGCGGCCCGTCAGGAAGTCCAGGATCCAGTTGCAGAGGGAGGTGTTTAGTCCCAGGGTCCTTAGCTTAGTGGTGGTCCTCTGTAGCTCAGCTGGTAGAGCACGGCGCTTGTAATGTCAAGGTAGTGGGTTCGATCCCCGGGACCACCCATACACAAAAAATGTATGCACGCATGACTGTAAGTCGCTTTGGATAAAAGCGTCTGCTAAATGGCATATTTTTTTTATTTTTTTTTAGTGATGAGCTTTGAGGGCGCTATGGTGTTGAACGCTGAGCTGTAGTCAATGAATAGCGTTCTCACGTAGGTGTTCCTTTTGTCCAGGTGGGAAAGGGCAGTGTGGAGTGCGATTGAGATTGTGTCATCTGTGGATCTGTTGGGGCGGTATGCAAATTGGAGTGGGTCTAGGGTTTCTGGGATAATGGTGTTGATGTGAGCCATGACCAACCTTTCAAAGCACTTCATGGCTACCGACGTGAGTGCTACGGGTCTGTAGTCATTTAGGCAGGTTACCTTAGTGTTCTTGGGCACAGGGACTATGGTGGACTGCTTGAAACATGTTGGTATTACAGACTCAGTCAGGGATAATTATATCAGGAAAGCGATTACTCACCTCGTACTGGACAAAGATTTTTTCTTTAACGAGTAGGATGCGTAGGATTTACTTCAGACACCCGACAAGGCTCAAATCCCCGTCAATCGCAAAATATTTTTCTAATATTTTGTTGACTGAGTTAGGGAAATAATGCAAATTAAGAGGACTCAATGTATTTTGAAGGATTATAATAAATACTGCTTTGATGTCATACAAATAAGTCAAACACCCTTGAGTCCAAATGTGGCACTTCACATTTCCATAGCATAAAACTCATGTCATATACAGTGTTAACGTTTATGATCACTATGTTTGATGTACAGTTACAAGATGACATGGCGTCATACCCTGGGTTATTCTGAACAGAATGAGCCTATGTTTGTCTACTGTGAAGAAAATTCGCCACGCCACACGCACCTGATTGTACTCATAACTCCTTTCTATGCACACCAAAATTACAATCTGTTTCCCTGCATTGTGAAAGCCTAACACTGTAATATCATATTTTATAATTTAGCTTGTCATGTTGGCAATATAACAAGCTTTCAAATGATGCCCACCTAACCCAGATTGCGATTTATAATGGACCGTTTTTGGATAACCTGGGCTGCGTCCCAAACGGCACCCTATTCTCTATATAGTGCACTTCTTGGGCCCTGGTCAAAAGTGGTGCACTACATAGAGAATAGGGTGCTATTTGGGACGAGGGCCTGGATTTAGGAGACAAATTTCCCACCAACATTCCAGTCAGTACATCCTCGTGGTGGAGAGAATTTAGGACATATGGTAATCCCTGCATACTTTAAAATAAGATGCTTGAATTTCACAGTCAATCAAAATTCTGTGGCTTACTTGCACCGTAATTAACTTTTTGGATTTGGATTTATTTGAGTGGGCGGTTGTGTGACTAACCCACTATGAAGTTTAATGTACCTTCAATGAGTGATATAGCTAAGGGCTTCAAAGTATCTCCCGCCGCCGAATGTCTAACATGGTGCTCAATACCCTAAACAGAAACCATCTGAGGAAATTTGCCCTCTGATTGTTTAGTGTTCTATTGCTGTAATACAGAGTTTGGGCAATTTCAAGGATTAGCAGTTTATTGAGATGTGCATTTATTGCTCTCCCAGGCTCACACACACACACAAAAAAAAAACACACACACACACACTCGCATCTTCTTCAAATTAAATATTGATGTGAGAGCGATGCAAGCTTGTACAATTATTACACATCTCACACCTTTGACATGTCAGCCTAATTGTCCATGCAAGACCCAAAGCCAAGAGCATGCCCTGGATAATGGTTTTCTGATTCAGTGTTCAAACAGTAATTGAATCTAGCGTGTCTTTTTAATTCAATAGATGTCAGGGGTTATGCCTACTGTTTTCATGATACAGTATTTGCAGTTTTTATTCATCATAAATCGTTGAATCTTTTGTGATGTTTTCTGTGTAAAAAAAGGAACAAATGTAAATTGTGAAAAATTATTGGACACAAAGGCATAACATCATCCTACAATTGGAGCTTACTGTCTGCAAAATGGGAGAAATTACAGTCCAAACCGCATTTACTGTATCTGCTGCACTGCTCTCACAGAAAGAAACTGCCGTGAGACCAGACTTAGAGAGCTTTTTTTAGGGACCCATAAATCTGATTAAACCTTGTTTTGTAGCAGACACAGAGAGCAAACAAAGCCCCAGGGTTTTTTATCCTCGTCAAGTGCCCTCATATACAACCTGGTCTCTATAGAAACCTGTCCAGTAGACATTTCCACTCCCACTCCCACCACCCCTACCCCCTAATTTTGAGGGCTGCAGCCTCAAACACAACATGCCAAGTATATATTAAACGATCCTCGTCATTCGTTCTTACACTAACTTTCTTCGTCTTGGTGGATGATGTGCAATAAAACGCTAAACCCCCTCTAATCACCCTTGACTGGGATGATTTGCCGTGTCTCATCATGGCTCCTCTTAGAGAATCTTTAAGCAATTACTCCAGCAGCCTCCTTGGCTGTTTATAGTCCTCAGCCACTTTATCATCCTCCCCACTCAATCCTTTAAACCTGGGATTTACTCACATAGATGACACTCATGAGGATTGGGCCACTTATTAACTATAAAAGATGGGAGAGAAAAATAATGGGTCTGGGATCATCCCTTCATCCACAGTGGCCACATGGTTAGGACTGACAATACACAGGAAATAGGCTACCTGTCTGAAAAATAAATAGACATTATCCAGCTGGTTAAAGTGGCTGTGTTGGAGAAGAACATGCTGGTCCAACCCCATTGTTCGCATTAAAAGAGCACAGAAACATTATTTTCTCAGTATTTTCCCAAGTAATGGGTAAAAAATAAATACATATGTTTTACTGTTATAGTACAACCTTCATCTTATAGCTCCTCCCAACTCTTCACCGCAGCCTCCTCACAGACTGACATTTAGAGCGTCAGTAAAATTCCAGATAACATTTTCCCTGGGCTGCTGCCCCGGCGACCCTGTGTACAGTATGGGGGAGGGCAAGGCACACTTCTCCCTCCAGTGTGATGATATTTACAGACAAGCAATTACTGGGATTGGAAACTCACCACAACAACCCCTGCTGTACAGTGGCTTGCGACAGTATTCACCTCCCTTGGCATTTTTCCTATTTTGTTGCCTTACAACCTGGAATTAAAATGGATTTTTAGGGGGTTTGTATCATTTGATTTACACAACATGCCTACCACTTTGAAGATGCACTTATTTTGTTGTTGTGTGAAACAAAAAAGAAATAAGACAAAAAAACAGAAAACTTGAGCGTGCATAATTATTCACCCCCCTAAAGTCAATACTTTGTAGAGCCACCTTTTGCAGCAATTACAGCTGCAAGTCTCTTGGGGTATGTCTCTATAAGCTTGGCACATCTAGCCACTGGGATTTTTGCCCATTCTTCAAACTGCTCCAGCTCCTTCAAGTTGGATGGGTTCCGCTGGTGTACAGCAATCTTTAAGTCATACCACATATTCTCAATTGGATTGAGGTCTGGGCTTTGACTAGGCCATTCCAAGACATTTAAATGTTTCCCCTTAAACCACTCGAGTGTTACTTTAGCAGTATGCTTAGGGTCATTGTCCTGCTGGAAGGTGAACCTCCGTCCCAGTCTCAAATCTCTGGAAGACTGAAACAGGTTTCCCTCAAGAATTTCCCTGTATTTAGCGCCATCCATCATTCCTTCAATTCTGACCAGTTTCCCAGTCCCATGAAAAACATCCCCACAGCATGATGCTGCCACCACCATGCTTCACTGTGGGGATGGTGTTCTCGGGGTGATGAGAGGTGTTGGGTTTGCGCCAGACATAGCGATTTCCTTGATGGCCAAAAAGCTCAATTTTAGTCTCATCTGACGAGAGTACCTTTTGGCAAACACATTTTTTTCTTTAAGCATTGGCTTTTTTCTGGCCACTAAAAAGCCCACATAAAGCCCAGCTCTGTGGAGTGTATGGCTTAAAGTGGTCCTATGGACAGATACTCCAATCTCCGCTGTGGAGCTTTGCAGCTCCTTCAGGGTTATCTTTGGTCTCTTTGTTGCCTCTCTGATTAATGCCCTCCTTGCCTGGTCCGTGAGTTTTGGTGGGCGGCCCTCTCTTGGCAGGTTTGTTGTGGTGCCATATTCTTTCAATTTTTTAATAATGGTTTTAATGGTGCTCTGTGGGATGTTCAAAGGGATGTCAAATCCAAATAAAAATCCATTTAAATTACAGGTTGTAATGCAACAAAATAGGAAAAACGCCAAGGGGGCTGAATACTTTTGCAAGGCACTGTATGTGCTGGTGTTCCTATAGGCCTACCTACACCAACCCCCTATTTAAAGGGGCTATTATTTAACTGTTGTCAAATGAAAAACATTTAAATAGCCATATTGTAAACAAAGTCAATCAAATACCTTGGTTAAATTGATTGAGTATAATGGGTAATATCAGTGTTATATCAGTTTGTCTTTTTAAGAAATTTCCCATCCCTTCTCTATTTCCTGAAGTCAGTGATGATATCATTCATTAGGCCAATGTTCATTCCCACCACAGCTATCATGGTAATGGGGAGAGAGGGAAAGACAGAGAGCGAGAGACAGATACAGAGCGAGTGAGAGAGAGAGAGAGAGAGAGAGAGAGAGAGAGAGAGAGAGAGAGAGAGAGAAAGAGAGAGAGAGAGAGAGAGAGAGAGAGAAAGTCTGTATTGTTACAGACAAGTGAGGGCCAAGTAAGTGCTTGTGAATTTTATAGTTTTCAATGCCATGTTGTTTTTAAATGTATCACAAATGAAAGCACTACACCATGATACAATAGAACATGAATCCTTTTCAATGACTCATTAACTTTGAGAGGACTGACAAAATGATGAGGTGGAAAATGTTCATTGTTTTGCAAGGCCTAAACACAATGCTGAATTGTTATGTATCTGAGAGAAATGTTATATCTGCCTATTGATTTAGTCAAGTCCATGAAACCTCTGGTACAACAACAAAACGTATCATCATTATATAAGAGAGGTTATATTAAAATAACATTATCATATGAATAAACAAAACGGTAAACTCAAAAGGGCACTTTTGAGAAATATTTGTTTCTACAATTCAGAGAGTGCTAATGTATATTTTTATGCAATCCAATGAAAATTACCTTTTCATTTGACATTTGTCTCAAGATAATAACAATGCTCAGAATGCTACATTTAGTAGAATTTTTAAAAGAGGTGTGGGAAATGTCAAAGGCCCAGTGCAGTCAAAAACGTGATTTTGCTGTGTTTTATATACAGTATATTTCCACACCATGAGGTTGGAATAATACATTGAAATTGTGAAAATTATGATAATGCCCTTTTAGTGTAAGAGCTGTTTGAAAAGACTGCCTGAAATTTCAGCCTGTTTTGGTGGGATGGAGTTTTGGTCTGCCTGGTGAAATCACCAGGAAGTAATTTAGTTAATAGACCAATAAGAAAGAGAGTTCCAAACCACTGCCAATAACAGCTAGTTTTCAATTTTCCCCTCCCCACTCAGACCACTCCCAGACAGTCCTAGCAAAATTCTTGCTTGAGAAATTGCTCTTTGCTAAATCTTTGACCATCTTAATTGAAAACAATCACAGTAAGGTACTTATATGTTACCAAAAAATGATTTGATATTGAGATCGAAACGGCTTCACACACACACCAAAATGCAGTTGTCAACACCAGCGAATATTAATTGAACTCCAGAGTTGGTTTTCAGCAATTAATTTCCGTAATTGGTTGTGCCACCCAAAGGATGATAATGTGGGACAAAACATGTTCCTCGTCTTGAACTCTCCCCCCAGCCAAATGAGAGCTTAGCCAGCCAGCAGGATTTGAGCAGGAAAAGCACACTGGAAATACTTACAAATACAGCTGATTATGTGAAAACCCCAGAGCACCCCACAGCATTGTCGCCAACCCCTGGGCTACATAAACAAGCAGGATCATTGAGGCACACACACAACAGCAAAGGGGGAGGGTGGGTGGGGGGATGACGCTACATGCCACATTCAGTATCCTGTCCCTTTCTTCTGTGTGTGAAAGTGGGTTAGATTAGAATTTGTTGGGCTGGAGACTGAGGAGAGTGTGGACGGGAGATAAGACAGAGAAAGGCCAGGCTTGCTGGTTTTGATGGACAGTCATTCTGAAGAGAAGATGCCGAGAGGTATCCAATAAGAGCGCTCGGCTGAGCAAACATCCCTAAATCTGACCACGGACTGTTATAAAAGGAAACAAAAGGAGTCCTCTTTGGGGAAAAGTCAAGTTATTCACAGACGTCTGTTAGGGGGTGAGTGTTTGAGAATTAAACCATGTGAATTAAACCAAAAATGGACTCTGCAGCATTGCCTTAGCTAGCCTTGTCTAACTTACCAAGCTGGAAAGCTAGACTAGTAGAGCCCAAACAATACTATGCTACCTGAAAGGTGCCAACCAACCAGATATACCCCATCTTCCTCTAAAGACCCCATCTTCCTCGGCAAACTTGTCCCTGAGTGCTAAAGTGCCTCATGCAATTTGCAAACCCCACTACAACAGCATATGCCAGGCATGGTAAAAAAAAAGAAAAAGAGCCTTTTAAAAATAAATATTTGATAAAAGTGACCTCTGAAAATAAATTGGAAGATCAGTTTTCAATTAATATTGATGTGCTTTTATTTCATGAAATCAAACTCTACTAATCCTTAAAAATGTTTTCAGGTGCTACAGAACTCACAGATAACATATTGAGTGGTGAGTTACTGTATGAAAGCTATGATATACCATACAGTGCCTTCGGAAAGTATTCAGACCCCTTGACCTTTTGCACATTTTGTTAGCATACAGCTTTATTCTAAAATGGATTAAATAGTATTTTTTCCTCGTCAATCTACACACAATACCCAATAATGACAAAGCAAAAACAGGTCGTTTTTCTGTGCACATTTATGAAACAATAAAAAACTGAAATATTACATTTACATAAGTATTCAGACCCTTTACTCAGTACTTTGTTGAAGCACCTTCGGCAGCGATTACAGCCTTGAGTCTTCTTGGGTATGACGCTACAAGCTTGGCACACCTGTATTTGGGGGTTTCTCCCATTCTTCTCTGCAGATCCTCTCAAGCTCTGTCAGGTTGGATGGGGAGCGTTGCTGCACAGCTATTTTCAGGTTTCTCCAGAGATGTTCGATCGGGTTCAAGTCTGGGCTCTGGCTGGGCAACTCATGGACATTCAGAGACTTGTCCCGAAGCCACACCTGCGTTGTCTTGGCTGTGTGCTTAGGGTTGTTGTCCTGTTGGAAAGTGAACCTTCACCACAGTCTGAGGTCCTGAGCGCTCTTGAGCAGGTTTTCATCAAGGATCTCTCTGTACTTTGCTCCATTCATCTTTGCCTCGATCCTGACTAGTCTTCCAGTCCCTGCCGCTGAAAAACATCCCCATAGCATGATGCTGCCACCACCATGCTTCACCGTAGGGAAAAAGCACCTAAAGACTCTCAGGCAAAAGAGTTCAATCTTGGTTTCATCAGACCAGAGAATCTTGTTTCTCATGGTCTGAGAGTCCTTTAGGTGCCTTTTGGCAAACTCCAAGCGGGCTGACATGTGCCTTTTACTGAGGAGTGGCTTCAGTCTGGCCACTCTACCATAAAGGCCTAATTGGTGGAGTGCTGCAGAGATGGTTGTCCTTCTGGAAGGTTCTCCCATCTCCACAGAGGAACTCTAGAGCTCTGTCAGAGTGACCATCGGGTTCTTGGTCACCTCCCTTACCAAGGCCCTTCTCCCCCGATTGCTCAGTTTGGCCAGGCGGACAGCTCTAGGAAGAGTCCAAACGTCTTCCATTTAAGAATGATGGAGGCCACTGTGTTCTTGGGGATCTTCAATGCTGCTGAATTGTTTTGGTACCCTTCCCCAGATCTGTGCCTCGACACAATCCTGTCTTGGAGCTCTACGGACAATTCCTTCGACCTCATGGCTTGGGTTTGCTTTGACATGCACTGTCAACTGTGGGACATTAAATAGACAGGCGTGTGCCTTTCCAAATCCTGTCCAATCAATTAAATTTACCACAGGTGGACTCCAATCAAGTTGTAAAAACATCTCAAGGATGATCAATGGAAACAAGATGCACCTGAGCTCAATTTCGAGTCTCATAGCAAAGGGTCTGAATACTTATGTAAATAAGGTATTTCTGTTTTTAATACATTTGCAAAAATGTCTAAAAACGTGTTTTCGCTTTGTCATTATGGGGTATTGTGTGTAGATTGCTGAGGATGTTTATTTATTTAATCAATTTTAGAATAAGGCTGTAACAAAATGTGGAAAAAGTCAAGGCGTCTGAATACATTCTGAAGGCACTGTATTTGCTGAACAAAAATATAAAACGCAACATGCAACAATTTCAAAGATTTTACTGAGTTACAGTTCATATAAGGAAATCAATCAATTGAAATTAATTAATTAGGCAATAATCTATGGATTTCACATGACTTGGAATACAGACATGCATCTGTTGGTCACAGATACCTTAAAAAATAAAGTAGGGGCGTGGATCAGAAAACCAGTCAGTATCTGGTGTGACCACCATTTGCCTCATGCAGCGTGACATCTCCTTCACATAGAGTTGATCAGGCTTTTGATTGTGGCCTGTGGAATGTTGTCCCACTCCTCTTCAATGGCTGTGCGATGTTGCTGGATATTGGCGAGAACTGGAACACGCTGTTGTACATGTCGATCCAGAGCATGGAAGAATTGTGTACAGATCCTTGTGACATGGGGCCATGCATTATCATGTTAAAACATGAGGTGATCGCGGCTGATGAATGGCATGACAATGGGCTATCTCTGTGCATTCAAATTGCCATCGATAAAATGCAATTGTGTTTGTTGTCCGTAGCTTATGCCTGACAATACCATAACCCAACCGCCAAATTCTTTGGTTGTGCAAACCCACAGTTTCATCAGTTGTCCGGGTGGCTGGTCTCAGATGATCCCACAGGGGAAGAAGCCGGATGTGGAGGTCCTGGGCTGACGTGGTTACACGTGGTCTAAGGTTGTTAGGCCGGTTGGACGTACTGCCAAATTCTCTAAAACAACGTTGGAGGTGGCTTATGGTAGAGAAATGAACATTAAATTATCTGGCAACAGCTCTGGTGGACATTCCTGCAGTCAGCATGCCAATTGCACGCTCCCTCAAAACTTGCGACATCTGTGGCATTGTGTTGTGTTACAAAACACACATTTTAGTGGCCTTTTATTGTCCCCAGCACAAGGTGCACCTGTGTAATGATCATGCTGTTTAATCAGCCTCTTGATATGCCACACCTGTCAGGTGGATGGATTATCTTGGCAAAGGAGAAATGCTCACTAACAGGGCTGTAAACAAATTTGTGCACAAAATATGAGAGAAATACGCTTTTTGTTCCTTTGGAATTTCTGGGGTCTTTTATTTCAGCTCATGAAACATGGGACCAACACTTTTGTTCAGTATACTTGTATCATTGACCCTAGCAGAAGGATTTGCTAGCCATCCTTTTGTTGAACACCATTCAATATGTTCTCCTCTCTCAGGGATCTGGATTACTGAGTTTAAATTGATAAACAAATGGAGTGATCATCCCCTGCAGCCAAAACAGCCAAACCTGATTTCTAAAGTTAATTGGACGAGAGAATAGATCCATGTCTCTTATAAAAACGTTGGGTTTTAGGTTGCTGAGAGCTAACGTGACCAATCCTGCTCCTGGAGGCTTTCCATCTCCTCTATGTTTCTCCATCGATTAATCAGCCATCAACATTACATTCGTCAACACCTGAACAACTGGGGTGAGTGACTTCCGAACCAATCAATCAAATAAATTTGTGTGGCGCTTTTTTAGAAAGTCATTCATTACGTGAGGCAAACAAAATATCACGACCCAACCTTTCCTCTCAGAGAAACAAGAAAAGGGCAAGAGTGGCAAATCTCCCAAGACTGACAGATAGAGAGTATAGCTCATTCTATCTGGTCGGCACAATGCATGAGTTTGCATGACCGTCACAGTCATGGCCAATCTATTGTGTCAAAAAGGATTTGGTCGCTCAAATGCTGACTTTAATAAATCAACCAACCCAATGCTTGGATGACTGGATCATGAATGTGAAGACGTCCATGGCTCACTAGATCAAGGCTCAGGCTGGCAGGTTTGATGCAGAATAGATCCAGTCCTACTCTGCACCCATCGGGCTCTGGTCAAAAGCAGTGCACTATAGGCTGTAGGGAAAAGGGTGCCATTTGGGAAGCAGACCTACTCTGTGTGGATCTGCCCAGTGCCTGGGGGTTGCTAGAGGCATATTACAGGCCCAACCTCTGCACTGGCCAATTGTATTCATGCCCTGACGGGTTGAATGAATGGTTGCCTGGTATTGATTGGTGCAATCCAGATGCACCTTTATTGCGCCTCAAGAGCTTTCATGTGCACGGGCAAATACTATTACACTTGGTTAATGCACTTGCGTGCCCATTGTAAATACCCAAAGTGCTTCCTGCGCCATCAAAAAATCAGACGTTACCGGGGCCTGATCTGGAGTGGTAGCTGTCACAAGGCATACAGGTCCTAAGGAAACTCACGAGTCACTGCAGACCATATCAATATGCTGTTACGGTAACAGTTGCAGGGGCCCTTCAGATCAGTAGGCTATGCATAAAACATGACGAGGAGTCTTGTTAAGTCTTACACTACAAAGCATTGTGTAGAACATTCACTCTGCTTTTTGTCTGTCTCTTCCTTGAAGTGTTCCTCTTGTCCGTGAAGCACTCTGGTCTGAGAGGATGGCTACTGTTATATCACTTCCTAACATGGTATTGGTTTTTCTCTTTGTGTTCTTTGTGTTCGATCCCATTCTTCCACAATGTGTCTACAGGAAACAACAGGCCGATATGCTCGTTGCTATGCTAGTTAGTGAACCAACCCTCATCTTATCTCTACCCGCCTGCCCTTAACTTCCCATTCCCTTCCCTTAAAACTGACCTCCCTCCTCACACCAATATCCACCTATATTAGCGCTTGAAGTTTAAAGTGACAGTAACGCAATTGTAGTCCTAGGTATTATAATTGTCTTGAGTATTGCATAAGTCACCGTGCGGGTATGTATCATTGACTGTTATTTATACTGGAAAAGTTGAAACCGAATATGGCCAGTTGGTTTTAAATGTTGTAACTGAAAGAAGACAATTGTATATTTTTTTATAGTGTTGTATGTTCCATTGCATTGCTCATGACCCAGCTCAATAGGTGGCCTTTCAGAAACCTGTCTCTTATGTACTGGTTGAGGTGTTCCCCCCTCATTAAACGGGAACTGGCCTGGTCTGGTAGTTGAGCCATTTTAGGTAACACTAGTCGGCAGGTGTTACATAAACCATGACATAAATCGGACATCACAGGTTTCCCTGTAGATGGCTTAATCCGTAAACCTATCATAAAACAACGTGCTGATTATAAGCCACACTATTGGACAATTACACGGCCCTGACTGATCTATGGCTTGTGCCATCAGTGATGACAGAGGTGGACAGGAGGTCATGACTTTGGTTATTTGTCGACAACATCCCGTTGATTGATCTGAGCGGAAACGTTCTTGATCAAGGAGCTACATTTTGCTCAGCGTTATAGTGTCTTCATCAGTGTGTAAAACCTCAGGTGCGTAAACTACACCAGGTGTGTGCAGACAGTCCACCAGATGCAGAAATTCATCTTGACAGCATAAAAGTAAACTCAACACGACACTGTCAGTTCATTTAGATGTACTGTTATCTAAGAATTAGACTTACTGTTAGAGCAGGACCATAATCCTGCTGCAACAGGAAATGTGGATTATAATTAATGGACATTTTTGTAGGGGTTGATACATTTTTCTTAAGGGAAAATAAAGTCTGACATTTCAAAGTGGAAATTAAAAACTTCAGAAGCCTTTTTAAACCTCAAATACACTGCAAGTTCTCCTGCAACAGGGTGATTAAATTAAGATCCTACATCTGTACATATAATCCCAGAATCGTTCTTCCACCAAAAGACAGATTAGCAGCTGCTTCTAGCTGCACCCCAAGTGTGTAAACACTAAACAGAACCACGGCCCAAACGGCCATGTCAGTCAGTCAGGTCACCACCATGAGATCCCGGTCAGCAACATGTCACAGGGTCATCATTATTCATCAGACAGTGTGGCCTGAGTGGTGCTGATGGCCAGTGCTGTGCTGCTGTGATTGCACCAGTGAGCAGGGTCAGAGCCTCCACAGCTGATGACAGCCAGATAAACACTCACACACTCCTGCATGTAGAGTTGCTGCATTCACTGAGAATGTGAATTTTGGATGTGGGTTTGCAATAGTGTATGCACAGCACATAGATCCCATTGGGTCTGAGGTGTTTATCTGGAGGTTCATTGATGAGTGGGTTGGAGCCAGACCCATGCTGACTGACTGCAGTGCTGTGATTGTGAATGAACTCGGCACACACACACACACACATGAAATGCAATCGTCTCGCTCTAAGCAGCCCTTGAGCAGCAATGTAGCAATCGCTCATCTGACTGCAATATGTTTAATGCGCTTGAAGGGTAATGGCTTGAGACACAGTTCAGTACAGTGAGATCAATACAAACACAGTACGCAAGATGATACCATATGGACTTCTCATAGTACACTACACCAAAAAGGCTTTGCTTACAGATGTTTTAAAGCAAAACATCAAAGGGTTTGAAGAGGAAATACAGAAACATGTATTTCTTACTGTTTCTTTCTCTAGGTTTTCACATTTGAAGTAAGAACAAAAATAAGAATTTCTTGACTCTCGCAGGGGCAACACAACAGGCAACAGTGGGAAAGGACGGACTAGAACTGCTTACTCTGCATTTCTTCTAAGTCATAAATTGTCCTGTTTCCATTTTTAAATCACATTTTTACACAGTCGTACTACTATTTCCACCCAATATAACAACATTGTTATAATATTACACCAACAAGCAGCTAAAAATCATGAAAAGTTACAGTGATAGCACTCACCGGTGATGAACACTCTCTTCTCTCTCCCTCTTTGAATCTCTGTACAAGAGCTATCACTCTCTCTCTCACTCTGCCTCTCTCACTATCACTCTGCCACTCTCTCACTTTCTCGGAGGATGCTCTTCCTCCACACCGAATTACCCTGTTTCTACTGTGACCCCGTTTCTATGGAGCTGTGAGCCATACAGTCAGCTAACCAACCAACCAGCCATCCAGCCAGTGTACAGCGCTAGATGCTGTACAGCCTATTGCAACTGTCCAGGGGCAGGTACTTCAGCCAAGGCTAGAGAGCAGTTACAAACCTTTTATAAATAACCCCTACAGCTGATCCATGTGGCCATTACATATGCACGGGCTCCCTTGATGTATGCATTGCATGTATTTGGTTATTTTCATATTATGTGGTGTGCAGGAAAAACACATGTTCCTTCCTTTTATGTCCTAAAGAGAAAGAGACTAACAAAAGAGAAAGGTTCACATGTTGGAGTGCATGCATATTAATGAAATATCCTCATGAATATCAAACACATCTATGAAAGGGTGCCTTGGATGTTACACCAGGGCTAATAAAAAAGACTGGAAGGAGGAGGAGAAAATCATCAAACATAGAAATGGGGAGCAACTTGGAGGAGAGCAGGAGAGATAATAACCTTATCAATTGTATACACAGGCTTATATAATCAGCAATGGATAGACTAACCAATTGGGACACTGTGTGTGCGGAACATGTATATAGTCTGGTCTGTGAAGCGTGTATCATTGCATTAATATGCTTCTGAGCAGCAGCCTTCATTCTTAGTCTTCTGCAGTTATTGTTATGCACACTAGTAGGTTCCACTGCCATGCAATTTTCCTGCTCTGGTCTGCCTTTCTCTGTGTGTAGTGGAGATGTGGCTGTCCCTTGTAGCCTATTTCGGGCCAGATTAACATCAGTGCGCATTAAAGCGGGGGAAGTGCCCTGTGTTGGGGGAAGGGAAGCCTCCAAGACCCCTCTCTGCCTTCTCAAGAACCATGGTGTAATATGTGGTAAATGTACACTGTTCACACACACTGAGGGCAGCCAGCTGATGACCCACAACAGTTATTGGGGAGTAGAGTGAAATGGGAAGGTGGGAAAGAGTGTCATGATTCATTGGGATCCATAACAGATGAACTGATGGTGTCAGAAATGTTTATTTAAAATCCTATTTTTGCATCAGCACGCAGCAGACACATGGTTGGAAGACTTCATCTGGAGTGGTGTAAAGTACTTAAGTAAAAATACTTTAAAGTACTACCCAAGTCGTTTTTTGGGGTATCTGTACTTTACTTTTTAATAACCGGTATATGCCCACATCATTCTGTTGTTGGGGTATTTTTGTATATATATATTTATTTGTATATATATTTTTTTTTTTTTTTACAATTTAACAATCATCAGCAAAGCATAGCAATCAGATAATGCCCCGTTATTCCCCCACCCCCCTTTCCCCACACATACAGAAAACAACAGGCTACATGGGAGCACATCATACAAAACCCTTCCCTCCCCATCCCATGAACACCCCTCTCCGTCCCCTCACTCGGTATTAGTTTCAATGATTACCAAACAAAAAAAAAGAAAACAGAATGTCCTTGACATCCAATGCTAGTAAATACATTTGTCAACCCAAAAAACAAAAATAAAATACAAAAAATACAATAATTCATAATAATAATAATAATAATGAGGCAGCTCAGGTGGGGCTGAAGACTCTGAAAACTCCTTTAAGTCCCCCCAGATGTCAATAAATGCAAAGGGTTTATTACATACATTGTACGTTATTTTTTCAGAATATAGAAAGTTAGTTCCTTTAGCCACATCTGCTTGCTTGGTGGAGTGTCACTCTTCCATATAAAAGCTGTGCATTTATTGGCTGCAATGATTGCCAATTTAATAGATCTTGTTTTGTTACCAATATTAACTGTTAGAATGGAGTCATCTCTAAGAAGAATAAGGGAAGGATCTAGTGGTACAGTCATATTAGTGACCTGTGATAAGATCTGAATAATGTCTTCTCAATAATTGCCTAGTTCGGGGCAGGACAAAAACATATGCATAAGGGTGCCCATACCTGTTTTACTCCTTGGGTAAAATGTGGAATATTTAGAATTTCTCTCTCTGGTGTAAAGTAGACCCTCTGTAAAAGATTGAATTGCATCAACTTGTGCCTTGCTGATTATCTAAAAAGAGCTTTCCCCATTTCTCAGCCTCAAAAATGAGATCAAGGACATCATGTCACTTTATGCAAGCCTTCAGAGCTTCGTCATTCCCCATCAGAGCTTGAAGACCAGAGTACATGTACAAAATGAAACCTTCTATAATACACTGCTCAAAAAAATAAAGGGAACACTTAAACAACACATCCTAGATATGAATGAATGAAATAATCTTATTAAATACTTTTTTCTTTACATAGTTGAATGTGCTGACAACAAAATCACACAAAAATTATCAATGGAAATCAAATTTATCAACCCATGGAGGTCTGGATTTGGAGTCACCCTCAAAATTAAAGTGGAAAACCACACTACAGGCTGTTCCAACTTTGATGTAATGTCCTTAAAACAAGTCAAAATGAGGCTCAGTAGTGTGTGTGGCCTCCACGTGCCTGTATGACCTCCCTACAACGCCTGGGCATGCTCCTGATGAGGTGGCGGATGGTCTCCTGAGGGATCTCCTCCCAGACCTGGACAAAAGCATCCGCCAACTCCTGGACAGTCTGTGGTGCAACGTGGCGTTGGTGGATGGAGCGAGACATGATGTCCCAGATGTGCTCAATTGGATTCAGGTCTGGGGAACGGGCGGGCCAGTCCATAGCATCAATGCCTCCCTCTTGCAGGAACTGCTGACACACTCCAGCCACATGAGGTCTAGCATTGTCTTGCATTAGGAGGAACCCAGGGCCAACCGCACCAGCATATGGTCTCACAAGGGGTCTGAGGATCTCATCTCGGTACCTAATGGCAGTCAGGCTACCTCTGGCGAGCACATGGAGGCCCCCCAAAGAAATGCCACCCCACACCATGACAGACCCACCGCCAAACCGGTCATGCTGGAGGATGTTGCAGGCAGCAGAACGTTCTCCACGGCGTCTCCAGACTCTGTCACGTCTGTCACATGTGCTCAGTGTGAACCTGCTTTCATCTGTGAAGAGCACAGGGCGCCAGTGGCGAATTTGCCAATCTTGGTGTTCTCTGGCAAATGCCAAACGTCCTGCACGGTGTTGGGCTGTAAGCACAACCCCCACCTGTGGACGTCGGGCCCTCATACCACCCTCATGGAGTCTGTTTCTGACCGTTTGAGCAGACACATGCACATTTGTGGCCTGCTCGAGGTCATTTTGCAGGGCTCTGGCAGTGCTCCTCCTGCTCCTCCTTGCACAAAGGCGGAGGTAGCGGTCCTGCTGCTGGCTTGTTGCCCTCCTACGGCCTCCTCCACGTCTCCTGATGTACTGGCCTGTCTCCTGGTAGCGCCTCCATGCTCTGGACACTACGCTGACAGACACAGCAAACCTTCTTGCCACAGCTCGCATTGATGTGCCATCCTGGATGAGCTGCACTACCTGAGCCACTTGTGTGGGTTATAGACTCTGTCTCATGCTACCACTAGAGTGAAAGCACCTCCAGCATTCAAAAGTGACCAAAACATCAGCCAGGAAGCATAGGAACTGAGAAGTGGTCTGTGGTCACCACCTGCAGAACCACTTCTTTATTGGGGGTGTCTTGCTAATTGCCTATAATTTCCACCTGTTGTCTATTCCATTTGCACAACAGCATGTGCAATGTATTGTCAATCAGTGTTTCTTCCTAAGTGGACAGTTTGATTTCACAGAAGTGTGATTGACTTGGAGTTACCTTGTGTTGTTTAAGTGTTCCCTTAATTTTTTTGAGCAGTGTATATGCCATTTAGCAGACACTTTTAGCCAAAGCAACTTACACTCATGTGTGAGTATATTTGACGTATGGGTGGTCACAGGAATCGAACCCACTACCCTGGCGTTACAAGCACCATGCTCTACCAACTGAGCTTCAAAGGACTACCTTTTTTACCCTCTTCCTCTCCAGCCACAGTTTATCAGTTGTAGATTTACTCATGGGCTGAATCTTACCTCCCTGTTGAGTGGCAATATAATGCCTAACCTGTAGGTACTTGAAGAAATGTGTTTTGGTAACTGAAAGTGAGATGTAGGTTGTTGGAAGGATAGTTAACCATCTCTATACAAATGACCAAAAGTTTTAATTCCTTTTCTGAACCATAAAAATATAATACAATCTCTCAGGGCTTTGGGTAAGATGGGGTTGTTATAAAAAGGTGTTTGTTCATATGTGGATCTATTCCCTCCTGTTTGTTTAAGAACTTCAGTCAATATATTTAGAGTGTTTTTAATTAAAGGATTGTTTGTGAGACCCATCAAAGCTTTAGGTGGGCTAATATAAGGTGTAGATGCCAATGAAACAGGGGAAAGACACTATTCCTCTGTCTCCAAGAGGGTGAATTTTGCCATGAGGGTTGTATCTTGCCATACACACACTCTCTTTAACTGAGAGGCCCAGTAATACACCTGGAAGTCAGGTAGAGTAAGCCCACCTTCTGAATATGGTCCGCATAAAGGTTTCCATTTCCACAGAAATGAGGAGACCTTCCTGTTCAGTTGTTTGAAAAAAAAACTTTGAGAATAGGAAAGGGCAAACTTTGAAAAAGGTACAGGACTTTGGTAATATGTTCATCTTTACACAATTGACCCGCCCAATAAGAGAAATTGGTAAATCCCGGCATCTAGAAAAGCTACTTTTTAACCTACTTAATTACAATTTTTGGAAGGAAAAATATTTAACTCATATTGTCATTAATTATAGGTCATATTTCATAGAAATCTGGAAACACTTGACAGTTACTTTAATGTATTTGGCCAATTTCACTGTAAAGGTGTATTAGTGTAATGAAACACTGTCTTATTCTGTGTGGCCTATACCCTAAAAAAGGTATTCACCTTATGCTTCACTATGTTCTTCCCAGCTGCGGCTGTTAGTTTCTCACATGTCGAGCCTGAGCCTTAATCTCACATAGATCTGGAGGTGAGACATGATAGCTGCTGTGATGTGACTAATATCTGCGTGAAAGAGTGATGCATTGCACCTAAAGCCAGTCTCACAGAGAGAAGAAGCCTAGTATCTAGCTATTTGGCAGATGAAGGTCGTGGCTCGTGCTGAGCCGTAGTTTCAAGCTGATGTACCTCCCGGAGGGGATCTTGGACGAGAAGGCTTATTTTGATGCAAATCAATGTGTAATTATGCATGTACTCATTTACATGTCCCAGGCTTTCCTATGCAATCCTGATGGCTGATAGAAGAATGTGGAAGAAAATAGTACTATGGGATTCTTAATTGGCAATCTGTGTCAATTGGCCTTCGGCCTTAGTAGGCTGTACAGGGGTTAACAGAAATCTACTTTAAGAAAAGGCAACTTCTGATTGCAATAACCTCAGTGCTTGGTGTTTAATGATAATGGCTGGAATAAGCAGAATAAGGATCCTTTGGATGGCCTCTGTTTAATGTGTCTTGTAGCTCATTGTTAGGCCAGGCACAAGTCACTACACCACCTTAGGCTCAGCGAGATATCTAGTGAATTTACTGCCAGTAACCAAAGTCTAGTTATAGGTGGAACCTAAATAGCAAGTGGAAATAAAGGGCTGGATTCATTAAACAGAGTTGAGCAGCGCCAATGACTGCCATGATTGAATGTAATTATGGATCTCCAGTGCCTTGGTAGCCAGACCTACAGTGACACAACACACCTCATTAAGAAAGTCCTGGTTTCCCACAGCCTCACTGCTTAAGGGGTTCAGCCACTGCAATAAAGGTTAAACCCCCATCCATTCTCCCATGCAGCTAAGTGGACTATAAGAAAGTTAATATAACAAAAAGAGGGAGTGGGATGGAAAGGAGATGGCTCACTCAGGCTCAGCACACAGATTACAGACAAAGCATGTCCACAGAATACTGATCGATCGGATGAGAGGATGAAGTGTCTTTGAATTGGCACCCAGAGATCCCACATCGTTGCTGTGATCTTTGTTGCTGAGCAGGGCTGTCTGTGTTATAAACCAAATCTTTCCTGCAGAGATGGAAGGTGGTGCAGAGATACAGTACAGTATTTGGAGGGCATCAACTACCACAGGGGAAGATTATGGAGCGATTTCAGTGCCAACAGAAATTGTATTTGAATACCATAATTTTGAATTTGTATTAGGACATTGAATCTGAATTTCATATTTTGGAATTTGTAATGCACAAATTGAATCATTGAATTCATAAATTGACCTTGTATTTCATGATCTGAAACTGAATTGAATGAATATTGCATTCAGCTTTAAAACCACTAACCTTGTGTTGTCCTGGCCCACCAGAGGTAGGTTCCCTGGCGCTCACTGTAGGAACAGATTGCCTGTAAAATCCATATATTCAATAATTAAATAAAGTACTTTCAACTTGTTCATTGAAAATAATATCCCCCTTTTCATGAAGTAGATTTTCTTGAATGTCAGTCATTCTATTGCACTCTATTCTAACCAAACCTACATTACCAGTGCCTTCAGAAAGTATTCACACCCCTTGACTTTTTACATATTATGTTTTGTTACAGCCTGAATTTAAAATTGATTAAATTGAGATGTTGTGTCAATGGCCTACACACAATACCCCATAATGTCAAAGTGGAATTACGTTTATAGAAGTTTTTACAAATTCACTAAAAATGAAAATCTGAAATATCTTGAGTCAGTAAATATTGAACCCCTTTGTTACGGCAAGCATAAATAGGTTTGGGAGTAAAAATGAGCTTACAAAGTCACATAATAAGTTGTATGGACTAATGCAATAATAGTGTTTAACATGATTTTTGAATGACTACCTCATCTCTGTACCCCACACATACAATTATCTGTAAAGTTCCTCAGTTGAGCAGTGAATTTCAAACACAGATTCAACCACAAAGAACAGACACTGAATATTATTTTCAGAATGGTGAAATTATTAATTACACTTTGGATGATGTATCAATAGACCCAGTCACTGCAAAGATACAGGCGTCCTTCCTAACTCAGTTGCCGGAGAGGAGACCGCTCAGGGATTTCACTATGAGGACAATGGTGACTTTAAAACAGTTATAGTTTATTGGCTGTGATAGGAGAAAACTGTGGACGGATCAACAACATTCTAGTGTGAAAAGAAGGAAACCTATACAGAATACAAATATTCCAAAACATGCATCCTGTTTGCAACAAGGCATAAAAGTAATACTGCAAAGATTTTGGCAAAGCAATTAACTTTTTGTCCTGAATACAAAGTGCTATGTTTGGGGCCACTCTCCATATTTTCAAGCATAGTGGTGGCTGCATCATGTTATGGGTATGCTTGTAATCGTTAAGGACTGGGGAGTTTTTCCAAGATAAAAAAGGAACAGAATGGAGCTAAGCACAGACAAAATCTTAGAGGAAAACCTGGTTCAGTCTGCTTTCCACCAGACACTGGGAGATTAATTCAACTTTCAGCAGGACAATAACCTAAAACTCAAGGCCAAATCTACACTGGAGTTACTTACCAAGAAGACAGTGAATGTTCCAGTTTTTACTTAAATCTACTTGAAAATCTATGGCAAGACCTGAAAATGGTTGTCTAGCAATAATCAACAACCAATTTGACAGAACTTGAAGAATTCTGAACAGAATAATGGCCAAATATTGCACAATCCAGATGTGGAATGCTCTTACAGACTTACCTAGAAAGACTCACAGCTGTAATCGCTGCCAAAGGTGCTTCTACAAAGTATTGATTCAGGGGTGTGGATACTTATGTAAATTAGATATTTCTGTATTTAATTTTCACAAAATCTGCGAAAAATATTTTCAACATGTTTTCACTGTGTCATTATGGGTTATTGTGTGTAGGTGAGAAAAAATATTGATTTAATCAATTTTGAATTCCAGCTGTAACACAGCAAAATGTTGAATAAGTCAAGGGGTATGAATACTTCCTGAAGGCACTGTATATCAGAAGGTGTCACTATGCATTAGCTAGTTAAAAAAGACTGACGCCATAATGGCTGCCTATCTCTGTAATTGTGAAAGTTATGGTGCCGCTAGAATCCATCAATTATCTTGTTCTGCATTACCCATCCATCTCTTATGGCTGGACAAATGTGTTCATATAGTCTGTGTAGACTGCTCTGTGACGGAATTTGTAGTTTTTTTTAAAAACTTAAGACAGCAGTTGAAATCAAATAATATGCCAACATTACTGGACTAACAAACTGGCTGACTAACCTTTTCAGGAACTTCAGTATCCCTTGGTACCCTTGGGTAGCAGCAGCAGATTGTTTAATGTTCTTTATCCTGTGCCAAACACATTTATTCTGTGAGTCTAAATTATTAAAGTTAGCTGCCGGCCGCATGACTGCATCAACCTAGCTAGCTTATGTTAGCTATCTAGCTAGGCTACTAAAGCTAATATTAGTAGTTTTGTTAGCTAGCTATAGATTGGATAATTCTAGCTAGTTTTAGAGGACGACTAATGTGCTTTTAGTAACTGCTTTAATTGACATACCTTGTTTTCCATTACATTTATGTTCGCTCTCTCATGAGGCAGGCAACCAGGCAGGCTGGAGAGGAGCGTGAGCGAACAAAACCTAAGTGCAAAGTCGAACAACGAGGTGCTTCTGCAGCCCAAAACGTTGTTGAAAGGCAGGGTTGATGAGGCTCTGTAGGCTGTAGCTAGGATACCACTGTGACTGACAAATGAATCCACCTGTCATACTGAGTATGGGGGTTACTGCATGAAATCCCAGGTACAGGGTTGTATTCACTAGACAAAACAGAGGCAAACGGGCTGATATTGGGGGAGGTATGTCAACTTATCCAATAAGAAACGCCTGCTTTCTTTTCCGTTGCAAAACGTTTTTTTATTTTTATTTTTTTACATTTTTCTATGACGTGAACTAATGAATATGTCTGGTTAACGCGTTTGGTGCTGCTGCTTTGAAAGTGGTGTGGCAAAAGTACTAGGGCAAATGCTGTCTCCCCACACTTCTTCCGGCGGCTCTGCCTTGCTGGCAGTATCAGGATGTTGTCTCTGGTTTTGAATCTGAATGCATCTGAGAAGTTGAATATATGAAACTTTGATCAACTTGAAATGATAAACTTGATACACAGATAATGCAATGTCTACCATATTCAAACTGAACATATAAATATTCAATTTAAATATTCAATTAAATTGAAATCGCATTTTAAAATGAACGCAATATTCATTCAATTCAGTTTGAAATCATGAAATACAAGTTCAATTAATGAATTCAGTGATAAAACTTGTGCATTACAAATACGACATTCAAATTCGATATCCTAATACAAATTCAAAATTATGGAATTCAAATACAATGTTTGTTGGCACTAAAATCGCTCCATAGAAGATTATTTTCATTTCTCCAACCATGACTCCTCAGTTTCCACTATTCTTTATTTCTACTGTCTTTAATTTTATTCTATTAGTCAGTGGGTTGGACTATCACCCATCCCCTTCCGTTTCCTCTCCAGTAATATAACCACAGCCACACATGCCTCCCTTCGGGATCAGAATACACACATCATTGAGGGTCATCTTGGGAGAGACTATGGGAAGTTACCTCATGTCACATTTATACTCAATAATATACGTAATGGAAACGTATTGAGTGTGAGATTGTGTTGACCCGAGGTTCAAGGCTCCTATTGATCGTGTTAATGTATCTGTGATTCACGGCCATGGTCGCTGCTGAGCTGGCTCTGGGAAATGTGTCTAGTAGAGGCCTCGGGGTCGTATTCATTAGGTACAAAACAGAATAAAACTGAAAGAGGGAGAACTATCTGAAGTTGTCCAATAATAAGAAACTCTTGTTTTGTTTTCGTTTTCCGTTGTTGTTATCTTTTGCTACAGTGTGCATTAATGAATATGACCATGATGTAGTATACATGTGTCAGCTTCTAGTAGAATATCCAGGCTTCATTAGAATGTATGCTTTGGTTATCAAGTCATCCCCACCCTCAAAGCAATACGGCCCTTATTGGCCAGTAGCACATGGTCATAGATAGGAAATAAGACAGTTGATAGGAATATGTCCAGTCGAAATCCAGTAAGTACTGTGTGGAAGGGTATCTCCATTGTCGAGCATTGCAGTTGATGAAAACACTATGGGAAATATTTTCTCTCTCTTATTGAGCTGGCAGGCTTTTGAGAGGCAATAAAAGTGTCAGAATCCCCATCTCCTCCACAGGCTTGTCAATGTCTATGAGCCTTGTTAACCTCCATCTGCTGCAGCTTAGCAGAAGAGAAATTTAACACAATCAAGGATGAAATGTCAGAGATGCATTTGCCAGGCAGCCCTAGGCCGAACATTTTATTTCTGGAATCAGTCAATTTGGTTGTACCTCCTCCACCCTGCCCCACACACCCCTTCCTCTCATCTTCTGTCCCCTCCCTATTTTTTCCTCCCTCTCTCGCTCCATCCCTCCCTCGCCTTCCACCAGAAAGGCTTATTATTCAATTTACCTCTTAGACTGAACGGCTGGTCTCAGGATTTTCTTCAATTGTCCTTTTGCTTTCTTCCCCAAGATAACCTCAGGTCTTAAGTGGTGTTTACATTTTTTATTTTTTTTATAAAATAGAAATATTTTCCTGGAAATTTGGAGCAAGGTAAAAAAAAATATACGGTCATCAGGGGCTAAGATGCTGTTGTCTCATTCTCATTACAGATCTGTCTGTGAGACGTAATGCTCTCACAATACACAGAACTCCCTGGCCAGTGTGGGTATCTGAGCATAGGCCTATCTGATATCTGATATACTCATATGACAGTCATCATCTTGATGCTAAAGTAAGAATTACACATCCCCATCCCTTCCTCTCAGCATTACACATCCACATCCCTTCCCCTGTTAGCATTACACATCCCCATCCCTTCCTCTCAGCATTACACATCCACATCCCTTCCCCTGTTAGCATTACACATCCACATCCCTTCCTCTCAGCATTACACATCCACATCCCTTCCTCTCAGCATTACACATCCACATCCCTTCCCCTGTTAGCATTACACATCCACATCCCTTCCCCTGTTAGCATTACACATCCACATCCCTTCCTCTCAGCATTACACATCCACATCCCTTCCCCTGTTAGCATTACACATCCACATCCCTTCCTCTCAGCATTACACATCCACATCCCTTCCCCTGTTAGCATTACACATCCACATCCCTTCCTCTCAGCATTACACATCCACATCCCTTCCCGTTAGCATTACACATCCACATCCCTTCCTCTAAGCATTACATTTGACATTTTAGTCATTTAGCAGATGCTCTTATCCAGAGGGACTTACATTTAGTGCATTCATCTTAAGATAGCTAGGTGGGACAACCACATATCACAGGCATAGTAAGTACACTTTTCCTCAATAAAGTCATTACACATCCCCATCCCTTCCCCTGTAAGCATTCAGCATTTGCCTTCATCATCACATTCACAACACAAGATATGATATCAAAGCCTAGCATTTTGGGTAGCAAAACAACAAACCACCTGGCTGCCAGCACATTTCTCCCAGTGCTCAGCTATAATTCAGCATCAACAGTAAAGCATTATACTGGCACTCCACACAATCCTTTAGTCTACAGGCTTTTTAAAAATCACATACTGTGCGTGGGCATCCACGTAGGCTTTTATGTCACCTCAACCAAAGTCCCTCTAAAATCCATACCTGGAATACAAAAGTAGCTAACCATCGGCTTAGGGAGCCCAACCAGGTGTGAGCCATACAATCCATGCTATTGACATGGCTGGCAAGAAGAGCCTCAGTCAGCTGAATTATTTACGTGGCTCAATAGGCATGCTGCCTAACTTCGCTGTAATAATCCCCCATGGGTTACGGAGACTAGACTACTCCACAACACTCTCCCACGACCTGTACATACTGTATTAATGCTATTTTCTCTGCTATCATACTCTCAGCCCAGCTGCTTTATTTATTCATGGTCACATATTGCAGCAGCAGCGGTGGTGGTGGTGGTGGGGAGCACACTGCACAGCTCTGCAGCTACTCCTCTAGATGTCAAACATAACTGCTGTTTCCAGATGCATTTTACAACCAAAATGGGAAAACTAAAGAAAATAGGTGTCGGTGGCGCTGCAGAGGTGTTCTGATAAGAGGACTGCTGTTTACTTTGTAGGATTTGTATAAAGTTTCTTCTCGTCATCCATAACAGTTTTCATATAAACCCAGGCCTCTTTTCTCCTCCTCCATTGCCCTCGGTCTCCACTCTTGGTTATCCCTCCTCAGAGACAGGAAGTGATTGATCTAATGCTCCTAACGCTGGATAACACCATGACCTAATTTCACTGCAATAACAGCTAATGCAATAGAACAAAATACAGATCCCCATAAGATACCGGAAAGCATATTACCATTAATGAATTATTAAATTATTGAACAATCTGAATTATTGAGAAGACGTGCTTTAGTGGGAATTGGATTTGATCTGCACCAAGATGTATAAAATCTATTCATCCAAACTGGCACTATATCGAACACTTTTAAAACAAGGACAGAGAGAGACATAGACAGAAACAGAGAGCGAGAGAAAGAGAGAGAGCGAGAGAGCGAGAGAGAGAGAGAGCGCTCTGTTAAGAACAGCCTGGGTTATCATGGTGACCTTTGGGTGAGAGGAGACAGACAACTCCATGATAGAATTTATGTAAACCTCACTGCTTCTGCTAATGCAACATGCATGTGGCGCACAGCAGCAATAGAAAATGAACAAGCATGTGCTCCCGAGTGGCGCAGTGGTCTAAGGCACTGCATCGCAGTGCTAGATGTGTCACTACAGACCCTGGTTTGATTCCAGGCTGTATCCCAATCCAGCTGTGATTGGGAGTCCCATAGGACGGCGCACAATTGGTCTGGGGTAGGCCTTCATTGTAAATAAGAATTTGTTCTTAACTGACTTGCCTAGTTAAAAAATAAATAAATGGACAACAGCCATCTTTCTTTTAGATGTGACATTGAACAGAGCTAGTCTGCTTCATAGCACTACTTGTACTACACTTACCTATACTAATACTAGCTACAACAAAACACATGGTCAAATAAAATTGCTGAATAGTTTTTGGTAACCTACTACTACCAAGTACACTCTCCTCGCAGATGCTAACAGAGTGTGCATGTGTGTGTGTGCGTGTGCTTGGGAAAAGCAGAACAAACCCAAGCTGCCAGTTTACTCATCCACATCCAACTCTGACATCCCCAACTGCCACTCCAAATCTGTGACCTTTGGTTTTTGGCAGCCGGTGTACAGCGCTCTGCGGGGGCATTTGGGGACGCAGCAGCAGTCTTCTATTCATGTGGTATTAGTACCTGTGGACTGGTGCACCCTGGTCTCTTCCTGGCCGAGCTGTGGGCGCTCACTCTCACAGACACAGCACAGCTCTTTAATTGGAGAACTATCAGCATGAGCCAATGCCACTTCAGTTACCTGCCCATAAACCCCATGGTTAAGACAGAGCAGTGCTGTGGAGCCCACAGCTGACAGAGAGAGTAAAGAGAGTGAGAATGTATGTGTGTTTGTGGCATAATTTGGAACTGGAACTGGACACCAATGTGAAGTAATAGTGTGTAATATTGTGTAAAGGGAAAAGCAAGGCAAGGCAACCCCCGTGATGACTAATGGGATAATGCTAGTCAGTCAGTTTCCCTTTTGCTGGCACGTCATAAAAGGCTTCCTAGAGTTAAATAGTGTCGTAGGGAGAAAGTGCCCCTAAGCTTAGTTCAGGGAAACATCCTCTTTTATGATACAAGGATACAGGATACAATTATGGCACAGAGAGGATTTCCAGATGACCTCCCCCGCATGTCTGAGAAACACACACACACACACACACACACACAAGTGGAAGGAAAATTTGATAGAGAAAAACAGATTTGGTTTGGAATCTTTGTCTGACAAGAGTGATTCCTGCTTGTTTACTAGTAACATGTAGTGGCATTCGGTGACCCTATGGTTTGGTGCTGGACGCCGTTGGCACTGAGTGGTTTGTCTGATTTCGCCAGTGACTAAACTCGCTGTGACAATCAGATTCTGAGTCTTGCTGTATGGCATGCTCTCATCAACATGGCTCCGTCTTAACTTGTAAATCAGAAGAGACTTCAGCATTGCAAACCAGCAGAGAGATTTCTCCGGCTATTCTATCATATCTGATTCTGAGATGCCCACTTTTCCTTTCAGACTAGAGGAATGGGTTACAGGGGTTGCTGTCATCAAAAGTTAATCTGCCATCAAGGAATTTTAACAGTATGACAAGGGAGTGCTATTGAGATTGAGCCCATAGTAAACTCATCAGCTAAAATTCAATTTAATCTCATCTATTTCCCTGGGGGAATACATTATCTGTCAATCCACATAAATTCTGCCACCAACCTAATATATATTTTTTTCTCTATTCATTCCAGGATCATAGACTATCTTTCAAGGAACATATCTTTTTCGATTTCAAGGAACATATCTTTTCGATTTCAACAACTGTGCATTTTCTTTAAATAAATCACCCTAGCAACTGACAGATTCAACTTTTCTTTCCTGCCATATTGCAGATAAGTAATTAAGTCTAACAAAGTACCTTAGCTCAATTAGCCAACTAAGCCAACCTCTGAGTATCCCCCAGGTGAATATCCTGTCTGACAGGAATTATAAATTACCTGCACTGGACCACTAACCAAAACATAGCAGTTAGTGTGTTCAACACATCATGTGAGTCACAACACACAAACATAGCAGTTACCATGTTTAACACAGTCACTCACAACACAACACAAACAGTCGTGGCCGGAGGGAGGGAGGCTGTTTGTTGGGCTGTTGAGCATACCTGACCCTGCAGAGTTTGGGCTCTGGTTGGTGGCCAGCAGTGTGATGAAGTCCTGGCAGGTATTGGGCTGCAACAGTGGGCTGTCATCCAGACAGAGGTCAATGATGAGGGCCACTGCCTTCTCACAGTACATGTCATGGTCCTCTCTCTCCTCCGCAGAACTCATTCTCCTCTGTGAGCCTGAGTCCCACACAGTCTTTAGCTCTCATCCAGGACTTGAGAAGTAAAGTGGGGGAAAAGCTAAGGCAGAAGAGGGATGGTGATGGTGCTGCATAAAAAATAGATGCAACTTGCCGCTCTCCTCTTGTTCTTGCTCTCTCTCTCTCTCTCTCTCTGTCTCTCAGGCTCCTGGATGTACAGCCAGTCAGTGTCAGTATGTGTGTCTTTGTGTGAGTCTGTGTGTGCGTAAAAGAGAGTGTGTGGGAGGGGGCTCAATGAAGCAGTGGGACCCCCCAGGTATTCCTGGAGCAGGAGTGTTGCATCATACCATATGCATGATGAGAGAGGGAGAGAGAGAGAGAGGGCTGACCCTCACATGTGCTCACTCTCTCTCTCTCTCATAGCATGTGGTAGGATACAGTATGAATATAAAGGAGCGATCTCTCTAGCTCTTCTCCTCTTTTTGTCTCTAGAGGTCTTTCCACAGACTGTGCGTGTATTTATCTTATGCTCATGGGTACATAAATGTGTAGTATGTAGAATACTGTACATGTTACTGTAAGTAGGGATGGGATTTACTGCATTTCATCAATTGAACTCAAATACTGTTCCCACTTTACATGTCTGCACTTTGTTGCATTTTTAACCATTCAGGTGTGACATGCATGCAAATGAGTTCTCAGTTATTCCAAATAAGGTGTTAATGGTAATAAGGTGAAAGTATTTAAGTGTGAGAAAAAATGCATATGAATTGTGGTACAATTGTGGTCTTTATCACATTCAGTTAAGAACAAATTAAAAAATTAATGAAGTTGGTGCTGCTATATTAGCTAACCCATTTACTTCAAAAACTGATAATGATATCAAATACAGCTGCAAACCCACTCATACTGCACCCTGCTATTGACATGATACAATGTGAAAGCAAAGAGAGAGAGAGAGAAAGAGAGTAAGAGAGTGTCTAGAAGGAGAGATACAGAGAGAAAGATGAGATGCTCCAGTCACAGAGGTCAGATTTACAGTATTCCATAATCTGAGCCAGGATTACGAAAATCGGAGACCAGATTAGGAATATATAGATTTATCGGCAACTACCGCAAAGATGATCGCCAGCACTCAGCAAAACATGCCATCTGACATGGTAAAGTCACTTTACATGCATGTGCTTTCATTCTTCTATTCAATAGTATTGTTAATGAAATACGGTACATAGGAAGCATACATTGTTCTGCACTGAAAAGTCATACAGGGAAACTGATTTCTTCAGAAGAAGTTATAGAAGTCTGTTATGAGTGTCATGCCTTATGTTTCTATGAGTGTCATGCCTTATGTTAAAGTCACATTCCCGCTGAAATCTGTCTCCAAAAGGTATGTACGCTATCCATGTACATACAGTGAGGGAAAAAAGTATTTGATCCCCTGCTGATTTTGTACATTTGCCCACTGACAAAGAAATGATCAGTCTATCATTTTAATGGTAGGTTTATTTGAACAGTGAGAGACAGAATAACAACAAAAAAATCCAGAAAAACGCAAGTCAAAAATGTTATAAATTGATTTGCATTTTAATGAGGGAAATAAGTATTTGACCCCCTCTCAATCAGAAAGATTTCTGGCTCCCAGGTGTCTTTTATACAGGTAACGAGCTGAGATTAGGAGCACACTCTTAAAGGGAGTGCTCCTAATCTCAGTTTGTTACCTGTATAAAAGACACTTGTCCACAGAAGCAATCAATCAATCAGATTCCAAACTCTCCACCATGTCCAAGACCAAAGAGTTCTCCAAGGATGTCAGGGACAAGATTGTAGACCTACACAAGGCTGGAATGGGCTACAAGACCATCGCCAAGCAGCTTGGTGAGAAGGTGACGACAGTTGGTGCGATTATTCGCAAATGGAAGAAACACAAAAGAACTGTCAATCTCCCTCGGCCTGGGGCTCCATGCAAGATCTCACCTCGTGGAGCTGCAATGATCATGAAAACGGTGAGGAATCAGCCCAGAACTACACGGGAGGATCTTGTTAATGATCTCAAGGCAGCTGGGACCATAGTCACCAAGAAAACAATTGGTAACACACTACGCCATGAAGGACTGAAATCCTGCAGTGCCCACAAGGTCCCCCTGCTCAAGAAAGCACATATAAAGGCCCGTCTGAAGTTTGCCAATGAACATCTGAATGATTCAGAGGAGAACTGAGTGAAAGTGTTGTGGTCAGATGAGACCAAAATCGAGCTCTTTGGCATCAACTCAACCCGCCGTGTTTGGAGGAGGAGGAATGCTGCCTATGACCCCAAGAACACCATCCCCACCGTCAAACATGGAGGTGGAAACATTATGCTTTGGGGGTGTTTTTCTGCTAAGGGGACAGGACAACTTCACCGCATCAAAGGGACGAAGGATGGCGCCATGTACCGTCAAATCTTGGGTGAGAATCTCCTTCCCTCAGCCAGGGCATTGAAAATGCTATTTATGCAGGGTGTCAGGGTTATCCAGTGAAGTGTTTGAATCACATTAATTGACATGGATGCGATACTCAACAGTGCTTACATTTTTACTATACTTAATGAAGTGTCACTGATTTGTTCAAGTTCTTGATGACTTCTTTTGTCGTCTGTTGTGTTAATGACACAATGAAACCAACAACCCTCTCTTCTTCACTTTATTTTGTAACACGACCTACCTACGTCTGAAGTTATAACCTAACTACTGTAGTGTGTGTGTTTGTGTGTGCGTGTGCATGTGCATACCGATATGTGTGTTTTCTCCATCAGAATGGTGTGGTCTACCATGGTCCTCCACGTAACTGGAGAGGCATTGGGATAGCGTTGATGGTGATCCTGATGATCATATCACTGGTCATCCTGTCTGTCATCATGCTCACTCCTGGTAAGAGGAAAACAAGCTATGCTCAGAGACAGATGAGACTACAGTCTCTGGGTCTCCCAATACCCCCACTAGCACAGGCCTACTACTTAATACTATCAGTCCCAAGCCAAATCAGCCTATCAGTCGGGTTTTGTCACTAATTTCATGTATCTGCTTGGCAAGCCCTCATATTTAGCCTTACATTGAAGTGCTTTACTATTTGCTTTTCAGGACAACCAGTAGAATGAAAAACGATTTGACATAAAAGTTACATTCATGAGGTTAACTTATGCCACTACAAAAATGAGATCCACCAAACAAAAACCTGATTTAAAAAAAGAGGCATTTATAAGAATAATGTAAGTACAGGACATTTTGTCTCAGTGGGAAATTAATATTCAAAAAGTCAGTGACAACTGTGTTCAATTTGGAGTTTGTGAGAGCAACTACATGAGTCTATTACAGTATTATATGCACTATTTCCTGGGCAAAAATGGATGAAATTGACCGTTATATCCACAAAACATCACCCATTGTCTTATACCCATGTCTGTGATCTGTCTTTCATTGTTTGAAGTCTGTCTGGGAGCTATAAGAAAGCTCAGGAAAACATCTGGAATGATCACAATGCAATACCTCTTTATGATATTCAATGTAGAAAAAGTCCTGTGCGCATCATAGAGCAAAACCGATAAAACGTGCGTTTTCGTGAGAGTCTAAGCTTTTCCATGATGGGGTCATAATAGTCTGTAGCTCAAACTGTTCGAACTCTAAATATGTTTTCATGAGAACAACCGATTTCGGTATCCTCTTTTGTCTTACAAACTCCGCTCTAAGTCAGCCTTCACCCATAGCACAGACTAATTGTGGGCATCCACGGATTCAGCGAAAATAGACGCATCCAGACTATTTTTAAGAGGGTTTAGAAGCATGCAAAAATCGTCCACGAAATATTGGGACTGAGTGTTAAAATGGAGTAATACATTTGGCATGCATTATGCAGTATGGAAGCAGATTCATGCAATGTTTTATTTGTATTTATTTTGGCATGAATCTGCTTCCATATCAGAGTGGTATACTGTAGCATTTGTACCACTTCCTCCAACATTTGGCCCTTTGTTCCTGCTACTCACCCCTCTCTGTCTTCATCTTTGTTGCAGATGAGTCTCTCCTGTTCCAGCGCTCCCGTCTCACGCTGGAGGACCTGGACAAAGACGATTTCAAAGTTCATGACCCCCATGTGACCTGGCTCAACGGTGAGCCAGGCTTCCATGACACAGATTTCATTTACAAAACATGCATGTCAAGCCTTAAATGATTTATATACTTTTTGACAGGCTGCCCACCTTTTGTAGCATACTGTACACCCTGTGGCTTCACTGTAACTTGACATGATTTACGGAGCATTCTGTCTGCGTCCCAAATGGCACCCTATTCCCTATAAAGTGTACTACTTTTGACCAGGGCCAATATTGCAGTGTGGTAAATATTGATCATATAGGCTATATCGTATATACTGTACCTCACATGCGACCCATAATAAGACTATGCAATTAGCCTATTAAAATGTTTATCTGACACCATAAAGACGATTTAGCAATATGCAAGAGACTACAGTTGAGTTACAGGAATTGGAAGGTCAAGAAAGGTCTGTGAATGGAATTCTAAATGTAAGTGTATTTTATTAACATTGTAAAATGAATGGATTCACATACAAGGCATAAAGCTTAATTTACAAAGCATGAACAAGCATTACAAGGCATTATTCTAGACATGATCAGAGAGGGAGAGAGAGAGAGAGAGAGAGAAGTCATAGGCTAAAAGGCCATGCCCCAAGAGTCCCAGGGGTGGAGAGAGAAAGAAAGAGAGACAGTGTATCTCACCAGTGCAGGTCAGGAACAAAGAAGAGAAAGAGACAATTAATCTAAGGCCCTTTTATAAGCATCTGAGTTGTTTGGAGTCAAAATCTGAGTTGTTGACCAATAGCGTTACTGTTGAGTTAACCTCCAATCAGATATCAGACCTACAGGACGTGAAGACAACAGAACCTCTGCTACCCAGAGGTGTGACAGAATGGGAGTTGGAGAGATAATGCAGCATTCCTAAGACAACACAAAGGAAACCCTTGCATACAGTGTAAAGAGTCACTTCGGGGGCTGCCCAACAGTATGGCTCGAGTCAAAAGTAGTGCACTATATAGGGAATAGTGTGCCAGTTGGGACACTTCATGCTACTGTTGACATGTAGAGCACAGCACAGCTCATCAAGTCAACACAAATCATGTAACAGTCCTCAGGTTTGTTTACATTTACATTTTACATTTTACGTTATTTAGCAGACGCTCTTATCCAGAGCGACTTACAGGAGCAATTAGGGTTAAGTGCCTTGCTCAAGGGCACATCGACAGATTTTTCACCTAGTTGGCTCGGGGATTAGAACCAGCGACCTTTCGGTTACTGGCACAACGCTCTTAACCACTAAGCTACCTGCCGCCCCAGGTAGGGACCAAAGTTGTTGTAGGGACCAAAGTTACAACGTGACAGGAGCTCAGTATATGTTTTATGGAACATACTCTTGTTATTAATACATGTTGATGTTGACTGTTCTGCATCTAAGCTGCACTCTAGGGAATCAAAGAACTACCTCCAGGGGACTTACTTTACTTCTGCCTCAAGGACCCCCTACTACCTGTTCAATAAGGGCCCGATTCCGACCCGAGTTAAGCGCCCGTAGATGGAACGTAATTCCCTTTTTATGCACTTTTCTCTCTATGTATATTCTGACCATGAACTTAAGCATGAGAATTGTATGCTATTCACCTGCTATTCGTTTTGGATGGAGATCAAATAAATTAAGGTGTGTCTACAGATACCCGTATTCTGACCTTGACTTAATTCCCTAATAATTCCACCACCTTTACGCATGAGGAAACCATGATTAAGGTCTAGCGAACCTACTGGTTCCAAATGGAAAAAGCCTCTACTTAATTTTTTCAGAAATAACATAATTCTCCATGCACTGTAATTTACAACTTGATAAGAGTGATTGATAAGAGCTAGATAAATGAGTAATCCGTTTGGATAAGGGAATTGTAAATATAAATGACACTTGTTTTTTTGGCTTTGCCAATTACTATCAGAGGTTTATCCGGGGCTTTGGCAAGGTCGCAGCTCCCATCACCTCTCTGTTGAAGGGTGGGCCATCCTGGCTCCGCTGGTCTGCTGAGGCTGACAGGGCTTTCAGTAACCTGAGGGCTCTGTTCACCTCAGCCCCGGCACTGGCCCATCCCGATCCATCATTGCCATTTGTAGTGGTGGTGGACGCGTCCGAGGTAGGGGTAGGCGCTGTCCTATCCCAACGCTCGGGTAGGCCACCCAAGCTCCTCCCCTGTGCCTTCTTCTCTAAGAAGCTCAGCCCAGCGGAGCAGAACTACAACGTTGGTGATCGGGAGCTGTTGGCTGTTGTCAGAGCCCTGACCGAGTGGAGGCACTGGTTTGAGGGGGCGAAACACCCTTTCCTCGTCTGGACTGACCACCGTAACCTGGAGTACATCCGGGCAGCGAGGATCTGAGCCCTCGCCAGGCCAGGTGGGCCTTGTTCTTCACCCGATTTGATTTCACACTGTCCTACATCCCAGGCACAAAGAACGTGAAGGCAGACGCACTGTCACGGCTGTACGACACAGAGGAGAGGCCCATAGACAACACCCCCATACTCCCGGCCTCCTGCATTGTGGCGCCGGTAGTGTGGGCGGTGGAAGCAGATATAGAGAGGGCATTACGCACAGAGCCAACTCCACCTCAGTGCCCAGCTGGGATGCGGTACGTGCCGTCTATTGTCTGTGATCGTCTTATCTATTGGGCACACATATCCCCCTCCTCTGGTCACCCAGGCATCGGCCGTACAGTGCTCTGCCTGACCAGGAAGTACTGGTGGCCTACCTTGGCTAAGGACATGAGGGTGTATGTCTCCTCCTGCTCAGTGTGCGCCCAGAGTAAGGCACCTAGGCACCTTCCAGTGGGTAAGTTACATCCCTTACCAGTTCCACAACGGCCATGGTCCCGCTTATCAATTGACTTCCTAACTGATCTTCCCCTCTCTCAGGGTTACACCACCATCCTGGTCGTTGTGGACCGATTTTCTAAAGCCTGCCGCCTCCTTCCTCTGCCCGGTCTCCCCACGGCCCTGCAAACATACGGAAGCCCTGTTTACTCACGTCTTCCGGCACTACGGGGTGCCAGAGGTGTCTGACCGGAGTCCCCAGTTTACGTCCAGGGTCTGGAAGGCGTTCATGGAATGTCTGGGGGTCTCGGTCAGCCTGACCTCTGGGTTTCACCCCGAATCTAATGGGAAGGTGGAACGGGTGAATCATGATGTGGGTAGGTTCCTGCAGTCCTACTGCCAGGACCGGCCGGGGGAGTGGTCGGTGTTCTTGCCATGGGCCGAATACACCCAGAACTCTCTCTGCCACTCCTCCACTAACTCCATTTCAATGTGTTTTAGGTTATCAGCCGGTCCTGGCACCGTGGCATCAGGACCGAAGCTCCTTTGGTGGATGACTGGTTTCGGCGCGCGGAGGAGACGTGGAATGTTGCCCACGTCCACCTCCAGCGTGCCGTGCGTCGCCAGAAGGCCAACGCTGACCGCCACCGCAGTGAGGCCCCGGTCTTTGTACCGGGTGATCGGGTCTGGCTCTCGACCCGGAAATTGCCCCTCCGCCTGCCCTGCCGGAAGCTGAGCCCGTGGTTTGTGGGGCTGTTCAAAGTCCTGAGGAGAGTAAATGAGGTTACGTATGGGTTACTACTCCCTCCTGATTGCCGTATTAACCCCTCGTTTCACGTGTCTCTCTTCAGGCCGGTGGTGGCTGGTCCGCTCCAGGAGTCTGAGGTGCGGGAGGTTCCTCCGCCCCCTCTGGACATCGAGGGGGCCCCGGCGTACTCCATCCATTCCATCCTGGATTCGAAGCGTCGGGTGGGGGGCCTTCAGTATCTCATGGAGTGGGAGGGGTGCGGTCCGGAGGAGGGGTACTGTCACTACTTCCTCCGAAGCTGCCTCTCCTTGTTCGGGCAGGCTTCGGCGCTCGTCGTCACCGGCCTTCTAGCCACTGCCGCTCCTCATCTCATCATCTCATCATTCCATTTGTTTTGTCTTGTTTTTACACACACCTGGTTCATATCCCCACATCAGTACCTGTATACGTATTTCCCTATGCCCCCCATGTCTATGTGTGTGATTGTTTTCATGTAGAGATGACGATAGCTCGGTGGAGCTTTATTGTATTGTATCGCGGGGATATTCACCCATGTGTGTTGTTTTCTCCAGTGCGCCGTTATACCGCACTGTAGTGTTTTACGCAAATGCTGCGTACCACTGTATCTGCCGAATAAACCATTTATTCTGTGATTTACCCTCCTGCGCCTGACTCCGTCCAATTCACCCGCTACATTAATCCCTAATATTCTGAACCCGTTCTCTCTATATATTCTACTAAGTCTGTTGACAAACTTCTAACTAAAAGGTACACTGTATTTAAAGGGATGGCTTAAGATGGCTTAAGATAAATATACTGAAAACCCTATTGAATGGTATGTCTCCTGAGTGGCGCAGTGGTCTAAGGCACTGCATCGCAGTGCTAATCTGTGCCACTAGAGATCCTGGTTCGAATCCAGGCTCTGTCGCAGCCGGCCGCGACCGGGAGACTCATGGGCGGCGCACAATTGGCCCAGCGTCGTCCAGGGTAGGGGAGGGAATGGCCGGCAGGGATGTAGCTCAGTTGATAGAGCATGGCGTTTGCAACGCCAGGGTTGTGGGTTCGATTCCCACGGGGGGCCAGTATAAAAAAAAATATGTATTCACTAACTGTAAGTCGCTCTGGATAAGAGCGTCTGCTAAATGACTAAAATGTAAATGTAATGAATGAAAACTTGTTGGAGGGTTTTCAGTGGTTGAATTACATTTATTCAGCATGCGCTAGGGAACCACTCCTGCAAAGCCCGTTATACACCTTCATAAGGTAAGTTTGAATATCATCTACTGAAAAGTGAGTAGGAAAGGCGTGCGTAAGAAAGGTGTAATTTCCACAATCGTAATCGGGCCCAATCCAAAACATAACCATTTGAGGCATTGATGAAAGGTTGCTCAGTGAATGAAGAAATCTATTAACAAAATACACATATGTATGTCACATACGGTACATGTACAATACATGTACAACAAGTATTTAATACACTGCCGATTTTGCAGGTTTTCCTACTTACAAAGCATGTAGAGGTCTGTAATTTTTTATCATAGGTACACTTCAACTGTGAGAGACGGAATCTAAAACAAAAATCCAGAAAATCACATTGTATGATTTTTAAGTAATTAATTTGCATTTTATTGCATGACATAAGTATTTGATACATCAGAAAAGCAGAACTTAATATTTGGTACAGAAACCTTTGTTTGCAATTACAAAGATCATACGTTTCCTGTAGGTCTTGACCAGGTTTGCACACACTGCAGCAGGGATTTTGGCCCACTCCTCCATACAGACCTTCTCCAGATCCTTCAGGTTTCGGGTCTGTCGCTGGGCAATACGGACTTTCAGCTCCCTCTTAAGATTTTCTATTGAGTTCAGGTCTGGAAACTGGCTAGGCCACTCCAGGACCTTGAGATGGTTTTTACGGAGCCACTCCTTAGTTGCCCTGGCTGTGTGTTTCGGGTCGTTGTCATGCTGGAAGACCCAGCCACGACCCATCTTCAATGCTCTTACTGAGGGAAGGAGGTTGTTGGCCAAGATCTCGCGATACATGGCCCCATCCATCCTCCCCTCAATACGGTGCAGTCGTCCTGTCCCCTTTGCAGAAAAGTATCCCCAAAGAATGATGTTTCCACCTCCATGCTTCACGGTTGGGATGGTGTTCTTGGGGTTGTACTCATCCTTCTTCTTCCTCCAAACACGGCGAGTGGAGTTTAGACCAAAAAGCTCTATTTTTGTCTCATCAGACCACATGACCTTCTCCCATTCCTCCTCTGGATCATCCAGATGGTCATTGGCAAACTTCAGACGGGCCTGGACATGCGCTGGCTTGAGCAGGTGGACCTTGCGATTTTAATCCATGACGGCGTAGTGTGTTACTAATGGTTTTCTTTGAGACTGTGGTCCCAGCTCTCTTCAGGTCATTGACCAAGTCCTGCCGTGTAGTTCTGGGCTGATCCCTCACCTTCCTCATGATCATTGATGCCCCACGAGGTGAGATCTTGCATGGAGCCCCAGACCGAGGGTGATTGACTGTCATCTTGAACTTCTTCCATTTTCTAATAATTGCGCTAACAGTTGTTGCCTTCTCACCAAGCTGCTTGCCTATTGTCCTGTAGCCCATCCCAGCCTTGTGCAGGTCTACAATTTTATCCCTGATGTCCTTACACAGCTCTCTGGTCTTGGCCATTGTGGAGGTTGGAGTCTGTTTGATTGAGTGTGTGGACAGGTTTCTTTTATACAGGTAACGAGTTCAAACAGGTGCAGTTAATAAAGGTAATGAGTGGAGAACAGGAGGGCTTCTTAAAGAAAAACTAACAGGTCTGTGAGAGCCGGAATTCTTACTGGTTGGTAGGTGATCAAATACTTATGTCATGCAATAAAATGCAAATTAATTACTTAAAAATCATACAATGTGATTTTCTGGATTTTTGTTTTAGATTCCGTTTCTCACAGTTGAAGTGTACCTATGATAAAAATGACAGACCTCTACATGCTTTGTAAGTAGGAAAACCTGCAAAATCGGCAGTGTATCAAATACTTGTTCTCCCCACTGTATATTTGACATAAATCCAATGACCTCTATATTACATTACACTTAACAGTTTATTAATTTAGCAGACACTCTCTTTACTTTAGGAGAATCAGGACGGTTTCCCAGACCTAGATTAAGCCTAGTTCCGGATTAAACATCATTCTCAATGGAAAATCTCAATCAAAAGTGTTTTTTTGTCCACGACTAGGCTTAATCTGGGTCTGGGAAACCAGTCCTTCATGTTTCAACAACAACTCTGTCTTCTGTTTATTTGCCAGTCTCACCACTGCATGGCTTCTACTCTATCTCCCCTCTGTAGATGATGAGGTGGCCTTTCGCACCAGGCAAGGGCACATCCTGAAACACAGCCTGAGTGAGAACCTCACCATCTCTCTGCTGGATGGCAGCATCCTAGTGAGTACAGACACCACAAACAAAACTCTACTCCAGGGTGATTGATTGACAGACTGATGGATCTTGCAGCTTGGATGGCTGATATGCTTCATCATACATATCCATACTCCCAGTCTCCCACAGGTGTCAAATTGTATTTGAGAAATAATGCCTCCTCCCACTGCAGTTTCTATTAGCATTTTTATCTTCTTTTTTTTCTGTTTTACAAGAATCTGAAGGACACAAAGTTTCAAGTGTCACCAGACCAGAAGTATATTCTGCTGGCTTACAACTTGCATCTGGTAGGTAAAGTTTAACAGTCAGTGTATCTGATATTATATTATATCTTATATTTCAAGACAAAACTGGGAACTTACTGCTGATTTGTATCCATACCTCCACCCCTGTATAAATAGACTGATTTACTTCTGCTCTAAGCTATGTCTTTAATATTTTATCAGGATATTTTAATTCAGATGGGACTAAGCTAAGATTATTGAGAGAAAACAAACAATTCTGAAAACAGTTATGCTCCCAAAGGCCTTGTTTTATCCAATTCAGAATCTGGCACAGTTTCTCTTTTGGGGTGGGCGTTTATTATTCTTAAAGACTTTGAAACGCCTCAATCCATCTCTTCTGTTTATACAAATAATATAAAATATGTGGCCTCCGGGTCATCATGTAATTTAACAGTTTTACTTCAGCCAAAAAACGTGTTGTGTATGCATGTGTTTGTGTGTATATTCTCATGCTTTTGTGTTTCTACCAGGGACTTTCTTGAGCTAAACCCACACAGAGTGAAGCCATCTGCTCTTCAATATGCCACATGGGGTCCCAATGGAAATCAATTGGTGAGGCCCTAAGGCAGGAGTGCACAACATGCGGCCCACAGCCCAAATACGTCCCGAGAGATGCTCTTTTTTGGCCCATTATGTTCACACACTGTATGTTCATTTGTGTATGTTATATTTACATTGACTTACATAGGCACTCTGTTATTTTGGCAGATCTACATCTTTCAGAATAACCTCTACTACCAGCCAGGTGTGTACAGTGGTCCTGTACGTCTCAGCACTACAGGCAGTGGGTCTGTTATCAACGGGCTGTCAGACTGGACATATGAGGGTGAGAGAGACGCTGCCTCTGTAAAGTAAAATCATACTTACTTACTTAGTCCTTTTCTTCCCGGGTAGGACATAAGGCCGCAACAATCTTCTGCCACTGGAGTCTGTCATTGGCCACAGCTTGCGCCCTGTCCCATGAGAGACCCATCTCATCCAGCTCAACCGCCACTGTTCGTCGCCGTGTAGTTTTTAGCCTGCCTCGTTTGTGCTTTCCTGTTGGTGTCCACCTGACAGAACAACACCATAGACTGTAACGATCTCGGTTCGACAGACGCTGGGAGACGGGAAGCAAGTACAGGGTGATGATTTAATAAATAAAAGACATGGAACAAAACACGGACAGCGTCTGGACAGGGGAAACGAAACAACATCAATACAGACACCGGGATCAAACTGGGGAACAGACAGATATAGAGGAGGCAATCAACAAAGTGAAGGAGTCCAGGTGAGTCCAATGAGCGCTGATGCGCTTAATGATGGTAACAGGTGTGCGTAATGATGGGCAGCCTGGCGCCCTCAAGCGCCAGGGAGGGGGAGCGGGAGGGAGCGGGAGCAGGCGTGACAGTTCTCAACTTCTGGTTTTAGTTTTCCTGGACAAGTAAGAACCCTGAGGAGAGGAAATGCCTATTCTAATCATTAAGTGATTCGATTCAATTAAATGAATGTGGCTGCATGAAGACAAGATAAATGGATTTCAGTCGGACTTGGAGGGAGAGAAATGGAATACTAAAATAAGTAGTGTTAAGTAATGGGAATGAGTCGAGATGATTTGGGCCCACAGTTGCCCACAGTTTCTCTTCTGACCACGTGGCCTTCGGGTCTGGTCAAGTCACATTGACAGGAAAACCTCTAGGCCCTAGATCAAGGATGGGCAACTGTGCTCGGGGGCCTGATTAGTGTCACACTTTTGCCCGAGCCCCAGCTAACACACCTGACCCAATAATCAACTAATTATCAGTTTAGAATGCAATTAGTTTAATCAGCTGTATTTGCTCGGGATGGGGAAAAAGTGTGATACCACTCCGACCCCTGAGGACTGGAGTTGCCCATCTCTGCCCTATATACTGTATGATGACCAATAACTGTGGAAATTACTCTTTCCGGCCAACAGGAGGCGCCCCTCTTCACTAGAGATGGCTCTGTGTTATACATCACTCTGCTTGCCGCACAAGGGGGTCACGGAGAGTATCGACACGTAGCTGTCCTCCCTGCTCAGGTCAGAGTTGCGTTTCAGCCTTATCTACCTTGCTTTATCTTATTTGGCCCAAGTCAGTCTATTTTGAATGGCTACGGTTTTCTCCTCACTACCCTCTTTCACAATGACCCCTTCAGCTACCTTTAACTCCCTCGCTCCCTCCCTCTTACACGGTCTCTGTCTCTGTGTCCTTGGCTTGTCTCTCTTTCTCTCTCTCCCTGCAGCCTTTGACTTCCCCCATGTCTCCACGATTCCTGACATCAGGGCACTGGGATGTGATGTCACTCTGTGGCCTGGATGAAGACACAGAGAAAATGTGGGAGGAGAAAAGAGATTTGCTTATCCTCTGTTGGTGTGACTGCAGCTGGCATTAATGTAACCACAGCACATCAGCCTGATATGGTTTATGTCTGTGTGCAGATACTTCGTCAGCACAGAGGCATCCAAACACAGCAGACACCTTTACAGGTAAATATGCACAAGACCCTATAATTATACCATAATCAATAAGTAGATCCATATGTTTTTCCTGACCATGTGACCTGACCAGCGAAAACTCTAAGCACTAGCCCAGACTTTATCCTGGTAAAGTCCCTTGGTCGGGAGTAACTCAGGTCCATAAGAAATGTTTACATCATTCAGTCTGAATTTTTTCTATTCACTGTTCCTCTCTCTCAGTGTGAACCTCGGGGGTTTGTCCCAAAGACACTGTCTTACCTGCACACTCTCAGAGACCTGCCGCTTTTACAAGCCACAGTTCAACCCCAGCCTCACTCGCTTTATCCTCCACTGCTTGGGTGAATCTCTCTCTCTCCATCTATCTCTTTCTCTCTTTCTTTCCTTTTTTCTGTCCTTCATCTTGATGTCTCTTTGTTGTAGGCCCTGGCATCCCCAGAGTGACTGTCCACAACACCAGAGAACATTTCAGTGAGCTCTACACAAGTTGTTTTTCATGTCTACTAGGTTTTATAATTGAGCTACAGTATATACAGTATACATGCTTCCTGTATGTACGGCTCCACATTCCATCTTTACTCAATTTGTCTAAACAAATGGGATGGAAAGGGCTAGGCTAGGGGGGAGTATTTGTGTTTGTGACCCTTTTCGAGCTGATTACATTGTTTGACTATAGCCTTCATCCTGTCCTTAACTCACAACTTGAATTAGCTATTTGACAATATATTGTCTGAGCAAAGGTTGATATTGAGCAAAATCTAATATGTGTAGATGTCTTACAATGTCGGCAGCTGTTGTCCTAGAACACTTGAATGATTGTTAGTTCAGCCAGATGTTTTATGTTCAGTATTCAGTCACTGGTGAGGAAGTGTCCCAAACAGCACACTATTCCCTATATAGTGCACTACTTTTGACCAAAGGAAGAAAAAGAGAGGAAACCACTCTTTTTCTTAGAGAACTTATTATGACTTACCATGAATTGAGAGCAACTGTGGTATCCATGTTGCAGATATGCATCTAAAGCTGGGTCTACCACAGGGGTATGAAGAAGGCCTGCATCCTCTCCTCATCATCCTGTAAGATCTGCAAAAAGAAGCAAGCAAGAAAACGTTAAACACTAATGCAAACTTTAAGGGTTAATATATAAGACATAGACTTAAGTTTGCAAGCCAATATTTCATAACAAGATCGATATTTTTGACACAGGTGTCCTACAAATCGTAATAATTATTAACATAAAAGATCCATAACTTCCTAAATGTCTTCCTCAGTGTATTCACTTCTCCTCCACCTAACTTTGTTGACTTCCTGATCCCATTTCCTTTCTTCTCATCTCTGTCTGTGTGTCTCAGGGATGGAGCCCCTGACACTCAGGCAGTCACAGACCGTTTCTCTCTGGGCTGGCCCCAGGTCCTTTCCAGTATCCACAGTGTGGCTCTGGCCTGGGTGGACGGCAGGAGTGGGGCGGCACACAGCCTGAGGTCACCTAACCTTGACCCCAGGAAACTCAGCTCCCAGAGAGTCAAAGACCAGCTGAGCGTAGTAGAGTGAGTCATCAATGATGAGTACAGCGTAGATTTGAGCAGCATCTAAATAATTTCTTAGTTATACCGTATTTAAGAAATGAATCGTTCCATGTCATCCAAATCTGTTTCATGGATAATTTCCTGCAATTGTACAAATGTTGCTATGGGGCGGAGATTAAATGTTACGGTTTTAAAGCTAGTTTTCTGCAATTCTACACATTTTGTCATTGGGGCTGAGAGAAAAAATTGCAGTTTTAAAGCAAATTTCCTTGTTTCTACACATTTTGCCATGGGACTGAGTGAAAATGCGCAGTTTAAAAGCTAATGTCCTGCAATTCTACACATTTTGCCATGGCTTATGTCGTGTTCTTATGCTAACTGAGTGACTCAAACATTATAACAAAATCAATGGGGGCATGACATTTTTTTACTTTAGATTCTCCCTGACTGTCTAGTTTTTATTTTGGTGATTGTTAGTTTTCCAAGATGATCAAAAAAAAAAAATATATAGCTCCTTTATATTTTCTACATACTTTGTATCTGGTTTCAGTCATTTAAGTTTACACTGAAAACATTTTACCATCCCGAAATTATTATACTTTTTTAAAGATCATATGAATATAGGGGAAACACTGTATTTCAACAAAATAATGTTTCAGGAATGCTAATCATATCTGTCACTAACTACAGAAACAATTTCAGAACAATCTGAGATGGTGGGAATACTCTTTCTTGTGCTTTTTGAGGTGGAAAGACCCCAATGCATTCTTTGCTACAGGTGGTTGTTGGAGTTGCCGTACATTGACAACAGAAGAATTGCGCTGTATGGAAAGGTATAGGGTCTATTTCCAAATATATTGCTGCACTGATTCTAGCAGACCCAGCCAAAGTGGAAAAGAGCTTAAAACATCCATGTTAGATCAAACAGTATTCTGTATGTAGTCACCTCTGGATGTGAGTACCCCACTCTATCTTTTCAACAGGCATTTGGTGGACTTCTGACACTGAAGATGATGGCAGCAGCCAAAATATTTAAATGTGCTGCAGTGATGGCTCCAATCACAGACTTCAAAATCTACAGTACGTCCCCCAACATTTAGGAATAATCTGTGTTGCTTTCATCTTTGTACTGTGTCTGCCAGTTTGTTACCCAATTATTCAATCTTATACCTAGCCCGGTTCTTACTTGGTTTATCTTTTAGATTTTGTTATCGATTTATAAACAATAATGACTGTCATAATAGATGCTGCTTTCTCTGAGAGATACCTGGGTCTTCCAGCCAGTGAGGAGAGCTTCTACAGAGTAAGTCAAGATCTTGTTCTTCGCATTGTATGTAAAGTATAAGATGGTGTAACATTGTCTCTCTCACATGCACTCAACTTGTCCCTTTAGTCTTCCTTTGAACGAAAAACAGGTTGTGACTAGATGGAGTACAGCTAAGACCAGAAGTGACTTTTCATAGCAGATTAGGAGAGCATTTAAACTAACCCTAACCCTTTTCCTAACTTTAACCTAATTCTCCTAACCTGCTACATTAATTATCCTAACCTGCTATGAAAAAGTCACTTCTGGTTGTAGCTGTATTCCACCTAGTCAGCATTCCAAAAACCTGGGTCTTAGTTAACCTCTATGGGATCAGGGTCCTTTATACGGGACAGTTGAGCTAACGTGCGCTAATGTGATTAGCATGACTGTTGTAAGTAACAGCAAACTTTCCAGGACATAGACATGTCTTATATGGACAGAAAGCTTACATTTCTGTTAATCAAACTGCGCTGTCCAATTTACAGTAGCTATTACAGTGAAAAGAATACCATGCTATTGTTTGAGGAGAGTGCACAACAACAACAAAACTTGTCACAGCAACTGGTTTGATACATTCACCTCTGAAGGTAAATAATGTACTTAAATCCAGTAATCTTGCTCTGATTTGTCATCCTGGGGGTCCCAGAGATAAAATGTACCATAGTTTTGTTTGATAAAATCAATTTTTATATTTAAATGTAGGAACTGGGTTCTACAGTTTGAACCCTTGCTGTCTCTGGCTCCACCCCCACCCCGCCCGGCCATCTAGATGTGTGAAAGTTAGTGTATAAGCTAATGATCCATCATGTATGACATTCCTGGGAGTGTGTAAACTTACATTTTGTATTACCATATAATTTTTGTATGTTCTCTATAGTTATGTACTTGAAAATGTATCAATTGACCAATTCGGCACATTTGGGCAGATTTGATACAAAATAGTCCAGTATTGCAATGCTTCACTGGATCAATCTGAAACTTTGCACACACACACTGCTGCCATCTAGTGGCCAAAATCTAAATTGCGCCTAAACTGCAATATTATATTACATTGACATTTTAGTCATTTAGCAGATGCTCTTATCCAGAGCGACTTACAATTAGTGAGTGCATAAATTTTTTCATACTGGCCCCCCGTGGGAAACGAACCCACAACCCTGGCGTTGCAGGTGCCATGCTCTACCAACTGAGCTACAGGGGACAAACATATTGTGGCCTTTCTCTTGCATTTCAAAGATGATTGAAAAAAAAAAAATAGAAAACGCATGTTTTTTGGTTTGTATTATCTTTAACCAAATCTAATGTGTTATATTATCCTACATTCATTTCACATTTCCACAAACTTCAAAGTGTTTCCTTTCAAATGGTATCAAGAATATGCATATCCTTGCTTCAGGTCCTGAGCAACAGGCAGTTAGATTTGGGTATGTCATTTTAGGCGAAAATTGAAAGAAAGGGTCCGATCCTTAAGTAAACATGTCTTCTCAGGCTGCCTCTTTGCTGGATGATGTGGTCAATCTGAAGGACAAGAACTTCCTCCTTTTACATGGAACCGCAGATGGTGAGAACCTTTATGATCTATTCAACTATTCAACTAAGATTTAGGTGAATACTTTCAGAAGTGCTACAAAAATAAAGATATACCCCATATGAGATATTGAATGGATCTACTTGCACATATTTGTGAAGTAACACTTCCACCTTGAAACAGTCTGTTTTCTGTTTACTTTTTTCTTGTAGCACATGTCCACTTCCAGCACACTGCCGAGCTCATAGACCATCTGGTGGCAGCAAAGGCCAACTACTCTCTGCAGGTTTACCCTGATGAGGGCCACATTTTGAGATGGAGCCACAGTGATCAGCACTTCCGGCGCACCCTAAGAAACGATCTCCTGGACTGTCTGGCTCCTATGCCCCCTCGAAAGTCTGATAGACAAGAGCACAACTGAGAGCTCCCCTCCCAAACATTTACATCCAACAACAAAACACTACCACCAAAACATCATACCTCCATCCATTTGACCTTTATGAGGATTTTGCATGAGGGAAATGTGAAAAGGCATGTAGTGTGAAGGGAAAGTATGCTCTGAAATGTCTCTTGTTGAGTAGAGTTTGCATTCTTGTATTTAGATAGCTGACTAAACACTCCATGGTTAAGGAAGTTAAACTGCCTTGGAGTTTAGTCAGCTAGTATTTAGCATGACCCATATTGCAGAACCTGATTATTTCAAAGATCCTTAAGAATTTGTTGTTGTTTCCTAAGTGCATTTGAAGTTATCTGGTGGTGATAGTTTGTTTAAATCAAATCAAATGTTATTTGTCACATTCTTCATAAACAACAGGTGTAGACTAACAGTGATATTTTTGGGCCCTTCCAGGTAGCCTGGCGGGTAGGAGTGTTGGGCCAGTAACCGCAAAGTTTGCTGGATTGAATCCCCGAGCTGACAAGATAAAAAATCTGTTGTTCTGCTCCTGAGCAAGGCAGTTAACCCACTGTTCCCTGGGTGACGATGATGTGGATGTCAATTAAGGCAGCCCCCCGCACCTCTCTGATTCAGAGGGGTTGGGTTAAATGCTGAAGACACATTTCAGTTGAATGCATTCAGTTATACAACTGACTAGGTATCCCCCTTTCCCAACACTACATATTGAAAAATAATAATAAGAGGAATAAATACACAATGAGTAACAATAACTTGGCTATATACATGGGGTACCAGTTCTGAGTTGATATGAGGTCATTGAGATATGTACATACTGTATCTACAGGTAGGGGGAAAGTACCTAGCCCAGCTAACAATTCTAGGGAGAGAGAATGTTTTTTTTTAATGTTCCCCTAATGTTTTAGTGTCCACTTTTCCGTTAGTTAGGGGAACATTCTATCTATGTGTCACGAGTGTCAGTGTAATGCGGTGGATCGAAGTCAGGCGCAGGACACAGAACTAACCAGGGAAGTCCCAACACCACAGGATACGCAGGAGAATCAATCAGATAGAGACTAATCCTCTCCTCATGACCCCCCTGCGTCCTCATCAAGAGTGGTGCGGTGACCTCCCTGATTAGGCCTGACCCTAACGGGCGACTATATTATGCATGTACAGGGAAGGGCACATCAACACGAACAGTGAGAATCCCTAAACTAAGTCAATACTGACGATCAATAAAATTCCCAGCTGCGCCTGAATCTACTAGCGCCTTATGCTGGGAATGAGGAGAAAACTCTGGGAAAACAACCTCAATACACAGCTGACCAACAGGGAGCTCTGGGTGAGTCGGGTGCTTACTCACCTGAGATGGTCGACCAGTGCTCTGCCTACTGCCTCGACTCCCTGGGGACCCTTCCCAGCACCGACCCGTAGTGTGTCCTCTGCGACCACAGTTGGTGCAGGGGACGGCCCCTCTCCTGGTCTCCCTAAGCGCAGCACCTCCGAGCTCCATGGGGGTAGGGTCGGAGGTGCTGGGAGATGGAATGAACAGGCCCTGATCAGAATGTCAGCGGGTCTTCAACAGGTTATCCAGCCTGATGGACATCTCCACCAGTTGGTCCAGGTTGAGGTTGGTATCCCTGCAGGCCAGTTCCCACCGAACGACCTCCCTTAGGCTGCAACGATAGTGGTCGATCAGGGCCCTCTCATTCCATCCTGCGCTGGCTGCCAGAGTCCTGAACTCCAGCGAAAAATCCTGGGCGCTCCTCCTCTCCTGTCTTAGGTGGAACAGACGCTCGCCCGCCGCTCTCCCCTCCGGTGGATGACCGAATACCGCCCGGAAGCGGCAGGTGAAATCCTCGTAGTGGACAGATGTAGCGTCAATTCCTCCCCACTTGGCGTTGGCCCACTCGAGCGCCTTCCCCGACAGACAGGAGATGAGGGCGGACACGCTCTCATATCCCGAGGGCGCCGGGTGAATGGTTGCCAGGTAGAGCTCTACCTGGAGAAGGAAACCCTGACACCCGGCTGGTGTACCATCATATGCCCGCGGGAGCGAGAGCCGAATCCCACTGGACCCAGGTGGCGAAGGGGTGGACAGTGGTATGGGTGGTTGAGTGGTTGGAGGAGGTGTAGGAAGGCCACCTCTCTCCCAACGGTCCATAGTATTCATCACCCTCTCCATAGCGGTGCCGAGAGCCTGGATCATGCTCTCCTGTCGTTGAACGCGTTCCTCCATCGATCCGGACTGACTGGCTGTACCTGCTGACTCCATCTTTGGTGCGTGTTTCTGTCACGAGTGTCAGTATAATGCGGTGGATCGAAGTCAGGCGCAGGACACAGAACTCTATGAAAACGTACTTTACTGAATAAGTAAAGAAACCAATACAAAAATACCTCAACACAGGGAGGAACAAACCCGCTCACCAAACAACACACGAAACGAAAAACAAACATGCACAAAACATAATGGGAGCCACCGGTTTAAATAGGGAAGAAGTAATGACAGGATGGGAAACATGTGTGTGACAATCAGACAACCACAGGTAGAACATAGAAACATAGAACATAGATCGAACGCCGAAGCCTGCCCGAGCAAGGAGGAGGGGCAGTCTCGGCAGAATCCGTGACACTATGTTAGCAAAAACCTTCTGAGAACCTTTTTAGCATGTTTTGGTGTTAAAGTCATGGACTGTGTATGTGTGCCATTCAGAGGGTGAATGGGCAAGACAACATATTTAAGTGCCTTTGAACGGGGAGGTAGTATGTGCCAGGCGCACCGGTTTGTGTCAAGAACTGCAACACTGCTGGGTTTTTCACGCTCAACCGTTTCCCGTGTGTATCAAAAATGGTCCACCATCCAAAGGACATCCAGCCAACTTGACACAACTGTGGGAAGCATTGGAGTCAACAGGGGCCAGCATTCAACACCTTGTAGAGTCCATGCCAGACAAACTGAGGCTGTTCTGTTTTTTAAAACCTTTACTTAACTACGCAAGTCAGTTAAGAACAAATTCTTATTTACAATGACGGCATACCCCAGCCTCCCCTAACCCGGACAACGCTGGGCCAATTTTGCACCGCCTATGGGACTCCCGATCACAGCCGGTTGTGACACAGCCCGGCGGGATCAAACCAGGGTCTGTAGTGACGCCTCTAGCACTGAGATGCAGTGCCTTAGACCACTGCGCCACTTGAGTCAGTCACTCCTAATGTTTGGTATTGTCACGCCCTGGCTCTGGGGACTCTTAAATGTTGAGCCAGGGTGTGTAATGTCTATGTTGTATTTTCTATGTTGTTGATCTAGATCGTGTAGATCTATGTTGGCCAGGGTGGTTCCCAATCAGAGGCAGCTGTTTCTCGTTGTCTCTGATTGGGGACCATACTTAGGCAGTATGTTTGGCACTAGTCATTGTGGTATCTTGTTCCGTAAGGTTTGTTTTGGTGTATAACCTAGGACTTCACGTGTCGTTTGGTTTGTTGTTTTGTTCGTGTGTGTTAAGTATGTTAATTAAATAATATGTACGCTTACCACGCTGCGCCTTGGTCCGCTTCATCTCATAACGATCGTGACAGGTATACTCAGTGTATATTGCTATACAGCAAAAACAGCGTGTACAGTGTATACAGCAAAAATAACGAACGCCCTAACAACTGTCCCAATATGGGATATCTCTAGGGTATGTGCTTATTGGGCTAATACAGGTAGGCCCTGTCCAGAAGAAACCATAAACTATCCTCCCTAGGCACTTGTGTAGATATGAAACTACTTGATAGGTGTAAGCAATAGGGTGAATGCACTTTGAAGTAAATCTCAGCTCTCTTAAAAGTACACTCAAGAAAATATTTTATTTATCATAGTGATTCAGGAGTATCATTATAACAGGTTAATATGCCCAATCAACATTAGACAACTATACAGAAAGCCCTTCAATTGCTGAAATAAGTCAATAAAATCAATGATGAGAATAGTCAGATTAACTGATACCTGACACAGACATGTTGGTGTAGCAGGAAGATCGGAGTACTGTAAACCAAGCAGTTGTGAGTTCAAATCCCAGGTAAAGACATGTTGAATAATAATTACTGTATAAATGAACATTCACAATGTAATCATATATGTCAAATATGTAGGTTGAAAACACTGCACGTTAAAAGCACTTTGAGTGAGTATCGTTGCCAGCAGACAAAGAGCTATGAATGGATCAGTCGTTCATCAATGATTGGACACAAATGTTCTTGCAATGTTCCCATGAAACGTGTCTACAACATTATTATCTTATGTTCTGAGAACATGGCAACCATGTTTGGTGGGACATTGATGGAATATTCTACTAACCCACAGAAAACTGGACAAATTAATGTTTTTGCCACGTTCCCATGAAACGTGTCTAGAACATTAATATCTTACGTTCTGAGAACATGGCAACCATGTTCTGTGTATGATTGGTGGGACATTGATGGAATATTCTCCTAACCCACAGAAAACTGGACACATGGATGTTCTTACAATGTTCCCATGAAACGTGTCTAGAACATTCATATCTTAAGTTCTGGTAACCACATTCTGGGTAAGTTCTATTTGACATTAAGGGAATGGTCTCTTGGAAACATTCCTTGCACATCACAGGAACATTCTTATGAAAACGTTAGTTAATGATATAATGAGACTCTTAAGGGAACGTTCTCTAAAGTTGTGGGAACGTTTGTTGTTAGCTGGGAGGCAACATGATAGATAAACAGCAGCATCAGCATACAGTGAGTGTACAAAACATTGCTCTTTCCATGACATTAACTGACCAGGTGGATCCAGGTGAAAGCTATGATCCCTTTTTGATGTCACTTGTTAAATCCACTTCAATCAGTGTAGATGAAGGGGAGGAGACAGGTTAAGGAAGGATTTTTAAGCCTTGACACAATTGAGACATGGATTGTGTATGTGTGCCATTCAGAGGGTGAATGGGCAAGACAAAAGAGTTAAGTGCCTCTGAACGGGGAATGGTAGTAGGTGCCAGGTGTACCGATTTGAGTGTGTCAAGAACAGCAACGCTGCTGGGTTTTTCATGCTCAACAGTTTCCAGTGTGTATGAAGAATGGTCCACCACCCAAAGGACATCCAGAAAACTTGACACTGTGGGAAGCATTGGAATTAGTGCAAAGAGGGCCAATGCAGATAGTCCAGGCCTTGCGGTCGGATGCCAAGCAGTTGCCATACCAAGCGGTGATGCAGCCAGTCAAGATGCTCTCAATGGTGCAGCTGTATAACTTTTTTAGGATCTGAGGGCCCATGCCAAATATTTTCAGCCTCCTGAGGGGGAAGAAGTGTTGTTGTACCTTCTTCACAACTGTGTTGGTGTGTGTGGACCATGTTAATTCCTTAGTGATGTGGACAACAAGGAACTTGAAGCTCTCGACCCACTCCACTACAGCCCTGTTGATGGCCTTCCGTTTCCTGTAGTCTACGATCAGCTCCTTTGTCTTGCTGACATTGAAGGAGATGTTGTTGTCCTGGCAGTCACTGACTTCCTCTCTATAGGTGGTCTCATCGTCGTCGGTGATCAGGCCTACCACTGTTGTGTCATCAGCAAACTTAATGATGGTGTTGGAGTCGTGCACGGAAACGCAGTCGTGGGTGAACAGGGAGTACAGGAGGTTACCTACCCTCACCACCCTCCCAGTTGCAGAGAGAGGTGTTCAGTCCCAGGGTCCTGAGCTTAGTGATGAGCTTGGAGGGCACTATGGTGTTGAATGCTTAGCTGTTCAACGTCATACTGTTGATGACATAGCAGTGAGTACTCACCCAAGTGCTCCTTCAGCAGTGTCTACTCAGTTTGGACAGAGAGGAAGAGGCGAAGCAGACCAATACGCAGAACAATAAGATGGCCAATAAGCAGACTGCCCGCCTTCCCGCCTTTGGGAGAATGACCCCATTGTTAGGGCAGAGAGAACAAGACCATCTCGTCATATACATTATCTCTGGTTTGAAGTTCCAAATGCAAACAGGCAAAACGAAAGACAGCCATAGATCATTGCACATCAGCGATTTTAATGCAATCCACTTAATATTCTAAATAAAACCACTGTTTCACTAAATATTACTTTTTACGTTGAAGACCGGTGGCTATTTGCCATGAAATCGAGAAATCGGTTCCTCGCTCTCTGATTAAATTTGGTTTGGGTCCTAATTGTCTCTGGCATAAACTCGGACAACTCTTGGTAGCATCCCGTTGCATACGTCACCAGTTTTTACTGAATGCAGTGGAACAGAGTGGAATGAAAATCTCCATATCTTTGTAGCGGTGGCTGAAATTCACAAACAACAGGTCATTACTAATAATTGAAAGTTGAATTGTATATTTGTTACACGTTAGAGACTGTTCAGCGCAGTAGCATGCATGAATGTTCAGTGAGAGTGTGATTTACCATTCATTTATTTTGATTACGTTACTTAGCTAGCACAGAGTTTCTAAACCCAGAAGCGCAACATCGCGAGACTTCCGGGAACGCTTGCGAAACAAGCCGGGGTTGGGCAAGTCAATGGGAGAAGTGTCATTTTCCCCCCCTTAGTTGTACATTTTCTCGAAATGTAAATCACAACCTAGATTCGAGACAATGTTTTAAGTAGTTGAACATGTTATTACTGTAACCGCGTGAAAGTGATCAACTGAAAGTTATTCATTTTCGTAAAAAACACCTTTATATCGAAGGAGTGCCTTTGGACAGCGTGCACATGCGCAGTTTGGCGCCAAACGACCGTTATACCCGATTGTGTTTCTACGCATGTGTTTAGCTAGTCAACGTCGCCATGACATCGCCTACAAGTGTGATCGGGGATTTCTATTTATAGAAGCAGTTTTAGCCTATCTTCATACTGTACTGTCTTTGGCTGTTGTCCCTGAACATTAAAAAAAGTACTGTTCACTGACCGTTATGACAACTCATTGAGAAGGACTTTCATGTCTCCATAATGTTTACATTATGTTCTTTTTCAGTACAATTTGATATTTGCTGTTTTTCTTCCTCTCCAATTTTGCTTAGATGAAGATGTGGTATCCCTTGCAATCTCTTGCTCGGTGTGTGCTACTTGTTCTCCTTGTAAGCCACTGCCAAGGAGCCAGGAAGGACCAGGATCTCAAATGTGGAGGTAAGTATTTGGACTTCTACCTATTTACTACACTAGAACCCATTTAATCTCATAATTTGATCTCAACACCCTTATTTTCTACATTGTGCATCCACATTTGGTCCACATACCTTAATTGAGCTACCTAACATTTAGTTATTCTACATCAGCATGTAGGGCCATGGTGGATGAGATGGAGTGGGCGATATCCCAGGTGGATCCTAAGAAAATGATCCAGACCGGGTCTTTTAGAATCAACCCAGATGGTAGCCAGTCTATTAGAGAGGTAAGGGTACCTGATGGCTACTGGGTCCTACATTGGCCTTATTTTACACATTCAATTATTTATTTGTAGGCTGGGATTCTACAGAATAAATAAAAAATACATAGTCATGTATGATTAGTGTTTTCTATCGGGTTATCACATTCTCTCTTTTTGAGCTCACCAACATTGTTGTGTCCCCCCCCCCCCCCCAGGTTCCCCTCGCCCGCTCGGAAGGTAACCTCCTAGAGCTGATGGAGGAGGTGTGTGAGAGGATGAAGGATTATGGGGAACTTGTGGACCCCACCACCAGCAGGAAGACCTACGAGAGGTTCACATCTCGGGACGGCAAACCCATGGACCTCTCAGAGGCTAAACTGGATTCCAGAGTCACATCCAGCCTGAAATATGCTGTGGGTAGCTTTTTCATTTTCACATGTTGGGGAGTAGGGACTAGGGACGATGACATGCTATAGCTCATCAGTGTGACATTCTAGAACCTCTAATATAGTGAATGATAATGGCAATAATGACTACAGTTGATTGCAACGTTCACCCAAACATACCAATGCAGTAAGGGGGAAACTTTCCATATGTTTGTATTGTGGATTGCAATCCAATGGCTCCAAGCTCCTGCAACTCACTGAAATGTGTCCCACTACATCTTATTAAACCATTATTTTCTCCATCTTACCCCCAGTGTGAGACCATCGTTGAACAACATGAAGATGAGGTCATCGAATTCTTTGCCCATGAAAGTGACAATGTCAAAGACAAACTCTGCAGCAACAGAACAGGTATGCCATCCTATTACTTGATCCAGTACATGATCTTGACCACCAGAGACTACGGCTCAATCCCAATACCCCCCCCCCCCCCCCCCCTTAGCCCTCCTCCTCGGTGGGGGAGTGTCACTCAAAAACGGAGCAACTAGTGGTAGGGAGAGATGAATAGCCCTAGGTAATGGAACATTTCTACATCACTCACGCACATCAGAAGTCGCCAACGGATAGCCTACCACGCAATTCATTGGCGACGGGCCTTGTTTTTCAAAATGGCTGTACTGGCGGCATTAATCGTTTTCCTTATATTTCTCATGCAACAAATACGTACTTAACATATGAGCAACAAATGAGAACAGCAAAACAATGTGGCCGTAATGTACCCATCCTCTGGCTGTGGTTCAATGTGGAGCTCAATTGACATTGAAATTACTAAAACCAAATCAAAACTGTGTAAAAATGAAAATATACTTAAGCAATAATGCCAGAGGAGGTGTGATATATGGCCAATATACCACGGCTAAGGGCTGTTCTAATGCGCCACGCAACGCGGGGTGCCAGGACACGGCCCTTAACTGTGGTATATTGGCCATATATCACAAAACCCTGAGGTGCCTTATTGCTATTATAAACTGGTTACCAATGTAATTAGAGCAGTAAAAATAAATGTTTTGTCATACCCGTGGTATACCACGGCTGTCAGCATTCAGGGCTCAAATCAACATTCAGGGCTCAAACCACCCAGTTTATAACTGCATTTATAATCTCGTCATTGTCCAGCTTGCTAACAGTCATCGAAATGAATGTTAGTCAGGGAGCATCAAATTCGAAAAGATATGTAATTTTGACGGCGAGGAAATATAACCAATTTTAATTGCGGCCCTCCGGACCTCAGTCATGACCGACTGCGAGAATAATGAGTTTGACACTCCTGCTCTATATAATAACGATATGGTTTCCGCCCTAAAGATAGGAGTCATTGTCGCAAAGGCGGGAGGAGGTGAGATCAGGTGGGAACATTCTAGCCAATGAGAGGGCAGATACGCGCGTGAACAACAGACACAACTCCGATATGAAATAGTTTTTCTCAAAGTTGCCGAGATGCCGTGTGCGTCCACTTATATCCGTACATTCGTAACAACCTAAACATTACAAAACGTATATTTGATCAAATAAGCCTCACTTAGCAAATTAGCAATCACATTTTTTTGTTGATCAAATCCGACACTCATAGACTTCCATACAAAAAATCCCCACTTGGTCTGCTTATCGCTGTGTTCTCATGTGGACAGGTTTTGATGGGAGTGGAGCCTCTCGCAGAGCTTCATGGGAGTTTTGAGTACCACTTGGTAGGAAGTCAGCAACTCTATTTGCTTTGTTTGGAGGGCCAACTAGAGGGCTGAAAAGGCACTACGCCTTGCTCAAAGTTGAATTGGGACACCACTCCCACTCCATACGGCTCACCGGATCGCGCAAAACTGAGGGGGAGGGCAAAGGGGGCGCATTGGGATGGAGCCTAGGGACTACATGTACTACTATTGGGGATGCAGCTCTTACAAAATTGTTTGCTGTAACGAATTGTAATACAATATGTGAAAAGTGTACAAATCTATATCAAAATGACGTAACTCATTGATGGTTTTTCTCTGCAGACCTTTGCGACCATGCTCTGCAAATCCCTCATGATGAGCTATGATTCCGTCCTGCACTGCACGCAGCTCAGCTTTACACACAGCTACCTTCCACCGCATTACAATGGGGATGGGGACTATCCAGAGTAGCTCCAACACCAGGTGCTTAGGAATGAGGGGAGGGGAGGATTGTAGAACAATCTTGTAATGTGTATATTACTGCAATTAAGTGCTATTAATGTCTTACACACAGCTGTAGTAACAACAACAAAAAAATCATGCTGGATGATTTCATGAAACATTCTCATGCTTACACTCTTGAAGCAAAATGGTGAATAAAATTCTGTAACAAGTTAGATACTGTAATTGTCCAACATGGTTGCTGATCTTGTGATGCTTGTTGCTTTGATTAATTGTATTCTGTGAATGATGGAAAGGTTTGATTACACTTTCTTAAACAACTCCAATTTTCTATTTTGTGTAATCATTTGTCACTGTCATCTGTTTTTCATACTTTGTTGTAGAAATATATATATTTCCATCAATCTGGAGTCATTGTTTTCAGGGATGTTTGTTTTGCATTACACACATTTGTAAGAAGAGCAGACTACTGTACTATCAGATAATGCTCATGCAGTTTTAAGCCATTGTGTTTTAAAATGTTTAAAATAACATTTTCATGTTACACTAACAAAATAACAATCTCATGTCAGTAAAGACCACACTTTTGGCAACTTAATTTATGCTAGATTAGATGCTAGATTCATACACACCTACCCACATAGGCAGATTATGGCCACAGATAGGCTAAACCTGCTTCTCCAATAAAAATCCCCATCACACTTGTAGGCGATGGCATGGCGACGTTGGCTAGCAAAACCATGAGTAGAAGCACGTCATCGGGTCCGGTCGTCTCGCGCCGTACTGCGCATGCGCACGCCGTCAAATCAAAGGCACTCCTTCAATAGTTGTTTTTGTCGAAAATGAAAACGTGTCAGTTTGTCACTTTCACGAGGTTGGAGTAATAACATGTTCTACTGAAGACATTGGCTCGAATCTAGGTTGTGCCTTAAGATTTCGAGAGAATTAACAACTAAAAAAGAATTGTTCACTAATCTCATTGACTTCTCAAACCCCGGCCTGGTCTGTTTCGCAAGCGTTGCCGGAAGTCATGCGATGTTGCGCCTCTGGGTTTAGAAACTCTGTGTTATGGTTTCGTTCGTCACCCAAACCCCAGCCAATCCCCTCTGTAGGCCTGTTCATCTCTCTCAACCTTCACCTATCAAACTCAGGAGGGGCACCTTCAACAAGGTACTGGGGATTTTTAGCAGTACAGTAGGATAATATTTAATATACCAAGACAAACCCCTCACATCCATCATGTCCCTACTGTCCGCCTGCAGGTTTTCCCCGAAGCTCTTGCATTCAACGAAGGTAAAGCCGTTAGCTAAAGGATATGGCATCTAATTGGGGGCGCTGCATTGTCCCCATGCCGTAGATAGTATGCTAAAACGCTGGCTAGCCCAACCGGCTATCTAGCCACTTGCCAATCAGAACCAAACGTGAAGCTAGCATTTAGCTAGCTAAATAATTTAGGCCTTAGCTAGCCCTGAAGTGATGTCTGTTGTATTTAGCTAACGTTGGCTAGCTACGACTAATTTTGTCAGGTAGATTTGTCATTGAGTTGAAGCACAAATATACAAACATAATGAAGTTATCCAAATATAACCATTTTTTCTGTAGCCTTAATTTTTCTCTGTAGCTAGCTAACAAGTTAGCTGACTAGTAGCTAGCTAATTAGCTAGCATAAGTTAGCATTCAGCCAAATCCAAACATGTTTTGTTATTAGCTAGCTGGTTTAGCCAATTAAATAGGGTCGTTTACTCAAATGGCGAACTGTTAGTAATAGTAACATGTCTATCCATTTGTCATGTTATTTTCTTTGTAAATCCGTTTTTGACATTGTAAACGAGTAACATTAGCTAACTAACAAAGCTAGCCAGCTAAACTATGTAAGTAGTTATGCTAACACTGTTACTATTAAATATTAGTTTTATCTGTGCTAGTAGCTACTATTCTGCCAGCTGTGTAGCTTGCGACTTTGCTAGCCTTTGCTCAAAGGCTGGAGCTTCGTACCTAACGTTAGCGAACTAGCTAACGTTAGATAGCCAGCCCCTTTCTCCATTTGAGCTTGTGATGAGAATTGTCCCAGTTTGTCAAAAAATAACATCTAGTTAATTCATATATTGCCTTGATATTGTGCCATGGACCGGACTCGGAGTAGATCAGAGACCGGCTAGTTAACGTTAGTTGGTGTAGGCTACTGCATGTTTCAAGGAAATACAAAGTTCCCATTTCTTGCAATGCATTTTCCATTCCCACAATGTTAATCTCACAGCTGGAGGCAAGTCACACTGTCTTTGGCTGTAACTCCTCTTGAAAAGGCATCCCTTGCATGCAAAGCAAAAGAGGACCAGCCATGATTGATCAGCTGGAACACAGCAGCACATGGAATAATTTGAGTGAGGCTACCAAATTTTTCAAATGATCTTATGTCTGGATTATGTGAAGGCATTTTTCCAGTTGGCAAAGATCTACACTGAACAAAAATATAAATGCAACAATTTCAAATATTTTACTGAGTTACAGTTCATATAAAGAAATCAATCAATTGAACTAAATTCATTAGGCCCTAATCTATGGATTTCACATGACTGGGAATACAAAATATGCATCTGTTGGTCACAGATACCTTTTTTTTAAAGGTAGGGGCGTGGATCAGAAAGGCAGTCAGGATCTGAGTGACCACCATTTGCCTCATGCGGTGCGACATCTTCTTCGCATAGAGTTGATCAAGCTGTGGCCTGTGGAATGTTGTCCCACTCAATGGCTGTGCGAAGTTGCTGGAGATTGGCGGGAACTGGAACACACTGTCGTACACTGTGATCCAGAGCATCCCAAACATTGCTCAATGGGTGACATGTCTGGTGAGTATGCAGGCAATGGAAGAACTGGGACATTTTTAGCTTCCAGGAATTGTGTACAGATCCTTGTGACATGGGGCCGTGCATTATCATGTTGAAACGTGAGGTGATGGCGGCGGATGAATGGCACGACAATGGGCCTCAGGATCTCGTTACGGTATCTCTGTGCATTCAAATTGCCATCAATAAAATGCAATTAATTGTTGTCCGTAGTTTATGCCTTCCCATACAATAATCCCGCCGCCACCATTGGGCACTCCATTCGCCCACACAACGCAATACACGCTGTCTGCCATCTGCCCGGTACAGTTGAAACCGGGATTCATCTGTGAAGAGCACACTTCTCCAGCGTGCCAGTGGCCATCAAAAGTGTGCATTGGCCCACTGAAGTCTGTTACGACGCCGAACTGCAGTCAGGTCAAGACCCTGGTGAGGACGACGAGCACGCAGATGAGCTTCCCTGAGACGGTTTCTGACAGTTTGTGCAGAAATAATTTGGTTGTGCAAACCCACAGTTTCATCAGCTGTCCGGGTGGCTGGTCTCAGACGATCCCACAGGTGAAGAAGCCGGATGTGGAGGTCCTGGGCTGGCGTGGTTACACGTGGTCTGCGGTAGTGAGGCCAGATGGACGTACTGCCAAATTCTATAAAACGACATTGGAGGCAGCGTATGGTAGAGAAATGAACATTAAATGATCTGGCAACAGCTCTGGTGGACATTCCTGTAGTCAGCATGTCAATTGCACGCTCCCACAAAACTTGAGACATCTGTGGCATTGTGTTATGTGACAAAATTGGCCTTAGTGGCCTTTTATTGTCCCCAGCACAAGGTGCACCTGTGTAATGATCATGCTGTTTAATCAGCCTCTTGATATGCCACACCTGTCAGGTGGATGGATGGATTATCTTGGCATAGGAGAAATGCTCACTAACAGGGATATAAACAAATTTATGCACACAATTTGAGAGAAATAAGCTTTTTGTGCATATGGAACATTTCTGGGATCTTTTATTTCAGCTCATGAAACATGGGACCAACACTTTACATGTTGCATTTTATATTTTTGTTCAGTGTATTTCTGTGCATTCTGAATTGAGGTCACTACAGTAGGCTGTGTCCTTATGCCCTTCTTAAAACACTTAGAAAGAACATGGATAATCTTCACTCAGTGCTGTTAACAATGCTTTAATTGACTCCTTGCTCAATCAGTCATACGTTAGAATACCTGTAAATGCATTGGCAAAGGTATTTGCTACTGCACAAATGTCTATCATTCACAATTATCTGTTTATTATACTTTATCACGGAACTCAAGCTTCAGTCTCTCTTGCAGTGATGAGGTAGGCTGATTGCCTCTCTCCTGACAGTCCTTGTGCCTTTCAGAGTGCAGCATGTCTCATCGTGTCTTCCAGAAACGCCACTACATCAACAGTAAGTACTCTGGCTGGACCTCCTTTTTTCAATTTGATTTAGGCTACACACATATGCTTTTTACTTAGCACTGCTGTGATGGGGGTCATTTTGAACTAATAATATCTATTTTATATAGCACTTTTCAGTCGCTTTAAAAACAAAATCAACAATTTAACAACAAATGTAGGCATCTGGCGGTTCTTGGGCAATGGTCTTAGATGATAGGCAGTTCAGAAAGGTAGTATCTTGAGAGGAGGAAGCATAGATTGTGGTCCTCTGTAGCTCAGCTGGTAGAGCACGGCGCTTGTAACGCCAAGGTAGTGGGTTCGATCCCCGGGACCACCAATACACAAAAATGTATGCACGCATGACTGTAAGTCACTTTGGATAAAAGCGTCTGCTAAATGGCATATTATTATTATTATAGATGGTACAGCCAGGCAGGGAGGTAGAGACATCTGACAGACAGGCTAGGGAGCTCTTCATCGGGCACCTCGTCCTCTTCGATATTAGGCAGGCTGGATCGTCCGCTACTGAAATGTAGCACCCACCTGGGTGATGCTTCGGCGACTGTAAAAGCACCAGTAAGACCACCACACAACACTTGGTCCAGAAAAGCCCCCTACGAAGCAAGCCTATGCATCCACTCCCACCGCAGTCCACTTCCCTCTAGGAACTGGGTCAGGGGGCCAAAAATCAGATGCTGTTGATCTGGTGTTGCTGCATCATTCAAATCATTTTAGCTAGCTAGCTAGCTAGGCAAGCCAAATATAAATTGACTAGCCATAATCAGTCCTGCAAACTGGGTGGCCCTAATTAAAGAGAGCTGTTTTTTGATTAACGTCGTCTTTCTAAATGTGATTTTTAATTTTTTTTCTCTTGCTGTGCCGTTGTAGAACCTGAGAGATGTGCTCTTGGATCTCGTCCCTAAAGAACAGAGTAGGATTAAGAACTTCAAAACGCAGTATGGCAAGACCAACATCGGCTCGATCACTGTGGATATGGTACGTTAAGCTCACCTGTCATTTGTAAACATTCTAGTACCCTTTTCAGTCCCAGTTGAAGTGTGAAATATGGTAGCTGTGGATATTAAGAATGCCTAAGCAGAATTTTGTGTGTGTGCCCTTGTCTTTACAGATCTACGGTGGGATGAGAGGAATGAAGGGCCTGGTGTATGAAACCTCAGTGCTGGATGCAGATGAGGTGAGTTGGTCTGTGCAGGGAAAGAGGATCGAATGCAAAGTATCGGGTAGGGGGATAGATTGGGCGTTTTGCCCCTTTTCTATTGCTTGTTGGTATCTTAATTAACCTCTTAAGGATCTGACCTTTTTTTCCATTTTCGCCTAAAATGACATAACCAAATCTAACTGCCTGTAGCTTAGGACCTGAAGCAAGGATATGCATATTCTTGATACCATTCGAAAGGAAACACTTTGAAGTTTGTGGAAATGTGAAATTAATGTAGGAGAATAACACATTAGATCTGGTAAAAGATAATACAAACCAAAAAACATGCGTTTTCTATTTTTTTGTTAAATCATCTTTGAAATGCAAGAGAAAGGCCACAATATAATATTGCAGTAGGCGCAATATAGATTTTGGCCACTAGATCGCAGCAGTGTGTGTGCAACGTTTCAGATTGATCCAGTGAAGCGTTGCAATACTGGACTATTTTGTATAAAGTCTGCCCAAATGTGCCGAATTGGTCAATTGATACATTTTCAAGTACATAACTATAGAGAACATACAAAAATTATATGGTAATACAAAATGTAAGTTTACACACTCCCAGGAATGTCATACATGATTGATCATTAGCTTATACACTAACTTTAACACATCTAGATGGCCGGGCGGGGTGGGTGTGGAGCCAGAGACAGCAGGGGTTCAAACTGTAGACCCCAGTTCCGACATTTGAATATAAAAATGGATTTTATCAAACAAAACTATGCTACATTTTATCTCTGGGACCCCCAGGATGACAAATCAGAGCAAGATTACTGAATGTAAGTACATTATTTATCTTGAGAAGTGAATGTATCAAACCAGTTGCCGTGATACGTTTTTTGTTGTTGTGCACTCTCCTTAAACAATAGCATTGTATTTTTTTCACTGTAATAGCTACTGTAAATTGGACAGGGCAGTTAGATTAAGAAGAATTTAAGCATTCTGCCAATATAAGACATGTCTATGTCCTGGAAAGTTTGCTGTTACTTACAACAGTCATGCTAATCACATTAGCGCATGTTAGCTCGTCGCTCTGGATAAGAGCGTCTGCTAAATGACTAAAATGTGAATGTAGATAATGCATACGATTGTTTACATTTAGCTTAGATAATAGATGAGATTGTTTACACTTAGTCTAGCTAATGAAAAAAAGAGAGGCATGCCCTTTGCTACATTTTCTTAAGAGAAGTCCTGAGGCTGAGCTGAAGAGAATTGCTTTGAAACAGATTGATTTCAATGCTTGCTCAGCACTCCCCTGAGAGAGATGGCAGTATGCAAATGGTTTGCATAGTACTGAATGAAATGGAACTAAATCAAAACCCTCCTGTGTCTGATGCTTGAAACTAGAGAACTACCTACTTAAATAGTGAATTGACATTGAGATTCTAAATGGTTTTCTTTGGGGAGCTTTGTTTTTCAAGTTCCATCATATTCATCAGCTTATATTAGCTGAGAATAAGAAGGGTGTCATTTTTCAGCCAGTTCAGCGCCACTTATGGAGATTGGCTTGAAAGTCATAACACTCATGTGACATGGGGCCTATGGGTTATGTAATATCAATGTGGGTAGTGGGATCAAAGGTATTTGATAAAGACTTATGGTAGAATTATGTAGATACCTATTTATGGCAATGATTACGACTAAATCGTTTTTTGTGGGTCTCTTTAAAAAATTTTTTTTTTTTAGGGAATTCGTTTCCGTGGCTACAGTATTCCGGAGTGCCAGCAACTGTTGCCCAAGGCTCCAGGACGTGCCGAGCCCCTGCCTGAAGGTCTGTTCTGGCTGCTGGTGACAGGCCAGGTGCCCACAGAGGAACAGGTGAGTGTTAGCTAGGTAACGCATTATGGAGAGAGAGTATGGCACAGCAGCTTAGCAGTAGGTCTAGGTAGCATCTTAAATGTTGATACAACAATCCCTTGTATAATGGTACAGAACACAGATAACATTATGTACATATTCAATGAAAAGGGTTGACCCATATACCATAAACCACAACATAAAGCTTTACAATTGACGAGAGCTTTTAATTATTTTTTAAAATATTAAAACATACAATCTACCTGCAGTAAAGCTGCTCAACATTTACATTACATTCAGTCATCTAGCAGACTCCCATCCAGATCGACCCACAGGAGCAACCAGGGTCAAGCGCCCGCCCAAGGGCACGTCGACAGATCTCCCACCAAGTCAAAACGGGGACCAGATGATAGCTTTTTATATTTTTATCTGTGGGAGGTTTGCTTCCATTTTGGTTTAATGACCGATGATATTTTGCATAGAAAACTATATTCAGTGGCCCCCTTTGTGATTGTAAGGGCTTAAACCATCATGTTTGATGTGAATAGTTTTACCAATTACCCTATTGCTGATTCTGTGTATTGTATCTGTCCCCAGGTGAACTGGCTGTCCAAGGAGTGGGCCAAGCGTGCAGCTCTTCCCTCCCACGTGGTCACCATGCTGGATAACTTCCCCACCAACCTCCACCCCATGTCTCAGTTCAGTGCCGCCATCACCGCTCTAAACAGCGAGAGCAGCTTCGCCCGGGCTTACTCCGAGGGAGTCAACAAAGCCAAGTACTGGGAGGTGAGCTCAGGAAATGATGTTGAATGGTGCATGCTGTTGCTCAGTAGGACAAACTGTTGGGAAATGTAGCAAAAGGTTTTATCAACTGAACGCGTCCCAGTTATAAGACGTAGAGATGGTGTAATCTGATCTATTGAAAGAGTGCTTTTGTCCGAATAGACTATTGACATAAATGGTTTCTTCTCTCAGTTTATCTATGAAGACTCCATGGATCTTATCGCTAAGCTGCCTTGCGTGGCGGCCAAGATTTACCGCAATCTTTACCGCGAGGGAAGCAGCATCGGCGCCATTGACTCCAGTCTGGACTGGTCCCACAACTTCACCAACATGTTGGGCTACAGCGACGCCACGTTCACTGAGCTCATGCGCCTGTACCTCACCATTCACAGGTCAGTTTTATAGAAAATGCTACTTCATTCATAATTATGTAGTTTATCATCCTTGTTAACTTTTGGGTGTGCATATTCAGCTACTGCTCCGTCATTGCATCAGTGCAGTTATGTGGTTGCATCACTCATTCATTCACACACTTCCCCTTTCTCCTTTGCTACAGTGACCATGAGGGTGGTAACGTGAGTGCCCACACCAGCCACTTGGTGGGCAGTGCCCTATCTGACCCCTACCTCTCCTTCAGCGCAGCTATGAACGGTCTGGCCGGACCCCTTCACGGATTGGCTAACCAGGTGTGTACGGGTGCTAATGTCCAAGTTAACATCCAACCTACTACTGCTGATAATACTTTGATTCAAAGCAATGCTATCGGAGTTGCTTAGAAATACCTACTTTTCTGTTATTTTGATTGTTAACATAATGGCGAGATGGGAGCAATACGAAACTATAATAACAGCAGTCATGATAATGGCGAATGAGAGCAGTGATTTGTCTAGGTTGGAGTGAGCCCCTGCCTGACCTCTGACCTGTGCCCCTTGTAGGAGGTGCTGGTGTGGCTGACAGCACTGCAGAAGGAGATGGGAGGAGAGGTGTCTGACGAGGCCATGAGAGACTACATCTGGAACACCCTCAAGTCTGGAAGGGTGAGTGGACTGGTCTGGAGGGCAGGCCAAGTTGGGTCAATGGGGGGGATGAGTCAATGACAGGAAACCCAAGGGACACTTTTCCATCTCTACCTAAAAGTTTAGTGAACAGGTGCACAAAACAAAGGACACATTTACATTTGAGGAATAAGCTGCAAAGGGAATGATATGTAACCTTAGAGAGTCAACCTACCTTTTTGACCTTCTGTTTGTGTTCTCTCAGGTGGTTCCAGGCTACGGCCACGCTGTCCTGAGGAAGACAGACCCCAGGTACACCTGCCAGCAGGAATTTGCCTTCAAGCACTTGCCCGACGACCCCATGTTCAAGCTGGTGCACCAACTCTACAAGATTGTGCCCAACGTGCTGCTGGAGCAGGGCAAGGCCAAGAACCCCTGGCCCAACGTGGACGCCCACAGTGGAGTGCTTCTGCAGGTGGGGCAGGAGGATAGGGCAAACTATTGCGGTACACTTCCAACTGATTGGGAGAAAGGCCTCCTCCCTCTCTTGAAGGGATGTTGAAAAATGTACAATGTCAAATTTGAGCATCTTTTCGTAGTTTGTTCCAGCCTAGTGAACTGTCAAAGCCATATAAAAAGATTCTAGCCATTCCTACTCTACTTTAGCTGTCCCCTTTTAGATATCACATACAATTGGGAGTATTATAATTAGACCTTCCCCTGTGTTGTGAAATTAACCCTCCATCCCCTCTCTCTCTCCTGTCCTAACAGTACTACGGCATGACAGAGATGAACTACTACACGGTGCTGTTCGGCGTGTCCCGAGCCCTGGGGGTGCTGGCCCAGCTGATTTGGAGCCGAGCCCTGGGCTTCCCCCTGGAGCGCCCCAAGTCCATGAGCACGGACGGACTCATGACCCTGGTGGGGGCCAACAAGTCCGGGTAAAGGTGAAGTATCAAAGGAAGAGGGGAGGAGGGCAAAGAAGAACAAAAGGGGGGGAGGAATAGGGGAGGGGGATGCAAAAGATACAGTACACTTATGAAAAGGGCCTTTGCTGGATTTAGTCTGTTCATGTCAGAGACACTAATGCCGGGCGTACACTACACGGCTTTCAAAATCCTAATATCGCTGAGCCTCTCGCATTAAACAACTGTCTTTCCTGTAGTTTATTGTCTTGCCAACGTAGTGGTACGCACACTAAACAATGTGTCACACACTACAAGATTCTTCATTTGGTCGTGAGGATTCTCGATACCACGCTGTCTCGCGAAAACAATGTAATGTGATTAGATTGTGTAGCTACAATGAGCTGTGGCCCAAAGCAGCCTCATAAACGTTTTCAGTTAGACATTCACAAATCAAATCATTTTATTTGTCACGTGCCGAAAACAACAGGTGTAACCCTTACCACACAGAGTTGAATTGAATAACATTGCTTGTGGACTTCAGAGCTATAACGATTTGACACTTTGGCTTTGGTTAATGGCAAGTACAAACGCATACTAGTAGTAGTCATCACTCCTGCTTGAGAGTCTATACATTCTGGGTAATGCGATACATCATCTCACTGGCTTCTCTGGTGAGCTATCATTGGCTGTTGCTGATAACAGTTCTCAAAATGTGTCATTGCACATCTCACACTACAAGAGCACAGCAGATTTTGTGCTGATAAAATCAAACGTTAAAAAATATCGGGACGGCTCAAAGACAGGATCGGTAGCCCTCAGATTGCGTCTCTGGCCCGCTCACATTATACGAGCGTCGGTGACGGCAGTGCACCCCGACTAGGCAATGACATGGGGCTTTTGTCTCCGATCTCAAACTTGTCTGGGGCCAAAATCGTGTAGTGTACACCTGGCTTGAGGTAATATTTTTTTTCTTTGTGAGACTGAGCCATGGTAGTTGTCTTATATATTTAAGCTGACCAGGTTTTGTAAAGAAATCAGAATATCATGTCAATTTTTCAGTTGTAGAATCTGGGGCACTTGCATTGTCTGACGGAATTATCCAAAATACCGAAACAAAAGAACACTCCATGGCAGACAAGGTCCTTCTGTAATATAACCACAGTATATGTTTAGAATATGTAAAGTATGTAAATGACCAGGGTCTGTAGGTTCGTAATAGGATACTGCTGCCCCTTTCATCAATGATTGACGTCACACCACTATCAATCAAGGCAGAGTTCACTTATTCCACCTCTTTTTGCCAGTGCTCGCCAACCCCATTGCACCTCTGGTAAACGGAATACTCTGCAGGTTGCTTCTATTGGGAAGGGAGGTTATTGTTTTGAAAAGTGATCAACAGGGTAAGAAGACGGCACTGTTTTACATTTTATTTGGAATCTAGCCGAGCTGAAAGGGTTGATTTTAAACATTTTTAAATTATATTGTGTAATATCAGAATGGGGGGGGGGGGGGGGGATTTTTCTTGTAGACTTTTTCTTCAAGACCTGAGGGCAACGTTAAAACAACATAAATTGAACTCAATCAATTCAATTTCTTATGACAATGTAACATTTCCCCTTTTCATCAGAAAAATTAAAGTAATTCGAGAGCTGGCTAGCACTTACTAATAGCACGCGTGACCCGTTAATATTGGTGTCTCAATCGATGTACTATTAGAACTATTAAAATGTTTGTTTTAGAAAGTTTGCTGGTTTTACTACGTCCAACTGTAATGTCTCATGTTGCTCATGAAGCAAGTACACATCTGACATGCCATACCAACTAATCTCATTGTGTTCAACTGGATTGTTACGGTACAGATTTGCTTGGTTTAGTTTTAAGGTTGCTCTCAGGCCTAGGGGGTGGGGGGGCCTTATGTGTTTTTAATAGTCTGTTTCAATGCAGACCATATCAATACACTCCAATTGGGCACAGAGGTCCCAACACCAACAGTACCCCCTCACACTGTCTACCCCCTATAGTGTCTTTTCCCAGCTGATTCAGTCCCACATAGTATATATGTATTTTAGGTTTTAAGTTTGTCCTGTTCCTGTATTTGATCCTGTTCTAACCAAACCTCAGGTTATTCTGGTTTAAAGATAAATACACCTTATGTGAGATCATTGTAAAGTGGAGAAATCTGAATTTAGTAATCTAGCAGAGCGGGAGTGTACAGTGGATGTGGGAGAGAAAATGAAAAAATACATAAAATAATTCAAATAAATGTTTAACAATTACCATTTTTCCCCGAATACTCAGATTTATTGCTGTCTGTTTATGTAACTGTAACTGCCGCCATTCTTTCCTACAATAGAAATCCACAATCCACTGGCTATCACAACATTTATGGAGATGTGGTTTTTCACCTTCTTTACCTGAATGCATTTACAGAAGGTGTGGTCATAACGGGTTACCACAGAACAGAGTCTCATGTTATTCAGTGCCGGCTGTATGGTACATACTGTATGTGTTGGCTGGCTGGAGTATTCTGAGGACGTCTGTTATTAATAGTGTTACAGACATGTCTCCACAGCACTCAGGTTTCTGCTTCCCTTTGGCCTGGTCAAGATGTCTCATGCCTGTGGTATGGAAACTGTATTCTTCCAAATAAACAACAGATCAGTGTGCTTTGGTCAGGAAATACAAAATTGGTATGTGTTGCAACTGTTGTTTCAAATGACAAATTGGCTCACGAGGTGCTCTACAAATGTTGGGGGCTAATTATCAATGCTCTCTCTCCTAATTTGCCAAGCACTCCTGTGACCTGATAAATGTCCTGATATTGACAAATGCGACAAAAGTTGTGCTTTTGTTTTAAAGACTAAAATACATACATAATGGGAAGCACTGAGGGGTTGTAATGGCTGGCAGGACCTTAGGAGCCCTGATTCCCACCAACAGAATCAACCTTTTTCAACATCTCCAGCACCACCCCACCATATGTGAAAATGGCATGTGTCTATGTTTTCTAAAAAAGATTGAGGAAGATAAGTGTTTCCAATGACAACCAATTAGTAGGCAATGCCTACTCATAATTGGTTAAAATCACGATGCACACTGATGATGTGGTCATTGGAAACTTTTTTTTAATCAAAACATAAACATGCCATTTTCACACATGTTGGGGTGGTGCTGGAGATGAATATGAAGTTGAAAAATGGAAATGTCCCTTTAACCCCAAAATAAACATTAAGGCAAATCAGGGGAATGTTATAGGACAGTGATATAGAAATCTCCCCTCCAATCTTTGAATTAAATGTGAGTGATAAGAATTCAGAATATTACATTTAAACACCACATAGGCAAATGTCATAATCCTCCATAATACTATACAAAAATAAACGCAACATGCAACAATTTCATTTTTTTTTACTGAGTTCATATAAGGAAATCAGTCACTTAAAATAAATAAATTAGGCCCTAATCTATGGATTTCACATGACTGGGCAGGGGTGCAGCCATGGGTGGGCATAGGCCCACAAAGGGCTTTATTACAGAGAGAAATACAAAGCAGGGTCTGAGAATTAGGTCACCAACTACTAACATCCTGTGGTCCGTATATCTTTGGTTACACTAATTAAAACCTAAATACACTTAACATAAATAAACACAACATGTAAAGTGTTGGTCCCATGTTTCATCAGCTGAAATAAGAGATCCCAGAAATTGTCCATATGCACAAAAAGCTTATTTCTCTCAAATGTTGTGCACAAATGTTTACATCCCTCTGTGAGCATTTCTCCTTTGCCAAGATAATCCATCCACCTGACCGGTGTGGCATATCAAGAAGCTGATTAAACAGCATGATCATTACACAGGTGCACCTTGTGCTGGGGACAATAAACCACCACTCTAAAATGTGCAGTTGTCACACAACACAATGCCACAGATGTCTAAAGTTGAGGGAGCATGCAATTGGCATGCTGACTGCAGGAATGTCCACCAGAGCTGTTGCCAAATAATTGAATGTTAATTTGTCTACCATAAGCCGCCTCCAACGTCATTTTGGAGAATTTGGCAGTACGTCTGTGGTTACTAAAAGAAACACTTTTGCTGGTCCATGCTTGTGATGATAAGAAGATCCGCCGACACTGTACTCTGTTCACAAAGGTTTATTATAACAAAGAGTTTACAGCATCGAATTTTGACAAACACCTGCAGATGTCTGGAGATAGCAACAGCCAAATCAATAATTCGCTATTCCCCCTCTCTGTTCAAGACATGGCATTATATCCTTTATGACGTATTATGGTGTGATTCTAGAAAAACCAATCCCTAGTCTTTTCTCCCTCACTCCCCATCTCTTCTCTCCATTAACATCAGTAATGCTTTCCAGATGTTACAACCAAGTAGAGCAAAGTTCATCTGTTACACAATTTTGTAAACGTCAGCACAATCCTAGACTCTTAAGATACTACATATTCCCCCCTTCGAGACTAATTAAGTCTCGAAAACAAAAAGAATAGGATTATGACAAATAACAATTCTTGCTCTTGAGTAACTTTAACAATAAACCAAAATTAATGGAGATTAAACACATGTTTATATAGACACATTTTTGTATGTAGTGTAAATACATTATTATGGAGTGTAAATAAATTGTCATGGAGTGTAAATAAATTGTCATGGAGTGTAAATGAATTGTCATGGAGTGTAAGAGCGAAAAACCTGTCTGGCAGCTTTCATTCCAAATATCCATCAGTCAGTCAAGACAGGAAAATTCTCTCACGGCCCCTCTGCCCTAGGCGACCACCTAAGTACTCCAGATCAATTCACACATCTTCATGAATACATTTTAAGCTATGATGCAATTGAATACATATGAAAACCCCAGCAAACAAAATACAATCAAAATGTCCACATTCAGGCTGGTCGACCCATCGGACCCTCCTGTGGATTCTCTCTGTCCTTGCCTAGACCCCATATCCCTAAACTTCAACGAAATAAACAAAAACATCTGAGGTCCCCACATGTACCCAACAACAGAAAACATAATTCTTCAAAAATTAATACAGAAAGAGTATAACACTGGAATATAGTC